TTACTTCCCTTCTACGTGACTTTACCGAAAGAAGCAAGAAGATGAATCCCTGCAGTCACGAAAGCTTTAAATCGAAATGATGCCGTTAGGTTGGCTCGGAACACAGCGCACACGCCAATCATGATCATCATCATCATCATACTAGTAGTAACCACAATGAATGCCGAAACGCTGAACTCAAGCCACCGATGGCTGGACACTCATCCGTCGAAGCGATGGGAGAACGCAGGGTCTACCTACCTGCAAGGTCTACCTACCTGCAAGGTCTACCTGCACGCAGGCTCTACCTACAGGGTCTACCTACAATGCAGGGTCTACCTACCTGCAGGGTCTACCTGCATTCTCTGATATTGCACGCGTGATCTTCTCCCCGTTCGCCTGCAGTGTCATCACAAGCTACGCATCTCCCCAATGCTTATTTGCATCCTTTATCAGTTCGTGTTCCACTCCGTGTTACTGCTGCTGATGTGGATGGCCATGTTTCCACACCGCACGTTTGTGTGACAGGCAGTACGCAGATTTTTTTGTTGTTAAAAATGTTCGTCTTTTAGGCGCGTAGTTATTTTTCATTATCAGGGTGCTCTTTCCAAAAGCCACTCCCAAACCTTCTTCTCGTCCGCTTCTTTATTGTCAGTAACCGGTGTTTATTGTGGGCCGCTAAAAAAAACGGCCTTATGTAGCACGGCCTGGCATAATTTCACTCGCGCGCTCCGAAACAAACTGACTTGCAAATTGAAAGTGACCCCGCGTGCCATTCAGGGTTATTGGCTCGTAAATGAGAATGGCTTGGTCTTTAAAACGGCACCATTCACTGTTTGTGGCAGTCATGGCCTAGGTGGGGGGGGGGGGAGAGAACCGCCACTGCGGAGGTCTGCTGCTGCTGCTGCAGCTGCTGCTGTTGCTGCTGCTGCTGCAGTTGCTGCTGCTGCTGCTCTGTACGGCGTTGGCCCGCGGTCGAAAATAACGACGGCAAGGGTGGGCCCCCAGAGCCCCGGCAATGGAACGCGTCCCGTGAGGACATCAGCCGGAGGAGATGAAGCGGTGGGAATCGGCTCGTCTCACCATTGTGGGATCACGAGAGGTGGCCGACGGCTTTGGGGGAGACCATCCAGGCCATTCTCTTCCAGGGCCGGATTAAGGCACGGGGGCTTTAGGGGCTGCAAGCCCAGGGGCCTCGGTCAACTGGAGCGACTTCCAGAGATGAAGTGAAAAGTGATTTCACTTGTGAATATTCTTGGTTCTTTCGGTAAAGTCACGTAGAAGGGAAATAATAAAATAATGAAACATAATAAAGTTCTCACGACGTTTCGGCCACAACGCAAGCAGCCGTCCTCAGGTGAAGAAACAGAGCTGTCGGAAAGACAGCGTCCTAATGAATCCCTGCAGTCACGAAAGCTTTAAATCATTTGTCAATGTTGAATTTTATGTTTCTTTCACTTTGTTTTCCTTTTTAAAATATTACTGGGGGCCTCACAGTACCTGTAGCCCAGAGGCCTAAAAAAATCTAAATCCGTCCCTGTTCTCTTCCTCTTCCGTCCCCTCGCTCCCCACACTCCATCCCATTCCTCCCCTATAGCCCCTTTGTGACCCCCTACGCACCACCCCTCTATCGCGGTCACTCATTGCTCAGCCGTTGCACTCCCTTGCCATCTAAATAATTCTATGATGTTACCAATGTTACCGTTGTTTAAACTATGTTAGGCGCCTTGAGTAAAGGCGCTCTTTGAATATAAACAAGGCGAACGTATTCTTGGTTCTTTCGGTAAAGTCACGTAGAAGGGAAATAATAAATTAATATAAAAATATATAATTAAAAAATATTATAACTATTATTTTATTATTTCCCTTCTACGTGACTTTACCGAAAAGACAAGAATATTAATCCCTGCAGTCACGAAAGCTTTAAATCAAAATTTAAGGTGAACGTATGTATGTTGGAACTTTTCGCACCGCACGTAGCCGCACGTGCTAATCGTATTGTGCGAAAGATAAGGTGACGATGGTGATGATAGCCGTGTTGAGTCGTGTCACTGTTTTTTGGCCCGGTGGCTCAGACGTTAGAGTGCTGAGCTGACACCGCTGACATCCGAGCTGCTCATCCGGATTCCAGAAAGTTGCGATTTAATCGGGTTTTCATGTGTAGTAGTGAGTTAATGGTCTCAACATGGTCATCATTATCTGCACACACACACATAAAAATCTAAAATGTGGGTTCTGCACTAAAGTTGGTGAAATTCCAGCTCTGATAATGATACATATAGGGTACTTTCGCACAAAGTTGAGATCTTGTTTTACGACAAACGTTCAAAGCACATTTGCAAATCCAACATATTTTCACAAATGCCATTGAGAAATGTTGACGTGGCAATGAAGTTGCCTAGTGTTGGATTATTGGATAACTTGCTGTACAATGACAAAGATTCCCGGTATAGCCTTAACAGACTATTGTGGCAAGTGCTGTTCGTGAGCACCTATGAAGGCCGGCACGGCGTACGAGGGGGTGGATGGCCAGAACCACGCCCGACCGCATTTGTCTCCCCATTGGTGACGTTTACACACCACACCAGGTATTCATTTGAGGCTGAGTCTACCTAGGGGATGCCCAGGACTGGTTCATAAAATCGTCACTGGTGGTGGTGGCCGTGAGCAGGGATCAAACCTGGTTCGCCAGGTTCGTAGCGCGGTACGCTCACTACTACACTACCGCTCCCCACACACAACAACAACCGCCATTCGCCACGAAGTGGCGGTGACGTCACCACGGCGCTTGTGCCAGGCTATGTGCACGTTGAAGCCACGAGAAGTGTCGAACGCCCGCTGGCAGGAGGTCACGGGGCAGACCCAGGTGCCACTGAGATGACTGGCCGATACACCACCTGTGCCCCCTATTGTGTCAACTTGCTGTGCTTTAGCCATCCGGTGCTCCGCTCATTGTTGTGAGCGTCGCTCCTCTGCCCTCCGTTGTTGTTGGAGGGCGACTGCCTCCAACTGCCCAGTAGCACCCTTCACGAGCCTCCTCCACAGAGGCCGATCTTGACACCGCTGGTACCAGTCATCGGCAAGTCCACTCAGCTCCACATCCTCCTGCACCACATCACTCCGTCTCTGCTCTAGCCCATGCCGTGCTCGTTTAGCCCCTTCTATCCGTCCGAACAAAAGCTTTTTAGGCATCCGGTGGCTGGGCATGCGGGATACATGACCCAGCCAACGCAGCCTTGCCTGCTGGAGGAGCTCACCGATGGGAATTTGTCCAGATCTTTCAAGGATTTGTGAGCTCCTCACACAATCCAGCCTGGTTAAACCCAGGATTGATCGTAGGCAGGCCAGCCTAAATGTTTGTAAACAGCGAAGATGTTCCATTAGGGGGGTCCACGTTTTGCAAGTATAGAAAAGGGAGAGCATGACTGTGGCCGAGAAGACCTGAAGCTTCGTGCGGAGCGACATAATAGGCAGGTAGCTTCCACACAGCGTGACGCTACCGATGAAAAGATATTGCCGCTCGACTGATTCGGAGTGAGACCTCTGCTGTCAAACCGGAGCCGGTCATGAGCACACTGCCCACACAAACGACAAAGATCCCCCTATAGCATTAACAGACTGTAGGGGCAAGTGCTGTTAGCGAGCACCTATGAAGGCTGGCAAGGTACGCGAGGGGGTGGGTGGCCAGCACCACGCCCGTCCGCCTTTGTCTCCCCAGTGGTGATGTTTACACACCACACCAGCTACCCATTTGAGACTAAGTCGAACTGACGGGTTGCCGAGGCTTCACGATGGGCCCCTTCTGTGACCTTTTCCCCTTTAGATGTCCCCCTCTCGTGTCTATCGTGGCCTGCTGACTCCAGCATTGCCGTACACCGCAGTTCCCCTTGTTCGCAGCCAGCACTATGCCGCTGCACAAAGAAGCCGAAACGTGACACTTTCACGAGTCTCAATTCTGCTGCAGATCGAAGCCCTTTGTCAGCAGTACCAAAATACATAAAACATGTTTCCTCATTTTCGTATCTTGGCACCATGCTCGATTCTTATCTCACGTTGAGAATGCAATTTGAATGTAGATGCAGACTATGTGTGGAAACAAATTCTTACTAATATTTTACACTGAAAACACGATAGCTACTGCCTTTACGGCTCTCCGAGGCTAAGCTGACACTCAATCTAACCTCTAACAACACTGTGGCATTTAACAAAACCTGCTTTGTATTCCGCTTTAAACTTACAAACTACTCGTCACTGTGAGTTTTACTCCACGACTAGCTATCACCCGCTTTCAACTTTATTGGAGATTCATTGGGGCCTAGTTCACCCTTAATGCACGCGTAAGGGTCATGATAAGGCCACCTAACGTTAATTAATTAATTAATGACCTCATACAAGTCGAGCCCAGCACGAAGGACTCGTCAGCACCAGCCCATTGCCTCTCGTCTATTTCAGGCAACGTTCTGGTTCGATTGGGTTTTGCTTAACCATTCCCGAAAACTGGTTTCAACCGGTAAAATGTAGATTTTATTTGCTCCAAATCGGCGAAACTAAACACCACCCAAGTAGCTTGAAATGTAATGATTTGTTTTTGCCATTCATGAGTTGATATTGCAATATGTTTACTGCAAAGCATCTCTCGAGAGAGAGAGAGAAAGGGAGGCGGGTTTAAAAAGCTTAGAACGCATATCTCCGTGTGTCGCGAAAAAAATGAAACGAAACTACTTAGAGACAAATGCAAATGTTTAGTTAATCGGACATCACGAACGCGCGCATATCGCGTGTCTGTTTTGACAGATTCTCAAAACCGTAAATTTCAGGACCATTTAGTTTTGAGATACGAGATCAAACACGAGATTCCATAGAAATAAATGTGCATTGTTTGGAACATCGCACCCACATCTATACACGTATTTGTCAGAAATGCAAGTCAGCCCATCAAATGGGCTCGCTATCACCCGAGCCATGGCGGCCTTGTGTATATAAGGAGACCTACCGAGACCTGGTCTCACCGGGAGCAGCACACACAGAGATAAGGGGTCACTGACAGTCACTGAGAGCCCCTTCAGCATCATGGAGAAAGATCGCATCCTGGGTAGCGACATCTCTTCGGTAAGACCCGCGAGCCAGATGACAAACCCAGACATCTCGGATCCCCACAGCCTTTCATAAGATGCACTTTTGTTGTTGTCGTTTTGTATTCGCTCGTACGTTTCAGTTGTAGTGGCTGTGTGATGCGCTGTGTCAGTGTGTTGGTAATTATCACGTGTGCTGTGTTATTGTCAGTGGTGGTGATTATTGCTGTATCGGTGGGGTGGTGGCCATGTCTTTTGGGCGTCACGGTGGCGAAATGTTAACTACCTCGCCTGATATACAGGAGGTCGTGGGTTCGATCCCGACCCTGACGCCTGCTGTATGTTTGTAGTTTGCATCTCGCTCTCCCCGTGGTCGCGTGGATAGTTCTCCGGGTCCTCTGGTTTTCCCCTCCACGTTAAGAATGAACATCACGCGTTTAGAGTATGTGGCGTCCATAAATGTCCACATGATGATAAGCCACTTCGTTGAGCTGTCATTTGTGGCCAGGTCAGTCGCTTCTGAAAAAGAGCTGCATATTTCAGTGGGCTTTGCCTGGTAAAATCAGAAACAGTTTTCAATTTGCGTTGTGATTGTTTCAGTCGTCCAGGTTCAGCCGCAAGTTCATCATCATCTCCGCGACGCTGCTGCTGCTGCTGATCGTGGTGGTGGTGACGGCCGTGCTGCTGGGGGTCTTCATTGGGGGCAAGAACGCCACGGAGGTGCGTGCGTGTGCGGTAGTGTAGCGGGTAGCGTGTGCGGTAGTGTAGCGGGTAGCGCCCCAAGCTACTAACCCGGCGAACCTGGTTCGATTACCGCTCAAGAGTATGGCAGCATCTCGCAAGATGTTCGATAGCAGGATACTGGAGAGCGCTGGCAACCATGGCAGTTGGTGTAGATAGATCGGCGTTCTTCCTTGCAAGGCCCGTGAGCCACTGGCGGCCGCTAAATCGCCTTTAGTGTGGCCCCCGACAATACACTAAGAGTGAAAACACCACCAGCCCTCACACTGATGATGTCTTATCGGCGAAAGTGCCCCCCCCACCTCTGACAATGTTTGAAGAACACTGATTTAGATGGACGTGTGCCACTGACCTGTCTCCGAGTGATGTCAATTTGTGTGTTCACACTCAATGGAACGGCTGTTGTATATTTGTATTTTGTGTGTGTGTATATTCATGCTTACATGAGTACGTGTGTGTGTGTGTGCAGCTCTACCAGTTGTCCGTGCATAATGACGGCAAGGTTGAGCAGCAGACGGTGCAGGTGAATCCCAAGGAGAACATCGCCACCTTCTACATCCAGAGTGCCAACCTCTCCTCCACCGTGCTCCTCGACTTCAACACGGTAAGTCCACCACGCAGCAGCAGCAGCAGCATCATCATCTCATTCACCTCCAGCAACCAACACCGCAACTACCTTGAACAACACCTCCGACACTACCCTCGTTCAACACCTCCACCAACTCCAGCACCATTTTCACCAACACCCACCTCCAACATCACCTCCAGTATCATCTCCATCAAGGCAACCACCACTTAAAATAAAGACCGCTCCACCTCCCCCGTATAGCCTAAACAGAATGTTGGGGGCATGTGCTTTTAGTGAGCACCTATGAAGGCACACGAGGGGGTGGGTGGCCAACACTACGCCCGGCCGCCTTTGTTTCCCCAGTGGTGATGTTTACACACCACACCAGGTACTCATTTGAGGCTGAGTCGAGCTGGGGGAGGCCCAGGACCGATTCAGACAATCGTGACTGGTGTTGGCCGTGTGCGGGAATCGAACTAGGTCTGTCGGGTTCATAGCGCTTTCTACTAACCGCCCCCTATACCACTTACAGGTGTAGTGGTGTTATTTCACACGGACAACTTATTTTTATCCTGTGTCACTTTATTCGTACAGAACTCATCGTGTTCAACACCACGCGACTCCGTTGCAACTCTCTCTCTTGTAATGCTCGTCTGCTACGCTCCGCTTGCTCTCTCGCTCCGCTAGCATGCTATGTTGCACTCTGCTAGCTTCTCCACTGCTAGCCTCTCACTGTACACTCTGCAAGCCTTCTCACACTCACACTCAGGATTGTGCTAGCCTCTCTACTGCTAGCCTGTCTACCCTCACTCCCCCAACCTCGCCCTTGCCTCCAGCGGGGGATCATCCTACACCGCTGAAGAGGGCGAGGTGTGGAGAGTGGGGTCCCGGACTTCTCTTGAATTCACTCTTGTCTTCATTCCAACCAACTCAACTCCTTTGCCTAACACGTTCCCTTTTTATCCTCCTCCTCATTAAGTGCCCCCAGATGACCCTCATGAAGCCGGCGTCTTCCCCACGCCTCACGCACGTGTTCTCCCCCTTATCGCCACTATCTCTCGCCTCCGTGGCGCCTACTCCGCGTTTGCATTTGCAGCCAGCCAATCACTGCCTCTTTCCCTAATTGCTGGGGTCTCTCTGTCTGCTGTCACCCAGGCCACCCGCCTGCACCTGCTTGTCCTGAGCTGACCTCACTGTCTGCAACCCCGTACATAATGAAACTGCTGTTTGCAAACTACACATGTCCTACACCTCCAATACACTTCTAAAATCTCACCTCGAGCCACAATCACCACGATTACCACCATCACCACTCGCAACGACCCCACACCACAGTAACATCACCTGCACAACGTTTCCATCACCTCCGATGTATCTTCCTATGCCTCCACTTGCCACCGACCCCTGGTCGACGTCATCTAAAACGAATCCAGCATCATCACCTCTTTAACACATTCCTGCGGAGGGAGCTGGTAGGAACTTTGGGTTGCTCAGTCAATTTCCAGGGTCAACGGCGGCGTGGTGTATAGCACAAATATGCCCGACTGTGATGGTGGGCACAAGCCGGCGTGAGTAGGTTAAACGTTGAGTTTTATAAGGGCACCACGGGGTGACCAGCCCCTCCCCACCCAGCTCCACCCCTCCCACCCCCACACAGCCCCACCCTCCCCACCCAGCCCCTCCCCACCCTCCCCACCCAGCCCCTCCCCACTCTCCCCACCCAGCCCCTCCCTCCCCACCCAGCCCCTCCCTGCACGACGGATGGACACAATAATCCCCTGTGGGCTGGTGGAACCAGTCAGTTCCTACCAGTACAACCTCCTTCAACACCTAAAATGCTCCTACACCATCTCATTCATCACCTCCTCCAGTACCTCGACCACCATCATCATCAAGTTCTCAAACACAACCACCTTAGTTTTTAATCACCACCACTACCTTCGATCACCACGAAGACTCATTCTTTAGCAAGAATATTAGTGCTATGTGATCATTGATGATTCATGTACGTGCTATTAGTTTATTAACGATGATGAATGACTCATATTTTTAAGGTCATTAATTCGAAAGCAGCAACGACGATGATGATTACGATCGTGATGATGTTCGACAGATGCTGATGGTGCTGAGAACAAACAACCTTGACAGCTGCTACGTTCGGAAAATGGAGGGCGGAAACTTCACATCGCTGTCAGATCTCAGCAACAGCCTCAAGAACCTCAACGTGAGACCAGTAACCACCTAGAGTAGCACCACTACCAAGAGCACCACTACCTCACCTCGAAACAAAGACAAAAGATCCCCTGTATAACCTTTAACAGAGTGTTGGGGCAAGTGCTGTTGGCAAGCCTGGTGTACAGTAGGTCGTGGGTTTGATCCCGACCCAGACGCCTGCTGTATACTTGCAGTTTGCGTGTCTCTCTCTCTCTCATCATCAAGGTGGCTAGGAAATGTTAACCTCCTCGCCTGATGTACAGGAGGTAGTGGGTTCGATCCCGACCCTGACGCCTGCTGTGTATTTTGAGCTTGCGTATCTCCCCGTGGTGGTTTGGATTTTTGTCCGGGTCCTCCGGGTTTTCCCTCCACATTTACAAACACGCACTTAAGAGTATTTGGCTATTCTCAATTTCCGCGAAATAAGCCACTTAATTGAACTTGCTATTATTTGCACCCAGGTGGCTTCTTAAAAAGAGATAAATGGCTCTGTGTGCCTTACCCAGTAAAGTAAATAAAATGGTTATTGTAAAATAGTAAATAGTAAGACTAGAACGGCACACGAGGAGCGGTGTGGCCTACACCACGCCCGGCCGCCTTTGTCTCCCCATTGATGATGTTTACATACCACACTAGGTACTTATTTAAGGCTGACTCTACCTAGGGGAGACCCAGGACCGGTTCAGATAATCATCACTGATGGTGGCCGTACACGGGAATCGAACTCGGGTCGCTGGGTTCGTAGTGCAGTGCTCTAACCACTACACTAACCACAACTAATACCAGAATCTCGACCACATAAACACTACCGCAATCACCACTTATACCAGCTCCACCACAACCACCACTTGCACCATGATGGTGGTGGTGGTGGGGTTGATTATTGTGTCACAGGGTCAGCCGGCGCAGGAGAGCGACAACTCAAGCTCCACATCGTTCATCCCTGGTCCCGAGATCTTCGACCGATCCTTGTTCAGCCGCAGCGCCAGCCTCCTCTGCCAGGACGTGAGATCGTTCTGGCTCGTCCAGGGTGGTGAGTACATCTCTGCGTGCACAACCCAACACAGATAACAGAGCTGAGTACGGACCTTGGCAATGAGAACTCGGCACTGACTAGAGAACAATGCATATCTAGGCTGCGCGTTCAGGCTTTCTAACACGAGGCGGATACTTAGTTATTAGACAAATTACTTTACATTCATGCTCAGGCTAGGTGTCCGGGTAGCTCAGAGGTCAAAGCTCTGGGATGGCATCGATCGCTGAGATCCTGGGTTCGAATCCAGGCCTGTGATTAGACCGGGTTCTTCTCAGTGTGTTGATGGTCTCGACTTGGCCACCCAATCTCCATGGTTTTATTGTCATGTAGCAGCCGCCTGAGGTAGCCAGGAGATGGTAGTACAGCAATGGATTGTTAATTCTGTCACGCCATTGCATGCTGATTGCGACAACGAAGATGATGACAATGACGGGATGATGGATCATGGTCGAGACTAACGGCAGCCAAAGGAGGGAACGCGCCCAAAATGGCATCCACTGCCGAGATGTTAACTACCTCGCCTGGTGTACAGGAGGTCGTTGGTTCGACCCCGACCCTGACGCCTGCTGCTGTATATTTGGGGCTTGTGTGTCTCTCTCTCCCCGTGGTCGAATGGATTTTTCTCCGGGTCCTCCGGGTTTTCCCCTCCACATTTAGAATAAACATCACGCGTTTAGAGTATTTGTCTGCTGTACATTTCCACGTGTTAAGCCACTTCGTTGAGCTGTATCATTTGTGGCCAGGTCGCTTGTGAAAAAGCTGCATTGCTCAGTGGGTCTTACCTGGTAAAATAAGTTTAGTTGATTAAATCAGCTCGTGCTTATGTGCGAGGTGGATTACACTGAGAGATGGCGTGGTGGTGATTCCGAGGATGACGCGGCTGTGTTTAGTGACCTTGGCTGGAAATGGAATCCTGAATGAGCAAATTAAGAACTGCACCATTAACTCACCCACCTACAAACTGGCTCCATTTCTGTCTGAGACCCTGCTTCCTTTCACGGGCAAGTCCACCTCAACTGTACATAACTCAGCTCACTTGGTTTATCTAATCAAGGACATCTCACTGTCTCCAGATGATTTGCTCGTCAGTTTCTATGTAGTCTCTCTGTTCACCAATGTACCTGTACCTGACACCATTGCAATCATTGAAGACTTAGTCCAACAAGAACTCAATCCAGATGTACCATCTTTGGTAATAAACTGTCTTACCAACACATACTTCACCTGGAATGATACATTCTACAAACAGAATGAGGGTACCCCAATGGGTTCTCCCTTATCGCCAGTGGTAGCAAATGTTTTCATGGATAAATTTGAGACAGATGCCATCCAGACATCCACCCTACGTCCTTCCTTGTGGAAGAGATACGTAGATGACACATTCGTCATCTGGCCATATGGCCTGCCAGCACTGAACCAATTTCTCAACCACATCAATTCCATACACCCATCTATCAAATCCACCATGGAAGTGGAAAAAGATGGGAAGTTACCATTCCTTGATGTTTTGATCGAGAAGCAACCTGATGGCTCGTTGGGACATTCGGTCTACAGGAAAGCCACCCACACGGATGCCTATCTAAAGCCGGACTCCCACCACCATCCAGCCCAGAATAATTCCCTCATCAAAACACTACAACATAGGGCCCCCGTTGCATCTCCGACCAGCACCACCTAACTAGTGAGTTGGAGCACGTACACCAGGCCCTCAGGATGAACGGATACTTGGACCGTACAATCCGCGAAGCTGCTTCACCAGCCATGGGGAGACAATCTTCTGAGGATACAACCAATACCATCACTTTACCGTACATAGCAGGAGTTACCAAAAATATTTTCAAAATCTTAGACAAGCACAAGATCCAGGTTCGTTTTAACACAGTACACAAACTCCGTGATGTAATCCCATCTGTGAAGGATGTGATTTCTGACATGCAATACCCTGGTGTCTACAAACTGAGTTGTGGTTGCGGCAGCAGTTACATTGGGGAAACGAAACAACATGTCTCGGACCGCATTCGTGAACACAAGGCAGGACCAATACCTCTGCCGTTCCTGATCATTGTTTTAACGCTGCGGGCTCACACTAAATTGATTTTCCAAGACGAAGGTACTCTGCAAACCCACCAGCTATTAGAGATTTGTTCATGAAGCCATCCAGATATATAAACACAGACAAAACTTCAACCGAGAAGATGGATACAAACTGAGCAATCATTGGAAGGACGTTATTAACCAAGTTAAGTCTTAACTGACTGTGATGTTTCCATCCGACCTGCCTATTTCAGCTGTGATTTCAGACTCTCTGAGTACATCACCAGGCTAAATATCTGTGAGGCAGCCCAGGCACAGGATACCCGCCACCTACGGTGGCTGGGACCGTCTCACATTGACACGCTAATCTCTCACATTTACGTACAAATTTCATCTCTAGCTCCGCCCACTTACCCTTGGGTTGAGCCCACCAAAATCCGATATAAACTTTTGTTGCAGCAGCCCTTTCTCCTGTGTCAGCAGTTCTCCTGCTGTATCTGTTCCACCTGATGACGGTCGCTTGTTTTGCGATCGAAACGTTGTGATTTATTTTATTTTATACCTACGTGACTTTACCGAAAGAACCAAAGAGTAAGAACTGCAAACTCACATCTGTGTTGCTTCTTTCTCTCTCCTGTTACAGACCCCAACACCCGGGAAATATGCAGGACGTGGAGGAGCAAAATATTATGTATCTTCAATTGGTGTGTTACGATCAAGGCGTGCATTTCATTGTCACGTTAGATTGTTGAGAGGCACTTGTTGGTAAGGCCCTGCGTTAGGTTAATCAATATGGGTGGAACAAGTAGTCGGGTTACGGTGATTTATAATCTTAAACTACACGCGGGGTTTGTGCGCTTCTGCTCTGTTGGCTTTCACGTCGCAACTCGTCCAAAAATCACCCTTCAGAAACCCACCGGTTGGAAATTGTCATGAGGCCTCAAGTTAAAAAAAATACTAGCTGTACTACCCGGCTTCGCCCGGGACTTGTATCCACCACGCCTTGTCTCCCCAGTGGCGATGTTAATACGCCACACCAGTTACTCGTTTTGAGGCTGAGTCCCTCATTCACCACTCTCCCTCCCTCAACACTCTCCCTCCCTCACCACTCTCCCTCCCTCACCACTCTCCCTCCCTCACCACTCTCCCTCCCTCACCACTCTCCCTCCCTCACCACTCTGTAGAGGACGTGAAACTTTGATAAATTTACCTCAGAGTCGCGTGGAGGGTGTCGAGGCCTAGCACCGTGCAGAGCCTCCGGCCTCGCCTGATTTTCCCACCCGGCTGAGGCTGGGTACGGGTGCCGTTCCCCCCCCCCCCCCCCGCGCTACAATAATACTGTCTAATCGCTATAATTTTATAATCTACCGACCCTATAATAGTAATTGCACACATTGTGGTGGAGGGGGGGAGTGAAGAGGACGTGAAACTTTGATGAATTTACCTCAGAGTGGCGTGTTAATGCATGCGCCTATTTTTAACGGGAATTAAAAATGGCGTCCACCCCGCGGCGAAGGCGTCGCTACCCGTTGCCAGGGGCAACCGCCGTCCAATGAAACTGCGTATGGTCCGGCGACACACAGACACACACACAGACAGACAGATTTGCGATTTTATATATATAGATAACGTTAAATATTTTATCTCCCCACCACCACCACCAATTTTTGTCTGTCCAAAACTGAACATTTTCCATTTTGGATGGTTCTCGTTACAACTACAGTATATGTACATGCAGCCGGTCTGCTGTGTCCCCTCTTGAATCCTTTCGAGGGGGGGGGGGTGCGCACCGGTTGGCTAAACAGACAGCGACAACAGCGGTAAAAATAATAAAGTTCGGAGACGATGAGTAGTCGTCACTATGCGCTCTGTTCTGCCCTCCGGAGAAGTGGTTGCGACTCCACAACAGCTGAGCGCCAAGGGGGGGGGGGGGGGGGTTGTGAAACGGCAAAAGTTTACTTCAAAAGTCATCTTCAGAAGGGCAATGGCGTATCTGCAATAGCGATCAGAGGGACACCCTCCCACGTCACAACAACACCACAGCCGAATTCCTCTGTTGATGGGATTGAGCGCCAGTGTTAATATTTTAGACCCAAATATTATGAGTATTTTACATATTCAAATCAACTTTAATATCAAAGACTCAGTCGTACATATATTCATTAACCACCAACAACTCAATCGACAGCCAGTTAACATTAGCGACTCCCTGTCCGTCGATTGACATTCAAGTAATATCAATTTGAGTTATATGCAGCTTATCGGTCCAGAAGTTAGCACAAATATAAATTGGGCCCGGGGTCCAATCCCTGATCACCACTGATCACCCCTGCCTTCTCTTATGATCATCATCATCGTAAAGAAACGCACCTGGCTACCAGTAGCTGTGAAAAATGGTTTGTTAGGTTCCCATATATTACAGAGTGCACAATTTTACACGTAATTCATTACAGGTAAGACTACACCGGCCAAATTACGGGGAATGCTCCCCAATTTCATCAGATCGCAGAAGACGCACGCGGTGATTGAGCATGAAGGGGGTTTGTTAAATCTATTGGACGGGTAAATAAACAACAAGACGCAAACGGCATTCTCCGAGTCTTGACAAACCAAACGCATTCAGCACGGAGCGAATTACCTTTAGGTCGTCGATCACAATACTCCAGTAAACAACAACAACAACAGCAACAACGATAATCAAGGATTTTCGTTTGGGGTTAAATCGCGTAAATGTAAACGTGTGTCGTTCACTCACCACCACCCGACACAGCCAATTAGTGAGGTTTGTCACGTAATCAAAAACGTGGTAATTAGTTGAGGGCATCAGCACACCGGTTGTGTCGGAGAGTAAACCCCGCACCATTTACAATTTGAATATTGCGACGTTTCGCTCGTGATTACAACAACAGCAACAATCAGCCTCACCAGGCGATTTGCCACAAACGTGTAAACCACAGCAAGGGGCGCCAGCAATGGCCGCTACAGAGAAACAGCAGGCGTCCTTCATATTGTACGAATACACTTTTGATTAGAAAATAAAAGTACGCTTCGTTATTCTTTTTGTTCGTCGCACGCCCGAGTGTCGGAACAAAAAATAAAAAAGTTATTTGACCAAACCGCACGTGCGCGTGGAAGTGACTCGTTACGTTTCGATTTAAAGCTTTCGTGACTGCAGGGATTCATCTTTTTGGTTCTTTCGGTAAAGTCACGTAGAAGGGAAATAATAAAATAATAACAATAAAACATTATAAAATTCCCACGACGTTTCGGCCAATGAGGGACGCTGTCTTTCCGACAGCTCTGTTTCTTCACCTGAGGACGGCTGCGTGTGTTGTGGCCGAAACGTCGTGAGAATTTATATTTTATAACGTTATATTTTTATTATTTTATTCTTTCCCTTCTACGTGACTTTACTGAAAGAACCAAGAAGACGACTTGTTACGGCTCGCCGTTAGTCACAAGAACGCGATCCACACGCGCACAGAGCGCCCACAACAAGCCCCTAGGGGGCGGTGGGCGCGATGGTTGGGGGGGGCACCGCTGCGCTACTGAACCCTCCACCACCTGAGTTAAATCGAGGGTTGTGGCGAGCGTCAGTGGCGAGCGGTGTGTGAACTCGGGCGAGAAGTGCCCCTTTACGCCGGAGGGGCTCCCCATCGTGAATGATGCAGTTGGTCATCGATGATTATCCGGCTGCTGCTGCCAACATTCCCCGTCTTGTCCTGAGCCGATAAGGCGAAACCGGCAAAATCGCTCCAAAGGCTGTTAACCATATTCTTAGGTTTTTTCGGTAAAGTCACGTAGGTAAAAAATTAAAATTAATAACAGTAAAATAAAAATAAAATAAAAATCACGACGTTTCGGAGGCAACACAAGCTTCCGTCTTCAGGTGGAACCGTCACAGAACGACTGCTGTATCAAGTGAGAGAAATTCCAAGAAAACAGTCCTTGTATATATACTGGTTGAGGGTGGGAGGAGCCAAGGTAGGCCCTGAATACCAGTTCGGCGATCGGTACCACGTGCATGACTTTACCGAAAGAACCAAAGAGTATCTTCGCTTGATTTCAGTGTTAAATATTAAATACAGTACATTATACACTGCATACAACTTAAACAATGAAAACACTGCACGTATATACATCACCCCATGCAGAGTCTTCCGAGATTTGAGTGGTACGTAACTTTTTAAAAGAAGGATATTTATTTTTGTCTATTTGTATGTTTATTTATTCCAATTTCAAAGAATAAACTATTTTTTAACACAAATAAACAGACATCACAACACCTTAAAAACATAATGTCATACGAGAATGTGCATAAATAAGCAATTTTAAATCATGATTAGCGATTGTCCGGCGTTTTTTGGAAAATTCGCCGCCTCCTCTCCACACCCTTCGATGCCGCCGGATAATCAATGATCTACCGGATTCTCAAATACAAACACAACGGTGCATCAATACGAGGGATGTAGTCCCTTCCCAACCCCCCAACACTCCCTCCGAAAAAAAAATCCTCAACAAGCGTAGCAACATACTCTTCAGTTCTTTCGGTAAAGTCACGTAGGTCACGACGTTTCGATCGCAACACAAGCAACCGTCATCAGGTGAAAAAATTATTGCGAGAGAGCTGCCGAAACACGAAGTTACATAGGCTCGAGGTAAGCTCAGCCCAAGGGTAAGTGGGCGGAGCTAGAGGTGGAATTTGCATGTAAATGCAAATTTGCATGTAAATTCACAACGCAAACTCAAAACTATTTTTGATTTTACCAGGCAAAGCCCACAGAAAAATGCAGCTCTTTTTTCAGAAGTGACCAACCTGGCCAGAAATGATAGCTCAACGAAGTGGCTTATCATCATGTGGACATTTATAGCAGCCACATACTCTAAACGCGTGATGTTCATTCTAAAAAATAAAAAGCGTATCCTATTAAAGGCTGTGGGGATCCGAGATGTCTGTCATCTGGCTCGCTGGTCTCACCGAAGAGATGTCGCTGCACAGGACGTCATCTTTGTCGATGATGCTGAAGGGGCTCTCAGTGGCTGCCAGTGACCCCCTCTCTCTGTGTGTGCTGCTCCTGATGAGACCAGATCTCGGTAGGTCTCCTTATATACACAAGGACATAGCTCGGGGGATAGGGAGCCCTTTTGAAGAGCTGATAAATACGTTTAAATTCAGGGTGCGACCTTCCAAAGAATGCACATTTCTTTCGAAATAATTTCGTGTTTAATCTCAAATGTCAAACCAAATGATCCTGACATTTTCGGTGCTTTGAGAATTAATCAAAACACAAACACGATACGTGGGTGTTCATGATCTCTCTACGTAGTGTTGTTTAAGTTTTTTCGCGACACACGGAGATATACGTTCTAAGCTGTTCAAGCACGCTTTGCAGTACACATATTGCAATAACAACTCATTAATGGCAAAAACAAAGAATTACATTTCAAGTTACTTGGGTGGTGTTTGGTTTCGCCGATTTGGAACAAATAAAACCTACATTTTACTGGTTTAAACCATATTCTTAGATTTTTTCGGTAAAGTCACGTAGGTAAAAACATTAAAAAGTAAAATAAAATAAAAAAATAAATATCACGACGTTTCGGAGGCAACACAAGCTTCCGTCTTCAGGTGGTACCGTCACAGCCACGACAGCTGTATCAAGTAAATGAGAGATTGCAGGAGCTACCACTCCGTTTATATAATGGTTGGGGAAGGTGGTGGGGCAAGGGCCACATACTTATTATTAATGTGGTAAGGTGAGGCTTGAGACTAAGAATAGACTGCATAACAAAGGCTGAGCCTTGAATCAAAAACCAAACCAAACCAAAACGGTGCCTGAAATACAATTCCTTATATTTCCCCATACCGATTCCAAAGAACACAGGATGAAATGTTACTATCCTTTGTGCAAGCACTTCCAAGAGTTCATGAACAGTGAGCCTGGTGAAATTTGGGGAGCGCATCGTCAGTAGTGAACCTTTGGGTCCTAGGGTGTTTCGGCCTTTCATACTATACACCCTCCCCAAAGGCGGCCAGCGACAGGGTGATCAATCCTACGCTTGCGTCCCATTCCCAATTAGTCATAGGAGTTGCCTTGTTGTTGATAGCCAACATCCCATGGGACTATGCATGGCAGGGGCGTCCTCCTCCTTGAGTCAAGCATTGTTGACTGCATACCTCCTGGCCCTCTCACTTTGGGGACCAGCTGGGGTCTTTCCTCTTCATCCAGAGCCACTGACTGCTGCCTTCTGCCGCCTCCGATACAGCTCTGATTGCCGAACGCTGGTTCTGGCCCTTAATTCCCAGGTCTCTAAGCAGTCTGGTTGTAGATGTTGCCACAAAACCTCTGCAGCCCACCTCCACTGGTCGGACTTCTGTGTTCCAGCCATGATGCCATGCTTCGGCAGCTAGATCGGCATAGTGCAGATGTTTTCGCTCATAAGCCTCATCTACTGAGTCCTCCCAGGGTACTGTGAGCTCAATGATGAAGACCTTCTTGAGCGAACGGGACCAGAGCACCATGTCAGGTCTTAGGGTGGTGGTTGCGATCTCCGGAGGAAACACAAGTTGCCGGCCAATGTCAGCTAGCATTTTCCAGTCGCGGGCCAAGCGCAGCTGGTCTCACTCTATTGGTGTAGAGCCGCTCTTCGGTGGTTTAGCCCCTTCGCGGACAAAGGTCGTCCGTAAGGGGTGTGATGCTGCTGGGGGTGGTAGGGAGTTGGTGGCAGCTCGCTTGTCCTCCAGGGCGGACGCAAGGTTTCTAAGGACTTGGTTGTGACGCCAAGTGTAGCGTCCTTGGGTGAGGCTTGTTTTACACCCTGTGAGAATGTGCCTGAGGTTGGCTGGCATGGAACAGAGGGCACAGTCCGGAGCTTCACCATACCATTGTTGAAGATTAACTGGTGTTGGAAGGACGTCATATGTTGCTCTGATGGAAAAGCTCAACCGCCTCGCTTCCATGGCCCACAGATCCTTCCTTATAATCGGTTAGATTACTTGAACACGTTAATCGGAAAACAAGTAGATATCTTTCGATTTAAAGCTTTCGTGACTGCAGAGATTCATCTTCTTGGTTCTTTCGGTAAAGTCACGTAAAAGGGAAAATAATAAAATAATAAAAATAAAACATAATAAAATAATTCTCACGTTTCGGCCACAATGCAAGCAGCCGTCCTTAGGTGAAGAACAAGTCTGTCGGGAAGACAGACTTATTTTATTATTTCCCTTTTACGTGACTTTACCGAAAGAACCAAGAAGTAGATATCTACCACGTGGGCCACTAGACGGGAGGCAATGGGCTGGTGCTGACGAGGACTTCGTGCTGGGCTTGTATGAGGCCATTAAATAATTAACGTTAGGTGGCCTTATCATGACCCTTACGCGTGCATTAAGGGTGAACTAGGCCCCAATGAACCTCCAACAGAGTTGAAAGCGGGTGATAACTCGTCGTGGAGTAAAACTCACAGTGACGAGTAGTTTGTAAGTTTAAAGCGGAATGCAAAGCAGGTTTTGTTAAATGCCACAGTGTTGTTAGAGGTTGAATTGAGTGTCAGCTTAGCTTAGGAGAGCCGTAAAGGCAGTAACTATCGTGTTTTCAGTGTAAGATATTAGTAAGAAGTAGTTTCCATACATAGTCTGCGTCTACATTGAAATTGTATTCACATTTACGACTTGAGATTAGAATCGAGCAAGATACCAAGATACGAAAATGAGGAAACATTTTTAGGTCTTTTTGGTACTGCTTACAGTGACAAAGGGTTTTGATCTGCAGCAGAATAGAGACTCGTAAAGGTATCACGTGTCGTCTTCTTTGTGTAGTGGCATATTGCTAGCTGCTGGTGAAAAAGAGGAACTGCGGTGTATGGCAGTATTGAAGTCAGCAGGCCATTTCGATTTAAAGCTTTCGTGACTGCAGGGATTCATCTTCTTGGTTCTTTCGGTAAAGTCACGTAGAATGGAAACAATAAAATAAAACATAATAAAATAATTCTCACGACGTTTCGGCCACAACGCAAGCAGCCGTCATCAGGTGAAGACCAGGTCTGTTGGGGAGACAGCGTAATCTAAGTTATTGTCTCCGAGTTAGAGTTGTGTATAGGTGAACGTAGGGTGTGCATTAATCCAATGGTGCTCGTTAAATAAAAGTGCCTCCAAGTCTTATCGTCTCCGAGTTAGTCACTACATTTGTATTCAGATGGAGTTTCAAAGATATTCTATCCTTTTATTTTCTTGTTCAGTGGTTATAGAGTCACTTTGTCATTTTAGTCGTGCGTTTCTAATAGAGATCCTCTTTATAGATGGTGATGACGACGACAATGATATTATCGGCACCAAGTTGAATTCTACATTGTGTTTTATTTTCACTTTTGCTGATAGCGACAAATCGCGAGCCTGGAACAATACACGGATTGACATTGGAGCCAGGGAGGGATAGGCAATAAACTCCGCAAAAACTCGAAATAATTGCGACGGGACCGTACATGGTGGTGCGAGGAGAGGTGTTGGACTCGCTACCTAAACCCACTGGGGGACCCACGTGTCAGGGCGTGAAGTTCCAGAATGAGCTTGGGCGGGGAGAGGGAACATGATCTGCTGTTGTGGCTTTATATAGGCCCTGGAGGGGAGAGGGGGGGGAAGGAGTTTGGCTGTAGGAGTTCACAGAGGAGAGGGGGGAGGGTTTGTCGTCGTCCGATTACTACTTGAACTACAAGTCCATTTAAATACGCTTTGGTTCTTTCAGTAAAGTCACGAAGGTACAAAATAAAATAAATCACGACGTTTCGGGCAGAACACAAGCGTCTGTCATCAGGTTAGAGGCGGCCTCCTGATGACTCAGCGGTCAGAGTGCTGAGCTCGCACGGTTTGGGGTCCTCGGTTCTAATCCAGGCAGCCATCTGTGGACCAGGCAGTCATCTGAGATCCAAGCAGCCAGATCCAGGCAGGTGGCTTCCTAGCGTAGTGACATCACGGGATGTCACTGTGTATTGACATCGCGGATACCACTATGGTGTGAGTGTAGTACCGGCCCTAGAGGGCTGGTTGACAGCGCTGATTGATAGCGCTGGATGGCACCACGCTTGGCCTATAGTGCCGGCCCTACAGGAAAGGAGTGCCGGCCGTAGGAATAGGGTTACTAAAGGCCATGGCACTATGGTTGACCCGAGGGGACACGTGACCAGTTAAGTCTACAAAGGGAACCCAAGTGGGGGCTAGAGGTGGTCACGTGGTCGGGGTCCAGATCTTGCTCGAGGATTCCGGAAGGTGGTCGTGGCCAAGGGCGGAGCCAGCCACGCCGGAGAGAATATAAGCCGGGTCCCCCAGAGGGACCGGCGTTGTTGTTCATCCAGAAGAAACCTTCGTCTACATCCTACATTCTACGTTCTCCAAATCTCCAACACGTGGACCTGGACTTGAGCTGTGGTCCCAGTCCGTGTGTTGCCTCCAAGTCTACGTCTGCGACTCAGATGAAGTCACTACAACTGGTCTCGGAAGTGGCCACACGTTCTATTGTCAGTAAGATTAGACGAGTTAGGTTATGCGCACGCGACGCAGACTACATACCAGGACATTGTCGGACGACGAGGACGACGAAGGCATTATTTCTCAGACAGCCCTGAAGATGGCGACCCCGGAGAAAGGGGGTAAGGTGCCGTCGGCAGAGCATTGCGACGACCATCCCAGCGACAGCTCACCGCTGTTGGGGAAAGAGCGACGCACATTCCGCTCCTGCCTCGCTGAACTCCTGGAGGCTGTGGCTGCGATGGTCGTGGAGCTCGACCGCGAAGACCAGCGGTGGAGGAGAGAGCACCGGAGCTGCACAGGGTCGAGCATCCCATCGCCGTTTCCCACCAGCGGGATACCTCCGTGGTGCAGCCCGCGCAAGCGGCCGCATTTTTGTTCGTGGAGCGGGGGCGGAGAGCCTGTCAAATCTGACACCGCGTGAAGTTCACCTGTTGAGATTCCATCCCTCAGGCGATTACTACACTTTGTTAAAGAATTTTCAGCTGCCAGAGGCGACTGGGTGGCCTTCAAGCACCGGTTCCAGACGAACTGCGACATGGCGGGGTGGACGGAGGCTGAGGTGCTGAGAGTGCTGCCCGCGCGTTTGATGACGATGTCTTAGCGGCGTTTCTCACCATCCCGCCGTCGGAGAGGGCCACACTACAACAAGCCTTTGCTCAAATGGCGGCAATCTACGAACCGCCATGAAACCTTCGCCATAAGTTCGCTGCGTGGAGGAGAGGAGAGGTCGAGACTCCCCTCACCTTCCATAGTGCACTATTGGCGCTAGCAAAGGCTGCCTTCCCAAAGATGGACCACGACGGAGTCGACTCGCTGGTCCTCAAGAGATTGTTGACGTTGGCAAAGGACCTCAACATCGTCCTGCCGGCCGTCGACGAGGATTTTTCTTCTCTCAAGGTTGCAAGATGCATCCAGGCGCACATAAGGGGTTGGCAGCGTGTACCGCGCCTCATGAGGCGCGTGATACATCCAAAGATGTGGAGCTCGTCCAAGCCTGTGCTTCGACCCAAGGCGGAGGCTGGCGAGGTGACGGCATGGTGCGACGGGATGAACAACTTTGACGGCGAAGACCTCTCCTCGTCCTGGGAGCGGGCTCGTTGTGTGCTACAACTGCGGCCTGCTGGGACACGTCTCGTCGGGCTGCCGTGTGCCGCGACGACGACTCCCCGGACCACCGCCGTCATCCGCCCGACCGTCCTCCACTCCACTATACCCGAAGGTGAGTCGCGACACATCACACACTCGTCCCCTAAATCATCCACCTGACTCATCGCATTCGGTTGGTTTTCATTCCCGTCGTGTGTCAGGGCGTGAGGATTCGGATTTTGCTCGGGCTGACTGGCCACTCTGACCGGGTCAGTGGTTGGAGTTGGCTCATAGAGTGGTTCATGTGACCGCAAGGTTCATTCGCTGTTATCGGAATGATAGAGGAGGTTGAAATCAGCATGCTCGTCAATACTGGTGCATCCGCGACTATTATTTCCGAGTTGATTTTTCACATTCTGCCCCCTAAATGGCATACCCTATGTCCCGTCGGGGTTCCGTGCCTGATGAAGCTAGTTGTAATTTGAGTGCGACGTTTCATACTCAGCTTGGCTCTCCAACACACCGGTGTGCTGCACTAGTGATGAATTGGCACGTTCTGTTACGTGACAACCCTTGCTAGTTGGCTGTATCGGGTGGTGGCAGGGTTTTAACAACACATTTATATATTTACGCGATCTAACCCAAAAACCTATATTATGGTTGAAATATAATTCTTTGTTTTTGCCATTCATGAGTTGATGTTGCAATATGTTTACTGCAACACATCTCTATCTCTGGAGAGAGAGACGTGTTTGAAAAGCTGAGAACGCATATCTCCGTGTGTCGCAAAAATGTTTTGACGAAACTACATACAGAGATCATGAACACCCACGTATCGTGTGTGTGTTTTGATAGATTTTCAAAGCACCGAAAATGTCAGGATCATTTGGTTTGACATTCGAGATTAAACACGAAATAATTTCGAAACAAATGTGCATTTTTTGGAAGGTCGCACCCGAATTTAAACGTATTTGTGAGAAATGCAAGTCAGCCCAAAAAAGGGCTCCCTATCCCCCGAGCCATGTCCTTGTGTATATAAGGAGACCTACCGAGATCTGGTCTCACCAGGAGCAGCACGCACAGAGAGAGGTCACTGACAGCCACTGAGAGCCCCTTCAGCATCATGGACAAAGATCACATCCTGTGTACCGACACCTCTTCGGTGAGACCCGCGAGCCAGACGACAAACCCAGACATCTCGGATCTCCACAGCCTTTAATAATATGCACTTTTTTGTTGTCGTCTCGTTTTCGCTTGTACGTTTCAGTTGTAGTGGCTGTGTGATGCGCTGTGTCAGTGTGTTGGTAATTATCACGTGTGCTGTGTTATTGTCAGTGGTGGTGATTATTGCTGTATCGATGGGGTGGTGGTCATGTCCTTTGGGCGTCACGGTGGCGAGATGTTAACTACCTCGCCTGATATACAGGAGGTCGTGGGTTCGATCTCGACCTTGACGCCTGCTGTATGTTTGTAGTTTGCATCTCACTCTCCCCTTGGTCGCGTGGATAGTTCTCCGGGTCCTCCGGTTTTCCCCTCCACGTTTAGAATGAACATCACGCGTTTAGAGTGTTTGGCTGCTAGAAATGTCCACATGATGATACGCCACTTCGTTGAGCTGTCATTTGTGGCCAGGTCGGTCGCTTCTGAAAGAAAGCTGCATATTTGAGTGGGCTTTGCCTGGTAAAATCAAAAGTAGTTTTCATTTTGCGTTGTGATTGTTTCAGTCGTCCAGGTTCAGCCGCAAGTTCATCATCATCTCCGCGACGCTGCTGCTGCTGATCGTAGTGGTGGTGGTGGTGGCCGTGCTCCTGGGAGTCTTCATTGGGGGAAAGAACGCAACGGAGGTGCGTGCGTGTGCGGTCGTGTAGCGGGTAGCGTGCTGCGCTACGAACCAGGCGGGTTCGATTCCCGCTCATGGCCCAACACCACAGTGATGATTATCCGAAGTGGTCTCTAGGCGTCCCCGAGGTCAACCCAGCCTCAAATGAGTACCTGGTACGACGTGAGACAAAGGCGGCCAGGTGTGGTGTTGGCCACCCACCCACTTGTGTGACATGCCGGCCTTCATAGGTGCTCGCTAACATCACTTGCCCCAACAGGCTTTATGTGGGATTTGTCTTTTTTTGTGCGTATATGTACGTAGCCAGCCGTGCTAATTGGAGGTGCGGGGGGAGGACAACAAACTAAACACAAAAAGCAGTTCTAAAGTAATGAGTATTCAATGTTGACGATTTAAAAGGAATTTCCTAATATCGGAAGGAAGAGCATTCCAGTCGGCCACAGAAGCGAATATGAAAATGTGCGATGCAGTGACCGTCTTTGTTCGATGCGTGTTGTTGGCCTTCATAGGTGCTCACTAACAGCACTTGCCCCAACAGTCTGTTACAGGACTATACGGGGGATTTCTGTCTTTATCGACGGAGTTTTAGAATTTCTGTATGTGTATCGCGTGCATGCTTACAACCAGCTCCGAGTTGGGAGTAGAGATCTCACTTTCATTCAAATATTGGATCTTCATTTAAATTATGTTAGAGATTTCACGGGCTGATCGAAAACTTCACCGCCAGCTAAAGATGGTTGATATAAAAACAAGAATTGACGCGTGGCTTCAGAAACGTTTCCTAGACTCCTAGACTCGAGGCTACTGGGAGGTGGCAATTTCACATGTTGATGTAGCGGTAAGTCTGGCTCAGCCATGATGTCATTGTACCGTCAAAAGTACGGCAGCATCTCGCAAGATGTTCGATAGGAGGATACTGGAGAATGCCGGCAGCCATGGCAGTTGGTGTAGATCGGCGTTCTTCCTTGCAAGGCCCGAGAGCCACTCGCGGCCCCTGATGGCCTTTAGTGTGGCCCGCGACAATATACTAAGAGTGAAAACACCACCCCATCACCATCAAAATCGTGCTGTCAAAAACCCAACAATTGTTTCAAATGTGTGGCAGCCCTCACACTGATGATGTCTTATCGGCGAAAGTGCCCCCCCCCCCCCCACCTCTGAAAATTATTGAAGAACACTGATTTAGATGGACGTGTGCCACTGACCTGTCTCCGAGTGATGTCGATTTGTGTGTTCACACTCAATGTACCGGCTGTTGTATATTTGTATTTTGTGTGTGTGTGTATATATTCATTCTTACATGAGCACGTGTGTGTGTGTGCAGCTCTACCAGTTGTCCATGAAGAATGATGACGGCAAAGTTGAGCAACAGACGGTGCAGGTGAATCCCAAGGAGAACATCGCCACCTTCTACGTCCAGAGTGCCAACCTCTCCTCCACCGTGCTCCTCGACTTCAACACGGTTAGTCCACCACGCAGTAACAGCAGCATCATCATCACCATCTCATTCACCTCCAGCAACCAACACCACAACTACCTTCAACATCATCTCCACCAACACCTCCGACACAACCCTCGTTCAACACCTCCACAAACTCCACCAACTCCAGCACCATTTTCACCAACACCCACCTCCAACATCACGTTTAGTAACATCTCCAGTAACATCTCCAGTATCATCTCCATCAAGGCAACCACCATTTACAATAAAGACCCCCCCCCTCCCCCGTATAGCCTAACAATTCTGTTGAGGACAAGTGTTGTTAGCAAACACTTATGAAGGCACACGAGGGGGTGGGTGGCCAACACCACTCCCGGCCGCCTTTGTCTCCCCAGTGGTGATGTTTACTACACACTGTACCAGGTACTCATTTGAGACTGAGTCGACCTAGGGCAGGTCCAGCACCGATTCAGACAATCGTTACCGGTGTTGGCCGTGTGCGGGAATCGAACTTGGGGAGCCGGGTTCAAAGGGCAGTGTACGATCCACTACACTACCGCCCCCTATACCACTACACATGTCCTACACCTTCAATGCACTTCGAAAATCTCACCTCGAGCCACAATCACCACGATTACCACCATCACCACCCGCAACGACCCCACACCACAGTAACATCACCTGCACAACGTTTCCATCACCTCCGATGTATCCTCCTATACCTCCACTCGCCACCGACCCCTGGTCGACACCATCTAAAACGAATCCAGCATCATCACCTCTTTAAAACCTCCTTCAACACCTAAAATGCTCCTACACCATCTCATACATCACCTCCTCCAGTACCTCGACCACCATCATCATCAAGTTCTCAAACACAACCACCTTAGTTTTTAATCATCACCACTACCTTCGATCACCACGAAGACTCATTCTTTAGCAAGAATATTAGTGCTATGTGATCATCAATGATTCATGTACGTGATATTAGTTTATTAACGATGATGAATGACTCAAATTTCTTAAGGTCATTAATTCTATAGCAGCGATGACGATGATGATGATTACGATTGTGATGATGTTCGGCAGATGCTGATGGTGCTGAGAACAAACAACCTTGACAGCTGCTACGTTCGGAAAATGGAGGGCGGAAACTTCACGTCGCTGTCAGATCTCAGCAACAGCCTCAAGAACCTCAACGTGAGACCAACAACCACTCAGAGTAGCGCCACTACCAAGAGCACCACTACCTCACCTTGAAACAAAGACAAAAGATCGCCTGTATAACCTTTAACAGATTGTTGGGGCAAGGACTGTTGGCAAGCCTGGTATGGAGGAGGTCGTGGGTTCGATCCCGACCCTGACGCCTGCTGTGTATTTGGAGTTTGCGTTTATCTCCCCGTGGCGGCGTGGATTTTTCTCCGGATCCACGTTTATAAACACGCACTTAAGAGTATTTGTCTATTCTCAATTTCCACGAAATATGCCACTTATTTGAACTAGCTATCATTTGCACCCAGGTCGCTTCTGAAAAAGAGCTACATAGCTCTGTGGGCCTTATCCAGTAAAGTAAATAAAATGGTTATTGTAAAATAGTAAATAGCAAGACTATAATGGCGCACTAGGAGTGGTGTGGCCTACACTACGCCTGGCCGCCTTTGTCTCCCCATTGCTGATGTTTACATATCACACCAGGTCCTAATTTAAGGCTGAGTCCACGTAGGGGAGGCCCAGGATCGGTTCAGATAATCATCACCGATGGTGGCCGTGAGCAGGAATCGAACTCGGGTCGTCGGGTTCGTAGTGCAGTGCTCTAACCACTACACTAACCACAACTAATACCAGAACCTCTATCACAAAAACATTACCGCAATCACCACTTATACCAGCTCCACCACAACCACCACTTGCACCATGATGATGGTGGTGGGGTTGATTATTACTTCACAGGGTAAGCCGGCGCAGGAGAGCGACAACTCAAGCTCCACATCGTTCATCCCTGGTCCCGAGATCTTCGACCGATCCCTGTTCAGCCGCAGCGCCAGCCTCCTCTGCCAGGACGTGAGATCGTTCTGGCTCGTCCAGGGTGGTGAGTACATCTCTGCGTGCACAACCCAACACAGACGACAGAGCTGAGTACGGACCTTGGCAATGAGAACTCGGCGCTGACTAGAGAACAATGCATGTCTAGCCTGCGCGTTCGGGCTTTTTAACACGAGGCGGATACTTAGTTATTAGACAATTTACTTTACATTCATGCTCAGGTGAGGTGTCCGGGTAGCTCAGAGGTCAAAGCTCTGGGCTGGCATTGATCGCTGAGATCCTGGGTTCGAATCCAGGCCTGTGATTAGACCGGGTTCTTCTCAGTGTGTTGACGTTCTCGACTTGGCCACCCAATCTCCATGGTTTTGTAGTGGGTTCCAGGAGACCGGAGACGGAGTACTTGAGGCAACACGTTTATTGAATACAACTGAGTGATACACGGGTCCCTAACACAGAGGGGTAGCGGCCCCTCTTCCCGATACCTGGGGAGGTATAGCCTCCGGCTAGCGTGTCCTATCTCTGGGGCTAGTACTCTCAACCCTCCCGCTAATGGGGACCTAAGGGGAGGCTATCTGACCCGACCCAGCCAAGGTTCACGGGTCCCGACCACTGACCCACTCGGTCCTGGCCCTTAGAAGGACGTCGGGTCCCGGGCGTTCTCAGGGTCCTAGCCTAGCTGGTCTTCTTTCTTCAGCTTGACGAAGACTGCCAGACTCATCCAGAGGTCCGGCTTTATACCCGTGGCCGGGTCTCTCCGCCCCTGGCCACGCCCTCCTTCTGGAACTCTCTAGGGGCTCGGGAATACCCCCCCCCCCCCACCCCTCTCTTGGGGCTGGGAGAGTCTAGTGTCCCAACGGCCCGGCTCATTCTGCCCATCCCGGGTTACCACCCCCTATGGACACGTGTCTGCTACTACAGGTATGTGTGCATAACAATGCGATATACAATGCCTGACAATGACGCTACAATTTTATTGTCATGCGATGACGATTTCTCTCTGTAGCAGCTGCCTGAGGTAGCTAGGAGATACCAGCACAGCAATGGATTGTTAATTCTGTCACGCCATTGCATGCCGATTGCGACAACGAAGATGATGACGATGACGGGATGATGGATCATGGTCGAGACTAACGGCAGCCAAAGGAGGGAACACGCCCAAAATGGCGTCCACTGCCGAGATGTTAACTACCTCGCCTGGTGTACAGGAGGTCGTGGGTTCGACCCCGACCCTGACGCCTACTGCTGTATATTTGAAGTTTGCGTGTCTCTCTCCCTCTCTGCGTGGTCTAGTGGATTTTTCTCCGGGTCCTCCGGGTTTTCTCCTCCACATTTAGAATTAACATCACGTGTTTAGAGTATTTGGCTGCTGTACATTTCCACGTGTTAAGCCACTTCGTTGAGCTGTATCATTTGTGGCCAGGTCGCTTGTGAAAAAGAGCGACACAGCTCAGTTGGTGTTACCTGGTAAAAAAAGAAGCGTAAAGTTTAGTTGATTAAATCAGCTCGTGCGCATGTGCGAGGTGGATTACACTGAGAGATGGCGTGGTGATGATTCCGAGGATGACGCGGCTGTGTTTATTGATCCTGGCTGGAAATGGAATCCTGAATGAGCAAATTACGAACTGTAAACTCACATCTGTGTTTCTTCTTTCTCTTCTGTGACAGACCCCAACACCCGGCGACTATGCCTGATCTGGAGGTTCTTAAAAAGAATTTGTATCTTTCGTCGGTGTGTTTATATCTCGGTGTGCATTTCATGGTAACGATAGCATTTTTGAGAGGCCCTTGTTGGTAAGGCCCTGTGTTAGGTTAATCAATATGGGTGGAACGAGTAATCGGGTTATGGTGATTTATAATCGTAAACTACACGCGGGGTTTGTGCGTTTCTGCTCTCTGTTGTCACGTCACACTCTTCCAAAAATCACCCTTCCGAAACCCACCGGTTGGAAACTGTCAGGAGGCCTCAAGTAAAAACATATATAACGTTAAACATTCAATCTTCCCACCGCCACAAACCAATTTTCGCCTGCCCAAAACTGAAAATGTTCCCTTTCGGATGGTTCTATTCTAGTTACAACTACAGTACATGTAGCCGGTCTGCTGTATCCCCTCTTGAATCCTTTCGAGGGGGTGGGGGGGTGTGAAACGGCAAAAAGTCTTCTTCAGAAGGGCAATGGCGTATCTGCAATAGCGATCGGAGGGACACCCTCCTACGTCACAACAACACCGCAGCCGAATCCCTCTGTTGATGGGATTGAGCGTCAGTGTTAATGTTTTAGACCCAAATATTATATATATATTTAAACCAAATTTAATATCAAAGTCTTCATTGTGCATATATTCATTAACCACCAACAACTCAATCGACAGCCAATTAACATTAGCGACTCCCTGTCCGTCGATTGACAATCAAGTAATATCAATTTGAGTTACATGCAACTTACCGGTCCAGAAGTTAGCCCAAATCTAAATTGGGCCTGGGGTCAAATTCCTGATCACCACTGATCACCACTGCCTTCTCTTATCATCATCGTAAAGAAACGCACCTGGCTACCAGTAGCTGTGAAAAATGGTTTGTTAGGTTCCTATATGTTACAAAGTGCACAAGTATTCACGCAATTCATTACAGGTAAGCCTACACCGGCCGAATCACGGGGAATGCTCCCCAATTTCATCAGATCGCAGAAGACGCACGCGGTGATTGAGCATGAAGGGGGTTTGTTAAATCTATTGTACGGGTAAATAAACAACAACACAGCGCAAACGACATCCTCCGCTTCTTGACAAACCAAACGCATTCAGCACGGAGCGAATTACCTTTAGGTCGGCGATCACAACACCCCAGTAAACAACAGCAACAACGATAATCAAGGATTTTCGTTCGGGGTTAAATCGCGTAAATGTAAACGTGTGTCGTTCACTCACCACCACCCGACACAGCCAATTAGTGAGGTTTGTCACGGAAACAAAAACGCGCCAATTAGTTGAGGGCTTCAGCACACCGGTTGTTTGTCGGAGAGTAAACCCCGCACCCTTTACAATTTGAGTGTTGCGACGTTTCGCTCGTGATTACAACAACAACATTCAGCCTCACCAGGCGATTTGCCACAAACGTGTAAACCACAGCAAGGGGCGCCAGCAATGGCCGCTACAGAGAAACAGCAGGCGTCCTTCACATTGTACGAATACACTTTTGATTTATTTTTTAAATACGCTTCGCTATTATCTTTGTTCGTCGCATGCCCGAGTGTCGGTTCAAAAAATAAAATGTTACTTCACCAAACCGCACGTGCGCGTGGAAGTGACTCGTTACTGCTCGCCGGATGGGGAGCGGTGGTGCAGCGGTTAGCGCGGTGCTGCGCTACGAACCCCGCTCACGGCCAACACCCAGTGACGATTATAATCTGAACCGGTCCAGGGCATCCCCTAGGCCGAATCAGCCTCAAATGAGTACCTGGCGTGCGGTGTGTAAACATCGCCGTTGGGGAGACAAAGGCGGCAGGGCGTGGTGTTCGCCACCCCACCCCTCTCTGGGCGTTCTTCGAGACGACCTGAAGATTTCGTGCGGACTGCCTGAAAAGTCGGGCAGCAGCCACTCAGACGAGCCTTTCATTTTTAAGAACCTGCCTGCATATTTGAGTTGCAGTCTGTTCTACAACAACGCGGTTGTAGTTACTTCCCTGAAGAACTGCGCGATATGGAAAAATCTCGTTATGATAAATAATATATAATACACTAGCTTTACTACCCGGCTTTGCCCGACACTTGGATTTTTGTCTTGGATTAATAGACAGCTTACGCAGAGGGGGGGGGGGGGGGTGCGTGACGTCAGCAGGCACACTGCGTGACGCTGCCGCATGCGGGTGACATCACAGAAGTGACGTCACCGCTCACTCGCCGTGCAAAATATATCCATTATTGCGCCCCCCCCCCCCCCCCAATGCAAAAGTCTATTTCTATACGTTTTGCATTGTGTACAGCATGGAAGCTACCCACATGCCAAATTTCAAATTTGTTGCATGTTGGGAAGTATACTAAACATTTAGAAAAGACACACATTCACAAATTTCCCTTTTATATATATAGATGGGGGTAAAGCACAGTGCGCGATATCACGTGACACGTGTACGCAGGCCCAACAAAGACTGAGGCGTGTGGGTCGCGTCTCGAAGCATCCAGCAGCATCCCAATGCCCCGTGTGATGCTACGCCGAGGCAGCCGTACAAGCGCTTATTCCTACTCGCGCGATGCAGTTTCTGTTCACTCAATCGCGTTATATCCAATTCGCATCCGCGTTATAATAAAAAATTTGTTCCCTAATACATTCATCGCGTTATATCCAATGAACACACGCGTTATAGGAAAACATACCGTATTCCTCAAATACCCTGAAGACAAAATAGATGTGTGTTTGGCGTGCATCAACAATGGCAAAAGTAATGATGATGCGGTCCAAAAGTGAGCTTTCACATTCGCAGTTTAATGCACACGTTGCTGATTACTCATAAAAACATCGGTTCAGTGATTAAAACATCAGGACAGACCATTAAGAAACAAAATAATTGAAAGTTGCAATCACTCTATGGAATATCTTTATTAAAATACGGAGTCATTAAATTGAGTACATATATAACGTGCACTTGTGTTTTCAGACAATGCATTCCTGCAATGGAAAAACAAACCACCCTATAATATTTGGAAAACAATATAGAAAGTCTGTGAGGATAAAAAAAACGCCCTCTGTATATGTAAAAACAAACATAAGCATTGGAAATACACGGAAAACGATCCCGTTCATTAGCTAGCCTGGCATACTATTGCTCAATGTCCTTATAATCCATTGGCCCAAAAATCAGACAGTTTCATTCCTTAGCATCGCGTTGAGTAAGAGCTACCAATCAATCGTCCTGTCAATAAGAGTTTTTTTGTTTGTTTAGATCGCGTAAATATAAATGTGTCATTAAACCCGCCACCACCCGACACAGTCAATAGGTAAGGTTTGCCACGTAAACAAAGCACGCCAATGCGTTACTAGTTCAACACACCGGTGTGTTTCAGAGTAAACCCACAACATTTACAATACCCCAAATATTTACAACACAGTTCGTCCTGATTTGGCTGGGGCAGTGCTGGTGCAGTTTCAGAAAATGCTGTTGCGGTTCGAGAAGCGTCAGTTTTAAAAGTTTATCTTATCCTCACGCTCGCTCGAGCTCGTGATGCGGGCACATGGCGAGACCACCGCAGTGGTGGACGGGGTGGGCAGAGGAATCGGCAGGATCAGGAACAAGATGTGCTAGGCCAAAGCTACGAGTTGGGGCCTCCCTTGACAACCGCCGTGAGATATGTTTTCAACAACAGTGTAAAGGAACAAAAACGCGGTTTAAATGTATTCTTTTTTTTTAATGAAAAGTGATTTTATATTACGTCCCACGTTTGATTTGAATGTTATTAGAGCAGTAACGTAACACGGAGCTGTAATGGCTGCATTTCTTGCGAAGACAGAGCGCCCCTCTACAGCGTTAAATGTTCGAAACCGCGAGCGTAACGACGATGTGGTCAGGGCAAGAGGAGCCGCCAAATAGAACAGCCATGTGAGACACGTCCAATATTGGAGGTCCCCACCTGACCAATTGTTGCATCCCCCTGAGTGGATGATGTCGTTACTACGCCACTGATAATGTAGTTACTACGCCACTGATAATGTAGTTACTACGCCACTGATAATGTCGTTACTACGCCACTGATAATGTAGTTACTACGCCACTGATAATGTAGTTACTACGCCACTGATAATGTCGTTACTACGCCACTGATAATGTAGTTACTACGCCACTGATAATGTCGTTACTACGCCACTGATAATGTAGTTACTACGCCACTGATAATGTAGTTACTACGCCACTGATAATGTAGTTACTACGCCACTGATAATGTAGTTACTACGCCACTGATAATGTAGTTACTACGCCACTGATAATATAGTTACTACGCCACTGATAATGTAGTTACTACGCCACTGATAATGTCGTTACTACGCCACTGATAATGTAGTTACTACGCCACTGATAATGTAGTTACTACGCCACTGATAGTGTAGTTACTACGCCACTGATAATGTCGTTACTACGCCACTGATAATGTTGTTACTACGCCACTGATAATGTAGTTACTACGCCATTGAAAATGTAGTTACTACGCCACTGATAATGTAGTTACTACGCCACTGATAATGTAGTTACTACACCACTGATAATGTAAGTTACTACGCCACTAATAATGTAAGTTACTACACCACTGATATGGTTCGAGGATGCAATATATTTCAACCTCGGATTTCACGTATCACGTAACATGTGCAGATAGATGGATTGATGACTGGAGTGTGAAGGAAAAGTGCAATGGTGACGATGATAATGCGTGCACCCATGTGGTAGAGACAGCGCTAACGATGAAGCCATTCGCAGTGCATTCAGGGTTCTCATTGGGTCTCTCTGTGGGTCTATGGATCTCTGTGTAAGTATATGGGTTTTTGTAAGTAAATGGGTCTCTCTGTGGGTCTATGGACCTATGTGTTATTCCATGGATTTTTAGCACTGATGATGAAGCCACTGCTACCCATTCCTTTTCAGCCATTAAGTGAATCCACCTGCATGCCTCATCACCTGAGACTTAAAATTTCCATCCCAACATGCAGTTTTTAGCCTCCTCAATCTGGAGTCAACCTTCCATTTACACAGGATGGATGAGTCATTGGTCATTTGTTTCTGGGGTGGTCGGGTGATTGGAAAATTATTTCCGAGTGGTCAGGTCATTGGAAATTGGTCTCTGGTTGGTAGGGTCACTGGATATTGGCTTATGGTTGGTAGGATTATTAGAACATTGGCATCTGAGTGGTTGGGGCATTGCCAGGCCTGGTTAGAGCACCTTCTCTCCGAGTCCATCGTTAACCAAATATGATGCTGATGCAGTTGATGATGCTGACCACCTTGATAGCGGTGTCCCTGATTTTGCTCCACCACCCACGTGTGGTCGGGTCTGCGAAGAGAACGGGAGAGGAGCGGGTTGAGAGGAGCCATGGTCGACGCTGGGTACCTTCAACGAGTAGGCAAGGGCCTCTCGCAGTGACGGACGGTGACCACGATGTGCGTTAACGTGCGGCAGCACCACAAGTTTATTTGCAAGTGATCTTTGGCCCTCGGTAGGGGAAAAAGTTCCCCACCCGCATTCTACTTGGCGCCGTGAGTTCTACACTCTATCGTCTTCTCCTCAGTATTTGGGTTCTGTGCTCAAGAACTGTACTCAGTGTTGAGTTGTGTACTCAGAGCCATACTCACTGCCCTTGACGAGCCAGAATGTTCTGACGTCCTGGCAGAGGAGGCCGGAGCTGCGGCCGAACAGGGATCGGTCGAAGATTTCTGGACCCGGAACGAAGGAGGAGGCCTCCGGGTTGTCCTTCTCCTGAACCGTCTGACCCTGTGACACGACCATCATCAACATCGTCGTCATCATCATTCAACGCTGTCATCTCTCTCCTGCACTATTTGATATATCATTATCATCATTATCAGCAGTCGTAATAACATAATTATCATAATTGGTTGTTTACCCTTCTATCTGGCAACAAAACTGACACCTTTTTACAAGGAGTCATGTTTGCATAGACCGCAATACCTGCAGTCATAATACAAACAAAAGACATAACTCTGATAATGTGCACTGTCCTTGAAGTTGATTGGTCCACACCTGAGACAGCTTTCCTTAGAGCCTAGTCTCACATGGTTTGGACCAGATGAGACTAGGCTCTAAGGAAAGCTGTCTCGGGTGTGGACCAATCAACTTCAAGGACAGTGCACATTATCAGAGTTATGTCTTTTGTTTGTATTATGACTGCAGGTATTGCGGTCTATGCAAACATGACTCCTTGTAAAAAGGTGTCAGTTTTGTTTCCAGATAGAAGGGTAAACAACCAATTATCATATTTTTACTGGCAAATGAGGTTCCCATAGAACATAATTATCATCATCATAAATTCTAGGAGCATCACCACCATTATTAATCACAACATCAATCATGAATACCAGTGGTGCTAATGGTGCCAGTGGTGATGTTGGTTCAAGTTGTTCGTGTTGTTGGGCTCACGTTGAGGTTCTTGAGGCTGTCTCTCAGCTTAGAGAGCGACGGGATATCTTCGGCGCCAAGTTTCCGCACGTAGCACTCGCCCGGGTCGTTCGTTCTCATCACCACGAGGTTCTACAAAATGTCAACATCACCGTCGACATCATCATCATCACCAACATCACAGTCATCATCAGTATCGTCCCCATCGTCAATATTGTCAACATCACCATGACCATCAAATCATTAACATAATATTTTTTCTATAAATCAATCAATCTTTATTTTACGGGCCAAAATTTCCCTCAATAAAGTAGGCATCAGTGCACATTGATGCGATAGTGCATTGTGTTAGGAGCACAATAGTAATTTTCAGCTGTTACTACAGAAGTGGTTATGACTAAGGACTATATTGGCATTGTACTGGTAGGAACGAAGTGGACCAGACCACCAATAGATTAATGTGTCTGTCCGTCCGTCCGTCCGTCCGTGTATCAACATCGCCCCCTACTGCAAACACTTGGCATGACCCTACAAAAACCTTTAGACTCAGTGACGCTATCCTGGTAGCAACATCGCCCCCTACTGCAAACACTTGGCATGACATGTGTAACATTCACTTATAATTCCCTGAGATAGCTTTTAATTAAAACTTTGAAATTAAATAAAAAAAACTCACAGCGCCCTAAAGCCTACAGCTAGGCCTAAAGCCTAGAACTAGGCCTGAAACTCTCCCTTCGTATCGTACCCCCGCGTGTGTGAAAGGGAGTTATGTTTAACAATGTTACATTCCCTCATGTTTTTAAATAGAAACATTTAAATTTAAAGCTTTTACATAAATCATTAAAACATTTAAATTAAAAATTTACTCACAGCACCCTAAAGCCTACAGCTAGGCCTAAAGCCTAGAACTAGGCCTCAATCTCTCCCTTCGTATCGTCCGATTTGGTGTAGCAACATCGCCCCCTACTGCAAACACTTGGCAGGACCCTACAAAAACCTTTTGACTCAGTGGGGCTTTCCTGGCTTAACAAGTGTAATAATAAACTTCGCTTCAAATTTACTTTACTGAAACGCAGCAAGTTTTTTTAACACAGAGACAAGATACATTTATTAACACAGAGACGAGATACATTTAATCGCCTTATTTGTGCACGAAAAGCATGGCGCGAGGCCTAGTGCGGCAGGCTTCGCGAGGCCTAGTGCGGCAGGCTTTGCGAGGCCTACTGCAGAAAAGGCATCGCGAGGCCTACTGCAGGGAAGGCTTCGTGAGGCCTAGTGCAGAGAAGGCTTCGCGAGGCCTAGTGCAGAAGGCTTCGCGAGGCTTAGTGCAGCAGGCTTCGCGAGGCCTGGTGCGGCAGGCTTCGCGAGGCCTACTGCAGAGAAGGCTTCGCGAGGCCTACTGTAGAGAAGGCTTCGCGAGGCCTAGTGCAGAAGGCTTCGCGAGGCCTAGTGCAGAAGGCTTCGCGAGGCCTACTGCAGGAGGCTTCGCGAGGCCTAGTGCAGCAGGCTTCGCGAGGCCTAGTGCGGTAGGCTTCGCGAGGCCTAGTGCAGAAGGTGGTGGTGGGGGGTGGTGGGGTGGTGGTGGGGTTGGGTGGGGGGTGGTGGGGGGGTGGTGAGGGCTGGTGGGAGGGGTGGTGTTGAGGGTGGTGTTGGAAATGAAAGACTACGAGTCTTTAAATCTCACAGCGTTTCTTGTCAAAACAAACACTTTTAATTAACGTTACACTAGAATACAGTAATTTTTTCTTTAACTCCTCTATACCCGGTCGATATCCCTGTACCGGTACTAAGTATTATTCCTACCAGCCCACCCCGCAGGGTCCTGTTTAATATACTTATGGCTTTAAAATTAATGATTGCGAGGATACTAAGGTTCAAGTGGGTTGGTGGTAGTGGAGCTCTTGGTGATGATGGTCGTGGCATGTACGGTCTGCGATGTGGTGAAGATGGCTGTGGAGTTTATGTAGATGGTGGTGCATAAAGATGCATGTATGGTGGCTAGTGGTGTGGTTGTGTCTCTTTGTGTGTCTCTCTCTAGGTATGTCTCTCTCTATGTCTCTCTGTGTGTGTCTCTCTCTCTGTATGTCTCTCTCTCTGTCTTTGTGTGTGTCTCCCTATATGTGTCTCTCTCTCTGTGTGTCTCTCTCTGTGTCTCTCTCTCCTTCCCTCGATGTGGTGTTGTCCCTCGTTTGTTTCCCTCGTTGTCCAACGAGCTGGACGTCTCACTAGCACAGCCACCGTTGCGTTGGTTAGTTTACATTGACATGCTAATATCTCACAATACAATGGCCACCTCCTCAGCTCTGCGTCGTTGTGGAGGTGCTTCAATCACAACCCCCACCCCCATCAAGGGTTCCCATCTTTGGATTTCCCACTCGCTTCGGCACAATCTCTAGCCCCCACCCTCTTGCCCGATACGGCAAATTCCTCGCCCCCCCCTCCCTCTCGGCTCTAGAAATATAAGGACTTATTTCAGCAGCCTGTTTCTCTCTCCCACCTGAAGACGATTGCTTGTGTGGCGATTGAAACGTCGTGATCTATTATTTTTTCTACCTACATGACTTTACCGATAGATAAAAAATTGTTGATGTTGTTTCTGCAGCTGCTGCGTGATGGACTCGCCTTGCCGTAGTCGAGCAGCGTGGTGGAGGAGACGTTGCCGTTCTGGATGTAGAAGGTGGCGATGTTCTCTTGGGGGTTCACCTGCACCGTCTGCTCCTCGGGATTCCCATCTTTGTCCTTCGTGATCACCTTATAGAGCTGCTCTCATTGGCACCAAATGACAAAAACAAGGATTGCCCCCAATGAGCCTTGAGAGACTTTTGGGGCAAGTGTTGTAAGCGAGCACCTATGAAGGCCGGCACGGCACACGAGGGGGTGGGTGGACAGCACCACGCCCGGCCGCTTTTGTTTCCCAAGTGGTGATGTTTACACACCGCACCAGGTACTCATTTCAGGCTGAGTCAACTTAGAGGGGGCCCAGCACGGGTCCAGATTATCGTCACCGAATTATAAACACGCGTGCACACACACACACAAACGCAACACGAATCAGGCTACATTCAAAACAATCTCTGATCAAATCACCCATAATAGAGCAGGCCCGATCACTTCCTATCTAGAAAGCTCAGCGGGGCTGAACCTGGATAGTGCTCAAACACGTGACCCGCATGCCCAAACAGGTCGTCATAGGGCCACGTGGTGGGCAGCGAAAGGCAGTGGAGGGCGGAGAAGCAGAACCTCCTCTTGTCTATACTCCCCCTGCCCCCCTTCTCCGCCTTCACCAACTCGCATTGACCGTCGCGGTAAAGTATGGTCGCGTATCCAACGTGGCTGCACATGCAGTGAGAGGCTGAATCCACTTCTTGAAGAAGCCGACGAAGCGAAACGTCGGTCGTAATGCCGAACAACACGCGTTGCAGCCTAAACACGCATCTCAGAGCCAGGCCTATCGTATCATTTTCTGTTACGCGTGTAGCGTCGCAAACGCGTATAAACACACCGCCTGTATCCACTTACCTGCAGTTGTAGCCAGAGGTCTGTAGGGTGTACTAGCCTGTACAAGGGGATAGAGAGAGAGTCGGACCCAGGTGAGGCTGGGTTCCCCTCCCCTACCCCAGGTGGGGGGCTAGGGGGGGGCCTTCCAGGATCCTCTGGAAGGTTCCAGAAAGGGGGCGATACCAGGGGCGGAGGGTCCCCTCGAGGTGTATAAAAGGGGCACCCCAAGCACAGCTCGGGGTAGTGCTACGAAGATGAAGACTGAAGACCAGCTAGGCTAGGACCCTGGAACCTCGAGCCCGCTGCCCTTGTAAGGGCCGGGTCGAGCTTGGACCAGTGGTCGGACCCGTACCTTGGCCGGGTCGGGTCAGAGTAGCCTTCCTAGCTAGAACCCTGGGACCTCGAGCCCGACGTCCTTCTCAGGGCCGGGTTGGGCTGGGACCAGTGGTCGGGACCCGTACCTTGGCTGAGTCGGGTCAGTCAGCCTCCCCTAGGCACCGATAGCTGGAGGGCTAAAGAGTTAGGTTGCTAAGTGTGAGGTCACGTTAGCCCGGAGGCTGTACCTCCCTAGATAGTGTACGTTAAGGGAGTTAGTTAAACAATAAACCGTGTTGCCTGTACGACAACGTCTCCGTCTCCATAAAGAACTCACTACACACGCATCTGAGAGCCAGGCCTATCGTATAATTTTCTGTTACGCGTATAAGGAAGCGTTAATCGTCGTCATCGTCACAATAATGCCCTGCCATTCCCATGGGCTCAATTCGAAGTCTATCCCATTCCAAGTGTGCCATCTTCTCCTGTGAGCTAAAAAGATTTAAAGTATTAATCTCGTTCAAGTCCATTACCCTTGAGCATATATTTTATTTCCCACTGGTTTTCAATGTTTAATAATGTTCATTCTCATGGCCGCAGAATCCCCGAGGGGCTCCCCATCGCGAATGATGCAGTTGGTCATCAATGATTATTCGGCACGCAACTATCCGGCTGCTGCTTCCAACATTACCCATCGGTCCTGGGCTGTTCTGCCTCACGGCAGGTGTTGTGCTCCGTGGGAGGAGTGGAGGTGTGCGCATACAGGAATTTCCTGTTTTATGCTGAGTTTGGTCACGTGACCAGGAAGTTCCGATTTGACAGCCTTTCAGCCACGAGACTGGAGGTCTGCCATTACACAGAGTTCAAGATGGCGGCACACATCGCGTCCTAGTGAAGGCAGCTGTAACTGTCCATTGTGGGACTTTAAGAAGCATTGTCTGTAAGTTCGTTTATGTTCTTATAATACTGGGAATGCTGTTATAATGTTAGAATGACCGTTATAATGCTGTAAATGCCTTTATAATGATGTTAAATTGTTATAATGAATACGAGGCCTAGTTAACAACGAAGCCTGCAACTTTCCTTATTGTGAATGTTACTTGTAATTTAATAAGTCGAGTCAAACTTGTACCCAAGTAACTATATTGCGATCTTGAGAGCAAGGATGACGAAATATCTCATCCACAATTTAGTGTTATGTGTAGTACTGTACATTTGGGGTGCAGTGTGATGATTACACGATGTGCCCTTATTTAACACAGTAGCTTATTAGCTTGTATAGCTATTAAGTACTAATGTAGGTGCCCGGTCGATCCAGGATCTATTGTTGAGTTCAGGTTATCTAAGGCAATGTTATGATGATGTAGTGTTCATTCATTGTATTGATATTACCAAGTATTAACATATGCTGTATTTGTGCTGTGTTTTTCCATCAGTTTTACCTCGTTCAATTCAATACATTACGTTTGGAGTCGGATGTTCACCCTGGCTCTGAGGGTTTATTGGATGCGAGGTTAACTACTTGGATAGCGGTGCAACGCAGCGCACAGCGAGGCCGAGACAACGGCCGATCCGGCAAAACCGTCAAAATCGCTCCAAAGGCTGTTAACCAGTCCGTGCGATCGGCACCACGTGCGTGACAAAAGTACCTTCGCTTGATTTTAGTGTTAAATATGAAATACAGTACATTATACACTACCGGTACACACAACTTAAACAATGAAAATTCTGCACGTATATAGATCGCCCATGCAGAGTCTTCAAGATTTGAGTGGTACGTAACTTTTTAAAAGTAGGATATTTATTTTCTGTCTATTTGTATGTTTATTTATTCAAATTTCACATCGTAAAACATATCACAACACCTTAAAAACAATGGCAAACAAGAATTTGCAAAAATAATCTATTTGAAATCATGATTAGCGATTGTCTGGCATTTTTGGAAAATTTGCCGCCCCTCTCCACCCCCTACGATGCCGCCGGATAATCGATGATCATCTACCACATTCTCAAATACAAACACAACGGTGAACCTTTACGAGGGATGTGTTCCCCTCCCAACCCCCCACCCCCTCCAAAAAATAAATCCTCAACAAGCCTAGCAACGACATTTTTTTTTAAGTTCCAGCAAAGAAGGAGTAACAAACAACCCCCTCTCGACGTTTCAGAATGATCCGAAATGTAATGTCACACGAGGTAACGTCACGCCCGTCGTCTCGCTCCTTCCCCCCTTAATTTAAAAAAGGCACCGTCACGTGACGTTGCTTCGACGATGTTACGTCACTTGCTTACGTTATTAAAAACGTGAAAATATTTGCATGCGAGTTATCGTTCCACCGATGGAACTTTGCATGAAAGTAATAAATAAACGTAAGTTGTTACATGTCAGTTTTTTTGTTATTACCTTTTTAGTGCACAATCTTGTTTTATTTGAAAAACATCTAAAAATTTGATTGAAATCTGAAATTGAAATAAAAAACTGAAAATCGGATGTCATACAAAAATATACGAAAATGAAACTCGTCACTATTACTCACACACATATATACAATCCACACGCCAATGCATCGTTACACACTGGCCTCGAAATATAGGGCTAATTCAGGGGTTGCTTATCACTGCATCGTCGAGATTGCCCCGATTTTAGCGCTAAGCTCGTTGTTGTGAGCGTCGCTATTCTGCCCTCCATTGTTACTTGGAGGCGACTGCTCCAACTGCCCAGGAGCTAAAAGCATCGGGACCCATTGTCACCATTTGTGTCGCAGAACGAGGCGTCAGCTGCCTTCTCTAAAAGGTCCAGAGAGCCGTGCGGCACCACGACACACTCTCGGGCGACCAACAACAACAGCCATTCGCCTCTAAGTGGCAGTGACTTCACAACAGTGATTGTGCCTGGCTAGGTGCACTTTGAGGCCACGTGAAGTGTCGAAGGGTTGTTGGCTACGGGGCATGCCAAAGTGCCATGGGTTGACTGAGATGATTGGCAGATGCACCAACTGTGCTCCCTACTGTGCCAACTTGCTCGATTTTAGCGCTATGCTCGTTGTTTTGAGCGTCGCTACTCTGCCCTCCGTTGTTACTTGAAGGCGACTGCTCCAACTGCCCAGGACTATCTTTCACGAACCTCCTCCCCACGGAAGCCGATCTTGACACCACTGGTACCAGCCATCGACCAGTCGACTCGGCCTCGCCGTGGCTAGATGTTAACTACCTTGCTTGGTATACAGGAGCTGTTAGCGAGCACACGAGTGGGTGGGTGGCCAACACCACACCCGGCTGCCTTTGTCTCACTCGTGGGGATGCTTACACGTTGTACCAGGTACTCATTTGAGGCTGAGTCGACCTCGGGGAGGCCTAGGGACCGCTTCGGATAATCGTCCCTGTGGTGTTGGGCCGTGAGCGGGAATCGAACCCGGGTCGCCAGGTTCGTAGCACAGCACGCTACCCGCTACCCACTACACGACCGCACACGCACGCACCTCTGTTGCGTTCTTGCCCCCAATGAAGACTCCCAGGAGCACGGCCGTCACCACCACCACGATCAGCAGCAGCAGCGTCGCGGAGATGATGATGAACTTGCGGCTGAACCTGGACGACTGAAACAATCACAACGCAAATTGAAAACTGTTTCTGATTTTACCAGGCAAAGCCCACTGAAATATGCAGCTTTTTTTCAGAAGCGACTGACCTGGCCACAAATGATAGCTCAACAAAGTGGCGTACCATCATGTGGACATTTATAGACGCCACATTCTCTAAACGTGTGATGTTCATTCTAAACGTGGAGGGAAAACCCGGAGGACCCGGAGAACTATCCACGCGACCACGGGGAGAGTGAGATGCAAACTACAAACATACAGCAGGCGTCAGGGTCGAGATCGAACCCACGACCTCCTGTATATCAGGCGAGGTAGTTAATATCTCGCCACCGTGACGCCCAAAGGACATGACCACCACCCCACCGATACAGCAATAATCACCACCACTGCCAACAACATAGCACACGTGATAATTACAAACACACTTACACAGCGCATCACACAGCCACTACAACTGAAACGTACGAGCGAAAACAAAACGACAACAAAAAAGTGTATATTATTAAAGGCTGTGCGGATCCGAGATGTCTGTGGTTGTTGTCTGGCTCGCCGTTCTCACCGAAGAGATGTCGCTACCCAGGATGCGATCTTTCTCCATGATGCTGAAGGGGCTCTCAGTGACTGTCAGTGACCTCCTCTCTCTGTGCGTGCTGCTCCTGGTGAGACCAGATCTCGGTAGGTCTCCTTATATACACAAGGCCATGGCTCGGGGGAAAGGGAGCCCCTTTTTGGGCTGACTTGCATTTCTGACAAATACGTGTATAGATGTGGGTGCGACGTTTACAAACAATGCACATTTATTTCTATAGAATCTCGTGTTTAATCACGAAAGTCAAAACCAAATGGTCCTGAAATTTACGGTGCTTTGAGAATCTGTCAAAACAGACACGCGCTGTATGCGTGTTCGTGATGTCTCTATGTAGTTTCGTTTCATTTTTTCTCAACACACGAGGATATGCATTGTAAGCTTTTCAAACACGCCTCCCTTCAAACACGCCTCCCACTCTCTCTCTCTCGAGAGAGAGAGTAGGATGCTTTGCAGTAAACATATTGCAAAATCAACTCATGAATGGCAAAATCAAGGAATTACATTTAAAGTTACTTGGGTGGTGTTTGGTTTCGCCGATTTGCACCATATAAAATCTACATTTTACCGGTTTAAATCCGTTTTATGGAATGGTTAATCAGAATCGAACCAAACCAGAACGGTGCCTGAAATACCATTTCTTATATTCCCTCATATCGATTATAATCGGTTAGATTACTTGAACACGTTAATCGGATAACAAAGCAAATAGATGCCACATGGGCTACTAGACGGGAGGCAATGGGCTGGTGCTGACAAGGCCTTCGTGCTGGCCTTGGCTTGTATTGGGTCATTAATTAATTAACGTTAGGTGTCCTTGTCATGATCCTTACGCGTGCATTAAGGGTTGACGAGGCCCCTGTGAATCTCCAACAGAGTTGAAAGCGGGTGATAGCTAGTCGTGGAGTAAAACTCAGTGACGAGTAGTTTGTAAGTTTAATGTGGAATGCAAAGCAGGTTTTGGTAAATGCCAGTGTTATTAGAGGTTGAATTGAGTATGAGCTTGGCCTAGGAGAGCCGTAAAGGCAGTAACCATCGTGTTTTTAGTATAAAATATGATAAAGCATTTGTTTACATACATAGTCGGCATCTATATTCAAATTGTCTTCAAATTTCGACGTGAGATAAGAATCGAGCAAGATGCCAAGATACGAATATGAGGAAACATTTTGAGTACGTATTTTTTTTGTACTGCTGACAGTGACAAAGGGCTTCGATCTGCAGCAGAATTGAGACTCGTAAAAGTATCACGTTTCGTCTTCTTTGTGCAGTGGCATAGTGCTGGCTGCTGGCCAAAAAGGGGAACTGCGGTGTACGGCAGTGTTGAAGTCAGCAGGCCATGATAGCTAGTAGGTTCCAGAGAGGGGGCATGGCGGGGGGGAGTGAGGTCACGCTGGGGGTCTAAGAGGTGCCTCCACGTCTTATCGTCTCCGAGTTAGTCACTACATTTGTATTCAGATGGAGTTTCAAAGATAGCAGAAAGAAAATTTGTGGATTTCACACCTGATGATGATTGCTTGTCCATAATCAACGTTTTTGGGTTTAGATCGCGTTTATTTATAAATGTGTCGTAACCCTCCACCACCCGACACGGCCAATCAGTAAAAATGTGTCACGTTGACAAAGACAAATAGTTCACTGCTTTAGCCCACCGGTGTGTTGAAGCAACAACATTTACAATTTGAGTACGACGTTTCGCTGGTAATTGCAACCAGCATCATCGGGCAATTCGCCAGAATGGTGAGGCTCTCCTGTGTCTCCCGTTCTTATATAGAGCAGCAGCAGGGTGACGTCATCATTAACTCATTAACTCATCAGGTGCCAAGATTCAAGGGGGGAGTGATTGTAATTATATACTAGATTAGTAATCAGGCTATTGTTACGATGCGAGTTGTAGATTAGTAATCATTTGGAATGTGTTTTATTGTGATTATGCTACATTAGTAATCAGTTAGTGGTTGTTTCCCTTATAAGTAATTGTAATGTATCTTATTTAATAATACGCTTGTGTTGCAGTCGAAACGTCGTGAGAATTTGTATTGTTTTTATTAATATTATTTTATTATTTCCATTCTACGTGACTTTACCGAAAGAACCAAGAATATTATTGCAGTTGTGAGAATTTTGTAAGAATTGTTTCTACTCCCCTAAGTGTAAATGCTCTAACGTCAAACAGAGGGGTGGAATCTTGATTTGAGGCTTTCGTGACTGCAGGAATCCATACTCTTTGGTTCTTTCGGTAAAGTCACGTGGGTATAAAATTAAATAAATTACGACGTTTCCCACCTGATGACGGACGATTGTGGTGCGCCCGAAACGTCGTAATTTAAGAGTATAGAGAGGGGTGGAAATTTCACATCCAGTATCCAGTGAGCAGAATGAGGCTTGATCGATCGAATGCTGGTGACACTGCGAGACGTTATGAAGTTTGCTGATATAGAACCAATGCTCCTGAAACTATGTCCAGAAGAGATATGAAAAGTTTGGAATTGGGCGAAGACTTTGAGCTAAGCATGTATATGCTTGTGCCTGTGTAATATGAGGATATATCTGGCTCACTGACGTATCACAACTCGTCATGGTGATTGGCTCTGCCGGTCCTGGTTTACAGCCAATGGGGGGAAGCCTGGGGGCATGGCCCTGACGTGATGGAAAGGTGACAGCTATAAGGATTGGTTCTGCTGACTTTGGCCACAGCCAATGGGGAGATGAGTCAGGGGCGTGGTCCCGGGAGCTGACGAGGGAGCCTGGAAGTTTCCATGCAGGCTAACGAGGATTGGCGGAAACGAACCACGTGACCCGGGTATTAAATAGGGGTGGAGACGAACGACACGTGGTCAGAACGGGAACGAACAGTGGAAGGGGGCCACGCGGGAGCGGGGCTCCGAGTTGCCACGTGGCAGTGCGTCTGTCTCTCTATCTGTCCCTCTCACGCTGCCTATCAGCATTGTGAAGTAAATGTAACATAAGTTGAATAAAAGACGGATTCCAGAAGTCGTCTCAACGAGCTTTATTACACCTGTATGTGTGGGGAGTGATAGTGTAGTGGTTAGCGTGCTGCGTTATGAACCCGGCGACCCGGGTTCAATTCCCGCTCACGGCGAGCACCAGTGACAATTATCTTAACTGGCCTCCTCTAGGTCGACTCAGCCTCAAATGAGTACCTCGTGCCGTGTGTAAACATCACCACTGGGGAGACAAAGGCGGTCGGGCGTGGTGCTGGCCACCCACCCCCTCGTACGCCGTGCCGGCCTTCATAGGTGCTCACGAACAGCACTTGCCCCAATAGTCTATTAAGGCTATACAGGGAATCTTTGTCATTGTACAGCATGTTATCCAATAATCCAGCACTTCTGCTTCATTTAGCAACTTCATTGCCACGTCAACATTTCTCAATGGCATTCGTGAAAATATTTAGGATTTGCAAATGTGCTTTGAACGTTTCTCGTAAACAAGATCTCAACTTTGTGCGGAATTATCGTAATTAAATACAATTATAATTTCATAATACTTATTATTGATATTATATTTTGTCGACAACCCAATACCATACATTTCATGCATGCGTACGTGGATTTTTCTCCAGCTCCCCACCACATTCATAATCAATATCACGCGTTCTGAGTATACGGCTGCTATACATTTCCACACGATACACAAATTGAAAAATAAGAACAGGTTTTACCCTTTATGGCAATAAAACAGGCGTTAAGATCTTGACTTAAAGCTTTCGTGACTGCAGGAATTCATATTCTTTGGGTCTTTCGGTAAAGTCACGTAGATAGGTTCAAAGAAAATAACAAAAAATAACAACAAAAATAATAAAAAACGACGACGTTTCGATCGCAACACAAGCGGTCGTCATCAGGGTTCACCCCGCCTATTATTTGGGTCACCCTTTTCCTGATGACGACCGCTTGTGTTGCGATCGAAACGTCGTCGTTTTTTGTGATTTTCTTTGAACCTATCTACGTGACTTTACCGAAAGACCCAAATAATAGGCGTTAAGATGTTCAAGCACCAAATAGAAACCTTTTGCAAGGGATCAAGTCTGCATGAACCACACAATACTTGCGGCGAACATGCAAACAAACACGCTCTGATAATATCTGGTGTGGTCTTTAAAACTGATTGGCCTCCACCAGACAGCCTTCTTTATGACCTCGTCTCACCATTGTCAGACCAGAAAACAACTCCAAAAGGCAAACAGTACAAAAACAAGGCACGTATCAGATCATTTATGGCTCAGGTAAGCAGCTATATCATGTGACCTTTGTTACCAGGTATTCATCTGAAATCAACCATTTATATCAGGGGTGGGGAACCTTTTGTCTGCCAAGGGCCATTTGGATATGTATAACATCATTCGCGGGCCATACAAAATTATCAACTGAAAAATTAGCCCGTTATATTTGGTCAAACATTTAATTAACTCACCCCTAAAGTGATGGCTGGAACCGCTTCTCTTTGGTGTGGCGTGTGATGTTAGCTGGTATTGATGATGTTGCTACTCGCAACTGCTTTTCCAGGTTTGCTCCTAGATTTATTGAATTTCGAGTCCCGCCTGTGGTTGCCTTGGCAGGGCCAGATACCAAATGATTTCACGGGCCTTACACGGCCCGTGGGCCGGACGTTCCCCACCCCTGATATTTTATATTAAGAACGGACTTTAGTTTTTTTTAGTATGGTTTCCCAGTGTGGTTTGAGTGTCCGTGTTACGCTGATGTAGCCCAAGTTTGAGTTTAAATTCCTGCTAGGGAAATCTATGATTTTGAAACATGAGGAGGTCTATCGTCTAAATGCTTAAGCCAACAATAATTATTTTTAAAAATGTAAAAGACCTATCTGCATGAAAACCACGTAATAACGCTACCCATTCACGTTGTGGAACAGCCCACCAAAGCAGACATGACAGAACTACCCTCGTCATGTGATCTCTGGTCCGCACACTCAGGGGTTAGCACATACCCACCCATACTGCGACCGAGATTAATACAACTTAAACTTTTTTTTTTTACCAGATAAGACCCACTCAGCTATACAGCTCTTTTTCAGAAGCGACCTGGTCACAAATGATGGCTCAACGAAGTGGTTTATCATCATGTGAAAATTTTAAACAGCAATCAAATACTCTTAAATACACGTCGATTTTAAATGTGGTGGGCAAAACCGGAGGACCCAGAGAAAAATCCATGCAACCACGGAGAGGACATCCAAACTCCAAATCTACAGAAGGTGTCAGGGTCGGTATCGAACGCACGACTTCCTGCGTAACAGGCGAGGTAGGTAACATCTCACCACCATTACTAGAGCTGGAATTTCACCAACTTTAATACAGAACCCACATTTTACATTTGTGTGTGTGTGTGCAGATAATGATGACCAGGTTGAGACCTTTAACTCACTACTACACGTGAGAACCCAATTAAATCGCAACTTTCTGAAATCCGGATGAGCAGCTCGGGGATGTCAGCAGTGTCAGCTCAGCTCTCTAACCTCTCAGCCACCGGGCCACCAACAGTGACACGACTCAACACGACTATCATCACCATCATCATCTTATCTTTCGCACAATACGATTAGCACGTGTGGCTACGTGCGGTGCGAAAAGTTCAACATACATACGTTCACCTTGTTTATATTCATAGAGCGCCTTCACTCAAGGCGCCTAACATAGTTTAAACAACGGTAACATCATATACTTATTTAGATGGCAAGGGAGTGCAAGGGCTGAGCAATGAGTGACCGCGATAGAGGGGTGCGTAGGGGGTCACAAAGGGGATATGGGGGAGGAATGGGATGGAGTGTGCGGAGCGAGGGGATGGAAGAGGAAGAGAACAGGGCCCGATTCAGATGTTGTAGGCCCCTGGGCTACAGGTACTGTGAGGCCCCCAGTAATATTTTAAAAAGGAAAACAAAGTGAAAGAAAAATCGAATTTACTTTTACAAGGCTAACAACAAATAAAATTCAGCATTCACAAGTGAAATCACTTTATCTCTGGAGGCCGCTCCAGCTGGTGGAGGCCTCTGGGCTTGCAGCCCCTAAAGCCCCGTGCCTTAATCCGGCCCTGGAAGATAATGGCCTGGATGGTCTCTCCCAAAGCCGTCGGCCACCTCTCGCGATCCCACAATGGTGAGGCAAGCCGATTCCCACCGCTCCATCTCCTCCGGTGGATGTCTTCACGGGACGCGTTCCATTGCCGGGGCTCTGGGGGCCCACCCTTGCCGTCGTTATTTTCGACCGCGGGCCAACGCTGTGCAGAGCAGCAGCAGCAACTGCAGCAGCAGCAGCAGAACTCCGCAGTGGAGAAGTGGGGCGACTCTACAACAGCTGAGCACCAAGGGGGGGAGTGGTTTGTGAAACGGCAAAAGTTTATTTCAAAAGTCTTCTTCAGAAGGGCAATCGCGTATCTGCAATAGCGATCGGAGACACACCCTCCCACGTCACAACACCGCAGCCGAATTCCTCTGTTAATGGGATTGAGCGTCAATGTTAATATTTTACACCCAAATATTATGAGTATTTGACATATTTAAATCAACTTTAATATCAAAGTCTTAATTGTGCATATATTCATTAACCACCAACAACTCAATTAACAGTCAATTAACATTAGCGACTCCCTGTCGGTCGATTGACATTCAAGTAATATCAATTTAAGTTACATGCAACTTACCGGTCCAGAAGTTAGCACAAATATAAATTGGACGCGTGCACGTGGGGACCCGGAGTCCAATCCCTGATCACCACTGATCACCACTGCCTTCTCTTATCATCATCATCATAATGAAACGCACCTGGCTACCAGTAGCTGTGCAAAATGGTTTATTAGGTTCCCTTATACTACAGAGTGCACAATTATAGTGTAACACGTGTGAGGCTTTCGCAACCAATATTATTCATAATTAAGGGTTTTGGGTTAGATCGCGTTATTTATAAATGTGTCGCAACCCTCCACTACCTGATACGGCCAATCAGTAAAAAATGTGTCACGTTGACGAAACTATTTGTCTTTTGTCAAAGTGACACAATCAGCCTCATCAGGCGATTTGCCACACGCGTGTAAACCACAACAAGCGGCGCCAGGAGTGGCCGCTACAGAAAAGCAGCAGGCGTCCTTCACATTGTACGAATACACTTTTGATTTTTTTGTAAAAAGTACGCTTCGTTATTCTCTTTGTTCGTCGCACGCACGAGTGTCGGAACACAAAATAAAATGTTACTTCACCAAACCGCACGTGCGCGTGGAAGTGACTCGTTACGGCTCGCCCTTATAATCGCAGGAACGCGATCCACACGCGCGCAGTGCGCCCACAACAAGCCCGAGGGAGCGGTGGGCGCGATGGTTCGGGGGGCACCGCTGCGCTGCTGAACCCTCCACCACCTGAGTTCGATCGAGGGCTGCGGCGAGCGTCAGTGGCGAGCGGTGTGTGAACTCGGGCGAGAAGTGCCCCTTCACACGCACGTGGTCACGTCAACCCCCCCCCCCCGGTGGCTGTAACAGCGTGGGGAAGGTCCTCATCCAGCAGTAGATTGACAAGGTGGGGACTTTACATTCTTACAGTTGAACATCAGTCGTGCGGTCTTTTATTGAGCGCATTGTACCCCGAACGCAGGTGGGACATGGGATTGGAGCAAATGTGAACTTGTCGAGCGAAAAAAGACATTGATACCCTTAGATTCTTTCGGTAAAGTCACGTAGGTATAAAATAAAATAAATCACGACGTTTGATGGCAACACAAGCGGTCGTCCTCAGGCGGAAAAAAATAAAATATATTTTTTATTTTATTTTGTTTTCTTTTTCTACCTACGTGACTTTACCGAAAGAACCAAACAGTATGGATTCCTGCAGTCACGAAAGCTTCAAATCAAGAAAGACATTGCTTGTCCGGCAGGCTGGTGCAGTGGTAACATCCGTGCCTGAAAGCAAAAAGGCCCCTCGGTTCGATTCCCAATTTGGGCACCTTTCTCTGTGTGTGGAGTTTGTCAGTTTTTTCCCACTCTTCTCCATGGGTTTCATCCCGCGACTTACAAAAAAAAATCCCCGCACATTCCACGCAGTGTGACTCCGCATTGGCCAAACATCCCAAATTACTCAACTGTGGCAACTTGATAGGACCCTTTTGTAAAGAAGAGTCCTGGATAACCACGAGGGCCAGGCGGGTGATCAATGCCAAACTCGGGTCGCTGGGTTCGTAGCGCGGTGCTGCGTTACGAACCCCGCTGACGGCCAACACCCAGTGACGATTATAATCTGAACCGGTCCAGGGCATCCCCTAGGCCGAATCAGCCTCAAATGAGTACCTGGCGTGCGGTGTGTAAACATCGCCGTTGGGGAGACAAAGGCGGCAGGGCGTGGTGTTCGCCACCCCACCCCTCTCTGGGCGTTCTTCGAGACGACCTGAAGATTTCGTGCGGACTGCCTGAAAAGTCGGGCAGCAGCCACTCAGACGAGCCTTTCATTTTTAAGAACCTGCCTGCATATTTGAGTTGCTGTCTGTTCTACAACAACGCGGTTGTAGTTACTTCCCTGAAGAACTGCGCGATATGGAAAAATCTCGTTATGATAAATAATATATAATACACTAGCTTTACTACCCGGCTTTGCCCGACACTTGGATTTTTGTCTTGGATTAATAGACGGCTTACGCAGAGGGGGGGGGGGGTGCGTGACGTCAGCAGGCACACTGCGTGACGCTGCCGCATGCGGGTGACATCACAGAAGTGACGTCACCGCTCACTCGCCGTGCAAAATATATCCATTATTGCGCCCCCCCCCCCCCATGCAAAAGTCTATTTCTATACGTTTTGCATTGTGTACTGCATGGAAGCTACCCACATGCCAAATTTAAAGTTTGTTGCATGTTGGGAAGTATGCTAAACATTTCGAAAAGACACACATTCACAAATTGCCCTTTTTTTTATATAGATGGGGGTAAAGCACAGTGCGCGATATCGTGACACGCGTTATATCCAATTCGCATCCGCGTTATAAAAAAAAAGTTCCGTAATACATTCGTCGCGTTATATCCAATGAACACACGCGTTATAGGAGAACAGACTGTATTCCTCAAATACCCTGATTAAAAAATAGAAATGTGTTTGGAGTGCATCAACAATGGCAAAAGTAATGATGACGCGGTCCAAAAGTGAGCTTTCACCTTCGCAGTTTAATGCACCCGTTGCTGATTACTCATAAAAACATCGGTTCAGTGATTAAAACATCAGGACAGACCATTAATAAACAAAATAATTGAAAGTTGCAATCACTCTATGGAATATCTTTATTAAAATACGGGGTCATTAAATTGAGTACATATATAACGTGCACTCGTTTTCAGATAATGCATTCCTGAAATGGAAAAATAAACCACCCTATAATATTTGGAAAACAATATAGAAAGTCTGTGAGGAGAAAAAAACGATAATAATGCGTGCACCCATGTGGTAGAGACAGCGCTAACGATGAAGCCATTCGCAGTGCATTTAGGGTTCTCATTGGGTCTCTCTGTGGGTCTATGGATCTCCGTGTAAGTTTATGTGTTTTTGTAAGTATATGGGTCTCTCTGTTAGTCTATTTCTGTCTGTAAGTATTTAGGTTTTTGTACGTAGATGGATGTCTCTGTGTAAGTATATGGGTCTTTGTAAGTATGTGGGTCTCTCTGTAAGTCTATGGACCTCTGTGTAAGTCTATGGGTCTTTACAAGTCTATGGGTCTCACTGTGAGTCTATCGTTCTCTCTGCGGGTCTATGGATCTCTGTGTCGATCTCTAGCGTTGATGATGAAGCCATTGCCACCCATTCCTTTCCAGTCATTAAGTGAATCCACCTGCATGCCTCATCACCTGAGACTTGAAATTTCCATCCCAACATGCAGGATTTTAGCCTCCTCAATCTGGACTCAACCTTCTATTTACGCAGGATGGATGAGTCATTGGTCATTTGTCTCTGGGGTGGTCGGGTGATTGGAAACTTGTTTATGAGTGGTCAGGTCATTGGAAATTGGTCTCTGGATGGTAGGGTCACTGGATATTGGCCTGTGGTTGGTAGGATTATTAGAACATTGGCATCTGAGTGGTTGGGGCATTGCCAGGCCTGGTCAGAGAACCATCTCTCTGAGTCCATCATTAACCGAATGGGATGGTGACACCAATGTAGCAGGGGATGATGCTGCACACCTTGACAACGGCGTTCTTGATTTTGCTCCACCACCCACGTGTGGCCGGGTCTGCGAAGAGAACGGGAGAGGAGGGGGTTGAGAGGAGCCGTGGTCGACGCTGGGTACCTTCAACGAGTAGGCAAGGACCTCTCGCAGTGACGGACGGTGACCACGATGTGCGTTAACGTGCGGCAGCACCACACGTTTATTTGTAAGTGCTCTTTGGCCCTCGGTAGGGGAAAAAGTTCCCCACCCGCGTTCTACTTTGTGCCGTGAGTTCTACACTCTGTCATCTCCTCAGTATTTGGGTTCTGTGCTCAAGAACTATACTCAGTGTTGAGTTGTGTACTCAGAGCCGTACTCACTGCCCTTGACGAGCCAGAATGTTCTGACGTCCTTGCAGAGGAGGCCGGAGCTGCGGCCGAACAGGGATCTGTCGAAGATTTCTGGACCCGGAACGAAGGAGGAGGCATCCGGGTTGTCCTTCTCCTGAACCGTCTGACCCTGTGACACGACCATCATCAACATCGTCGTCGTCATCATTCATCGCTGTCATCTCTCTCCTGCACTATTTGATATATCATTATCATCATCATTAGCAGCAGTAGTAACAACATCGTTATCATTATCATCATCATAAATTCTAGGAGCATCACAACCATTATTAATCACAGCATCAATCATGAATACCAGTGGTGCTAATGGTGCCAGTGATGGTGTTGGTTCGTGTTGTTCGTGTTGTTGGGCTCACGTTGAGGTTCTTGAGGCTGTCTCTCAGCTTGGAGAGCGACGGGACATCCTCGGCGCCAAGTTTCCGCACGTAGCACTCGCCCGGCTCGTTCGTTCTCATCACCACGAGGTTCTACAAAATGTCAACATCACCGTCGACATCATCATTATCACTATCACCAACATCACAGTCATCATTAGTATCGTCCCCATCATCAACATCCTCAACATCACCATGACCATCGAATCATTATCATCATATTTTTTTCTATAAATCGATCAATCTTTATTTTACGTGCCAACATTTCCCTCAATAAAGTAGGCATCAGTGCACATTGATGCGAGAGTGCATTGTGTTAGGAGCACCATAGTAATTTTCGGCTGTCACTACAGAAGTGGTTATGACTAAGGACTATATTGGCATTATGAATATACTTCATATCTTTAAAATGAAAGATTGCGAGGATACTAAGGTCCAAGAGGGTTGGTGGTGGTGGTGGCGGTGGAGCTATAGGTGATGATGGTCGTTGCATGTACGGACTGCGATGTGGTGAAGATGGCTGTAGAGTTTTTGTAGATGGTGGTCCATTAAGATGCATGTATGGTGGCTAGTGTTGTGGTTGTGTCTCCAAGGTCTAGCAGATGGTGTTGAATGTGGCAAGTGATGTCAGGTCATGGGCGGTGGAGGTGGTAGAGTTCGTGCAGGTGTTGGAGATGTAGGGGCTGATGGTGTAAGTGTTTCAATGTTTAGGTGATACTCAAAACCTCAGAGATGGCAATGGAAGTGATATTAGAATTGTAGACCCTGGAGGTAGTGACGGAGGTGCAGAATGGTGGACGTCACGTTGCAGGTCTAGGAGGTGGTGGAGTTAACGGCGGACATGTAGATCATGGGCACGGTGCAACAGTTAGAGGTCTAGGAGGTGTTGGAGATGCTCATAGATGCGGGCCATGTGGAGGTTTCTGCAGTGGGAGCTGGGTTCTTGGCTGCAGATGTGGTTTGCCTGTCACTCTCTCCGTGGTCGGCGTAGATTTCTTTCTTGGGATCCTCTCTCCACATTTAGAAACATGCATTAAGATTATTTAGATTATTTCGATTATTTTGGTGGTATAAATGTCCAAATGATAGGCCACTTTGTTGAGCTACCATTTGTGGCCAGGTCGCTTCTGAAAATTAGTTCATACCTCAGTGGGCTTTGCCTGGTAGTATGGGGATGATATAGTTGTTGTATTTGTTTGTGTTTGGGTGATTTGTTTACCTTAATTGTACTGTCGTGTTTTTTGTATTTTTTGTTGTTGTAACGATCTTACCCGCCCCGCCTGGACATCTGTGAAAAAGAGCTTCATAGCTCATCGGATTTCTCCAGTATAAATACTGATTCTGATTCGTTGATGTTGCTGCTGCTGCTGCTGCGTGATGGACTCGCCTTGCCGTAGTCGAGCAGCGTGGTGGAGGAGACGTTGCCGTTCTGGATGTAGAAGGTGGCGATGTTTTCTTGGGGGTTCACCTGCACCGTCTGCTCCTCGGGCTTCCCATCTTTGTCCTTCACGATCACCTTATAGAGCTGCTCTCATTGACACCCAATTACAAAAACAAGGATACCCCCCTATGAGCCTTGACAGACTTTTGGGGCAAGTGCTGTAAGCGAGCACCTATGAAGGCCGGCACGGCACACGAGGAGGTGGGTAGCCAGCACCACGCCCGGCCGCTTTTGTTTCCCAAGTGGCGATGTTTACACACCGCACCAGGTACTCATTTGAGGCTTAGTCAACTTAGGGGAGGCCCAGCACGGGTCCAGATTATCGTCACCGAATTATACACACGCGTGCCCACACACACACACACAAACGCAACACGAATCAGGCTACATTCAGAAATATCTCTGATCAAATCACCCATAATAGATCAGACCCGATCTCTATCTATCCTAGAAGCTAAGCGGGGCTGAACCTGGATAGTGCTCAAACACGTGACCCCCATGCCCAAACAGGTCGTCATAGGGTCACGTGGTGGGCAGTGGAAGGCAGTGGAGGGCAGAGCAGCGAAGCCCCCCCCCCTTGTCTATACTCCCCCTGCCCCCCTTCCCCGCCTTCACTAACTCGTAGTTTACCAGGTCATCCATCCAGCAGTGGAGTCACACAGCGTGGCTGCACATGCAGCGACGTTGCTTACGGGAGAAAGTGAGAGGCTAAATCGACTTCCTGAAGAAGCCGACGAAGCGAAACGTCGGACGTAATGCCGAACAAAGCGCGTTACAGCCCAAACACGCATCTGAGAGCCAGGCCTATCGTATCATTTCCTGTTACGCGTATAAAGAAGCGTTAATCATCATCGTCATCATCACAATAATGCCCTGCCATTCCCATGGGCTCAATTCTAATTCTATCCCATTCCGAGTGTGCCATCTTCTCCCGTGAGCTTCTAAAAATAAGTATTAATCTCGTTCAAGTCCATTACCCTTGAGCATAGCTATTATTTTCCACTGGTTATCAATGTTTAATAATGTTCACTTTCATGGCCGCAGAATCCGCGAAGTTCCCAGCGGAGGGTCTCCCCGTCGTGAATCAAGTTTCAAGTTTCATTTACGAGGCATAGCCCTGTGAGCCATGCGGCTCTTGAGTCGGGTGCAACCGCAACAAACAAAATATGAACACAGAACATCCCAAAGCGATGACGCGTAACAAAAACATCCTGGAATAAACCAGCAAATACCCCCCCACCCCCCAAAAAAAAGTATTAAAACGCTGTGTAAAAAAAATCACAATGTGGTGCAAGCCAACAACATCAACCATAAGACAATTTAGATTAATCATGTTTTCAAATCACTAAAATAAAGCTATAAAAACAATGTAACAACAGTAATCATAGGAACTGTGATTTAAATTGAACAATAAACGATATACATAACACGTATGACTAAACTTGCAGCCATATGATGCAGTTCGTCATCGATGATTATTCGGCGCGCGATTATCCGGCTGCTGCTGCTTCCAACATTACCCGTCGGTCCTGTGCCGATAAGGTTAACCAGTCGACATTATAGACCAGGGGTCGGGAACCTTTTTGACTGGGAGAGCCATAAAAGCCAAATATTTCTAAATATATTTCATTGAGAGCCATATAGTATTTTTAACGTATACTAAATTAAATATGTCTTACTTTTAATGCGACTTCTGGTGCTGCATGGTTTTGCTGATGGCCTTGTAGTCTGGTTCATACGTGGTGAGGTTGAGCTTCATGCAGGCGTGACCCGTGAAATTTATCTTCAAAACTAATTTCTGTTTACTTTAAAATGGCACAGTATTATTAAACAATATCACAAGTATTTAAAAATCAGTTCCAAACTGATTTTTTTATTATTAATTTTTTTTTCAACTCAAAAATGTCTGGGAGCCATATGCCGTCACTGGAAGAGCCATTTATGGCTCGCGAGCCATAGGTTCCCGACCGCTGTTATAGACTGCCAGTACGCTCACTCAGTTTAATAACCATTGCTACAGTCTACATTTTAGATTGCCAGTACGCTCACCGAGGTTAAGAACCAGGCTACAGTCTACATTATAGACTGCCAGTACACTCATTATTATTTTTATTTTTATTTCTACGATTTTTCTATCTACGTGACTTCACTGACACCTGTATATTTGGAGTTTGCATGTTCTCTCCGTGATCGTATGGATTTTCTCCGGGTCCTTCGGTTTTTCCCTCCACATTTAGAAACATGCATTTTGAGTGTTTGGCTGCTATAAATATCCACCTCACAAGCTATCATTTGTGGCCACGTCGCATCTAAAAAAGCTATATAACTCAGTGGGCTTCATCTGGTAAAGTAAACATTGTTTATAGTTTAGTATATGTCTGTACAGTTTATATAGTTTAAATAGAATATAGCTTTATAGTTTAGGTCCATAAACTCTACTGGACCAGCCCATCTTCTCTCGAGGTCGTGCAGCACCCATTTCGCCCCCTCGATCGGGTCAAACAGAAGCTGCTTGGGCATGCGGTGGCTACATGACCCCAGCCTTGGGTAATGCGCGACACACGAACACACGAACACACAAACACAAACACACACAAAATCACACAAACACACAAAATCACACAAACACACAAAATCACACAAACACAAACACACAAAATCACACAAACATACACAAACAGACACACGAAAACACAAACAAACACACGGATACACAAACAAACACAACCACACAAACACAAACGAGCACAAACACACGAACACACAAACACACGAACACACCAACACACACAACACACAAACACACAAACACGCGCACCTCGGTCGCGTTCTGGCCACCGATGAAGACTCCCAGCAGGACGCCGGCCACCACCACCGCGACCAGCAGCACCAGCAGCGACGCGCAGACGATGATGAACTTGCGGCTGAACCTGGACTGGGCCGGGTACGCCTGAGACAAACACAGACACGGCGCGTGACACAACCACAAATCGTACTGACACAACAGACAGGATCACCACCACCACCTCGATCAGCAGCAGCGACGACGCGCTGACGATGATGAACTTGCGGCTGAACCTGGGCTAGGCTGGGCTAGGTACGACTGAGACAAACACAGACACGGCGCGTGACACAACCACGAATCGTACTGATACAACAGACAGGATCACCACCACCACCACCGCGATCAGCAGCAGCATCAGCAGCGACGACGCGCTGATGATGATGAACTTGCGGATGAACCTGGACTGGGCCGGGTACGACCGAGACAGCCACAGACACGGCGCGTGACACGATCACCAAATCGTGCTGACACAACAGACAGGATCACCACCACCACCTCGATCAGCAGCAGCATCAGCAGCGACGACGCGCAAATGATGATGAACTTGCGGATGAACCTGAACTGGGCCGGGTACGACCGAGACAGCCACAGACACGGCGCGTGACACGATCACCAAATCGTGCGGGCTTTCAAATGCACGATGTTCATCTCGCCCAGATGACGGCACGAGCGGTGTTTAAGGAAACGTGACAGCACGTAAGAGGTGCGACACCTTTAGACGGCTACCGTGTCCCATCCTGATGTTGGGAACCATCAACTGCATCAAAACCCTGATATCCAGGGCACCTGCACACCCACCAACCCCGCACCCCTCCCCCAAGCTCTGCGGTCCTCTATAAATTAAGGTGTTATCGGCCAATCAACGAGTGTTTACATGTAGGTATCATCCGCCACTGATGTTGGTCGTGTCCGGGAATCGAAATCATGGCCCCAGGGCTCACAGGGCCACGTGCTAACCACTGTGCCACTGCTCCACCCATATTTAATTTTACTCTACCTTTATATCGCATAATTATTATATCAATCACTTCTTTATCCAGGAAAGTCACAATGAATTGCAGTTTCTTTGTCGGGAGAGTCCTGCATTAGTTTTTTTCTTATTTTAAGATGTGTTTTTGCCCATTAATGCATTTTAAGTATTTGGCTGCTATTAATGTCCACGTGATAAGCCACTTCGTTGAGCCATTCTCTGTAGCCAGGTCGATTCTGTAAAAGAGCTGAATAGCTCAGTGGGACTTACGCTTATCACGTGATCATGTACAGCAGCCAAATACCCTAAACGCGTGATGTTGATTCTAAAAGTGGATGGGAAACCCCGAAGGACCCGGAGAAAAATCCACGCGACCACACGAACAGAGAGAGAGAGACACGCAAACTCCAAATATACAGCAAGCGTCAGGGTCGGGATTCGAACCGACGACCTCCTGTACACCAGGCGAGGAAGAGAACACCTTCAGGGACATTGAATGCAGTGACAGACGAGGTGTTTGACGGTCACGCTCTAACTCCGGTGTCTCACCGGAGGGGCGTCCAATGCAGCCATCGAATCAAACCCTTTCTCCATGGTGGCTCTCGCCGGCTCTTGGGTGACTTCGACAGTAGCAGCTCCACCGCTCCCTCTGTGACATCGTCTCGCGACGTGAACGGCCTCTTATAAGCACGAGGCGCTCGGGGGAGAAAGAAGGCAGGGAGGAGGTGGAGGTTGGTGGCGGTGGTGATTGTGATGGAGGTGGATTTGGATTTCTTTCAACCAGGATTAAGCCGCGGTGGGGGGGCGGGGTGGCTGGGAATGTTTGAATTGTGGACTTCTTCTTACAACAATAACGCCAACCACCAACAACCACCCCACGCATCGCCTCCCTCTCAATGCCAACCCCCCCCCCCCAGTGGTGTCGCGTTACTCGTGTGAAATAATGGGGCTCGGTTTGTGTTTCCACCCCCCATTCCTCCCAGAAGGGACACGCAATATGCAAATAGCCGAGCTCGTAATGAATACATGCTTATCGCTGGGGAATTCCAGAAAGTGTGGCTTTGGGTTGAAGTAAGTGGCGCTGCTGTGGTTACAAAGAAATCAGACTGCAACGGAATCACCGATCGTGATGATATTAGCCAATCAAATGAGCGGGGGTGTGTCGTGTCATTTCTCGATCCATAATATGTGCAAATCTCTGATCGGTGATTTTATTCGAATGTACGATTGTATCTGCCCCCCCCCCCTTTTGTTGATTTAAAAAAAAATCTAGATTTGAAGCTTTCGTGACTGCAAGGATTCATATTCTTAGGTTTTTTCGGTAAAGTCACGTAGGTTAAAAAATAAAAATTAATAAACGTAAAATAAAAATAAAATAAAAATCACGACGTTTCGGAGGCAACACAAGCTTCCGTCTTCAGGTGGAACCGTCAGAGCACGATAGCTGTATCAAGTGAGAGAAATTCCAAGAAAATCGTCCTTGTATATATATTTTTTTTACTACGTGACTTTACCGAAAAAAACCTAAGAATACCAAGGAGGAGGCCAGAGCTTTAGGAGTGGAGGGAGCGGGCTGAGAGACAGAGTGCTCGAAGAGGTCGCAAAGGTATGGGATGGGCAAGGCCGTTTATGGATTTGATTGCGAGGATGAGGATATCGTAGTCAACACGCTCATGGATGGGAAGCCAGTGAATGGAGGCCAAGACTGAGGTGTACTCTTTGTTTTTGTAATAAAATTAAAATTAAATAAAAATCACGACGTTTCGGAGGCAACACAAGCCTCCGTCTTCAGGTGGAACCGTCACAGCTATCGTGCTATCATCCAACAGTGGCTGATGATGTTTTAATTTAAACATGTTTTCTTTCGCATTGCTTTCACCCCTTTGGCATAGAAAAAACATCTCATTTTTGAATAGCTGATGGTTGTTACCGTTCACAAAACACAAGAACGCTATAGAATTTCTAGTCAAATTTTCTCTTTCTTAAAGCTACGGCTTTGGGATTTTTTGGGGACTCAAAAAAACCCAACATCTTTACATCCTTTAGTCAAATTACCTTTGATAAACGGCGGTGTCGTGGGGGGGGGGGGCGTGGCCCTGGAATTCTTGTTATTGGTACAGCCTTTACTCAAATTTCGTTCTGTAAACAGAGGCGTAAAGAAAGACGCCCTTAACAGCAAGTGCGCGTGTTTTTAAGACGGGGTGAAAACTGTGTTTTCAAAACACACCGCGTGTGCCACACCTCCCTGCTCCCGGTGAAATCTTCCACTTCCTTGTGTTACCCCCCCCACCTGCCTCCCCTACCTGCACGGGCAGATATTCGAATCGCCACCGACGGTCATCGGCCACTGTTGGATTCATATTCTTAGGTTTTTTCGGTAAAGTCACGTAGGTAAAACATTAAAATAAATAAGAGTAAAATAAAAAAAAATAACGACGTTTCGGAGGCAACACAAGCTTCCGTCTTCAGGTGGAACCGTCACAGCCACGACAGCTACCACTCCGTATATATAATGGTTGGAGAGGGGGGAAGGGCCAAGTACGGCACACTTTGTATTAATGTTTTACCTACGTGACTTTACCGAAAAACCTAAGAATATGAATCCTTGCAGTCACGAAAGCTTCAAATCTAGAATCACTGTTGGATTGTTTGGCCTTCCCCAAAGCCATCGCCGTCTCTCGCGGCGTTCATGAGATCCACCAAGCGCCTGCACACCAGCGGATTGTTACGCTCCATCTCTACAACAGCGGTTCCCAAACTTTTATTATTATTATTTTGGCAACAGTGCCCCCCATCCCCCCGTGTTGAATTTTGTTTCAACCAAGTGTGTACCCCCCCCTCCCCTTGCCTGACCCAACATGGTTGTGAGAAATACATATGTGAATAATGACCATCAATGAGGTATTCATGCAGCAGTGGATTGACCATGGCTGCTGCTGATGATGCTGCTGCTGGTTGGTGGTGATGATGGTGATGATGGTTTATCTCCATCTGTTCCGCGCTTGGGGAAGGAATCAGAGTCGGAGCGGAGCCCATACGGGAAGCGGAGGCTCGGGCCGCCGGGCGAGGGAAGAGCACCACGGGTTGTCGTCGTCGCCACACGAATGGAGCAGAGCAAACCATCATCACGCGGACTCCGTCATCCTCGCAGCAGCGGATTTTGGCAAACCGCCGAACGAAGACGGTCACCGTGTCGCGCGCTTTCAGATGCCCTTTTGCGGCCGTCTGGAACGCTCTTCCTCGCGATACTAGGAAGCCACCAGTAGCTATGCACTTGTAAATCTAGCTTCAAAATGTATTTATTGAGGACTGCTTTTTGTGTTTGATTTATTGTCTCCCCCCCCCCCACCCCCTGCACGTCAGTGACGGGATGTTAACTCCATCGCCTGGTATGCAGGAGGTCGTGGGTTCGATCCAGAAATTGACGCCTGCTGCTGTATATTTAGAGTTTGCGTGTCTCTCTCCCTGTGGTCGCATGGATTTTTCTCCGGGTCCTCCGGTTTTTCCCTCCACAGTTAGAATCAACAAAACGCACTTAAGAGTATTTGGCGGCTATACATTTCCATATGTTAAGCCATTTCGTTGAGCTATCATTTGAAAAAGAGCTATGTGGCAGTGAGCCTTACCTGCTAAAATAAAATATGACCGGACTGAGACCATCACCTCACGACATTTGAGAACCAGGTGGCTGCCTAGTCCACAGGTGGTTGCCTGGATCACAGGTAACTGCCTGGTCCACAGGCGGTTGCCTGGATCACAGGTAACTGTCTGGTCCACAGGTGGTTGCCTGGATCACAGGTAACTGCCTGGATCACAAGTAACTGCCTGGATCACAGGTAACTGCCTGGTCCACAGGTGGTTGCCTGGATCACAGGTAACTGCCTGGATCTCAGGTAACTGCCTGGATCACAGGTAACTGCCTGGTCCACAGGTGGTTGCCTGGATCACAGGTAACTGCCTGGATCACAGGTAACTGCCTGGATCACAGGTAACTGCCTGGTCCACAGGTAGTTGCCTGGATCACAGGTAACTGCCTGGATCACAGGTAACTGCCTGGATCACAGGTGGTTGCCTGGATCACAGGTAACTGCCTGGATCACAGGTAACTGCCTGGATCACAGGTAACTGCCTGGTCCACAGGTGGTTGCCTGGATCACAGGTAACTGCCTGGATCACAGATGGTTACCTGGTCCACAGATGGCTGCCCAGAGTTCGAGCAGCAGGAAGGAAGCGATGGCGCAGGGCGGTGGCATCAGTGGCAATGACCTTTTGACATCACGCCGTTTTCGCAGGGGAGAAGCATTAAAATATAAACCACAGAGCAGTTGTACTTTTACAATGTACACTTTATTAAACCACCCTTTCGACGGCAATCTACTTCCTCAAGCGATTATACACTGCTACCCACTTTCTTCAACGCCATGTGCACACTATACAAAACCTTTAAGGCAGTGGTTCTTAACCTTGACTGCAGCCTTGCAGCCCTTTGGTCTGCAATCGGTTAAACTTTTATTATGTTAATACATGCATAGGTTTGATGAAAGAAAGTGTATCGATGACTTACCTTCTAAATCTAATCTGGCCATGTCTCGCACACTCAGAGAGGGCATCTCGCTCCCCAGGTTAAGAACCACCGCTTGAAAGCATCACATCAATTCTAAATGGAGTCACCGCACAACAGAGGTCGCAAACGGGTTTTGATTCCTTACCCGTACCCGGCCGAACCAGGGTCGCTAACCCGTACCCTACCCGAAATGAGTGACAAACGGTTACTCACCAGTGACTCACGAACTACCCGTACCCGGCCGCACCAGGGCCGGGTACGGGTAGCCAGGGTATCGGGTAGGGTACGGGTATCGGGTACCCGGTTGCGACCTCTGCCGCACAAAGACCAATGTACTCTCGTCGGTAATCGCCTCCCTGAAGCAAGTTGGAAAATGACGCCTGCGGCACCTTTCAATCGGCCTCTCATTAAAGACGGGATATCTCCTTCACCCGCTGTCAAGTGACTTTTTTTTCTCCCAAATGCAGTCTCACGCAGATGTAATCGATTTACATTCAGCCGCAGAACTGCACTCTCGTTGACTTTAGCGAGATCACCAAACTCACCAACATTTTGATATCTGGCTCCGCAGCGATGTTCACCGATAACTTAATCGATAACATCAGACGGTATGAGTTAACGTGGCAACCAAACGTCAAATTCTGATGCCGTTCGTTGTGGCTTTGGTGGTTGTGTCGTAAAGACGTGTTCACACACGCGCAACGATTGTTTTGAGCAATTTCTGATGTCGTGGTCGATACAAAAAAAAACGCTACGGTATGTTTATTGAAAGAGAAACGAACAGAACTGATCAAACTCGCTCGCGTCTGCTGGAGCTCAGATTCGACCACTCGTCACTTTGAGATTTGCGTCGTGCTCACTTGCATCATCGTGGAAGGTGATGCGAAGTTGAAGCCAGGGATGGCCCGTGCCTTCCTTTGTGTTTAGTTCTGTTGTCCTTCCCACGCACCTCTGACTAGCATGGTTGGCTACGTACGGCGCGAACGAAGTTCAAACAGGCCAACAGCTTTACAACAATATTTATCCATCTCTCTAAGAAACTTAGCCGCACGCATCAGATGCTAGAGGGCATATTACGATGCGGCAACACTGCGTTTCTGTCCTCAAGCCACCCTTTGCCGCTCTGCACGCGTCTCTTGCAGTCACAATTGACTGGTGTGTGTGTGTGTGTTAACGCATGGGCCACCACAGGTATTTTAATATCCTTTTCGACCATGGTCGGGAAATGTTTTCTAACACCGCCCCCCCCACCCACCTTTTGTAAGCGCCGCTTAAGCCCGGTCAACTTCTCAAATACCCGAGCAACTCACTGCCAACTCAAACAATTGAACAAGTCTTTCGTCAATAAAACTTGAAACATTGCGAGTCAAACGATTGGGAAAATCACCGCCTGCTCAAACAAGCAATGGGAGCGTCACTCATAAATCAACGGTCGGCAGCCCTCAGCCATTAATTGTAAAATGCCGCACGTCAGGGGCAAGGCGATCCATGGGACAATCACCGTGCGCTTTCCAGCGGTATTCATTAACTCGTGCCAGTGTAGCTCTGAAAATATATCCGCTTTCCTGTGCTGTTATCTTTTACACGAAGGTTTGCACTGCTCCGAGAAATCCCAATGGATAACTGTGATTAGTGGCATAACTAGCAAAAGCATAATTCGGAAAATGGGGGGGGGGGGGGGGGGGTGGAGATACGTGCGAATTTGAGCAGAACGAGTTGAGCCCAGACAAGACTTGAACTCTTGCCTCTAAATACTGCGAGGTCATCGTTGGGTGCATCGCAGCAATCACCTGGGCCTGTAACCACCGGTGACCGGTGAGGGTTGAAGTTTATTACAGAGCCCGCTCAATCGACATCAACCAGCCATCAGGCGACCGGGGAAATCAACCTGAAAACCACCTTCTCTGAGACTTTGAAACTCCTTCGAATCCACATTACGACCCCGATGACCACTGATGAAGCTGAAAGATGTTTTTCAAGTTTGAAAAGATTGAAAACATTTCTGAGAAACGCCATGTCCCAGGACCGCCTCAATGCACTTGCTTTGCTTTCAATGTAAAAGCTGATCAATGAAATTCCCGACTTCAACAGACGAGCGATTGAAAAGTTTGCTCCTCAAAGGATCGTCGTGCCAAATCAATATATACAGGGTGTTTAAAAAAAGATGGACCCAATTTCAAAGCAGTATATTTCACGATGGCAACATGTTACAAATACTCAAAAAGTTACAAACGGTTTAATGAGTTATGAAGTTTTACTAATCATTTTATAAATGCTCTATGTGCCCTCCACCTACTGTACGGACAACATCGAGATTATAGTTCAATCCGTCCCAAACGCCTCTCAAAGTGTCTTCTTCGTGGTCGCCCTGTGCTCTTCCCCTTACATAAACACTCGGTTTCATCTAATTGTCGGTACCAACGACGAATGCTCTGACATTGGCGGATCAATGCCAAAACGCCGTTGAAACGCACGCTGCACCGCAATTACGGATTCAGTCTTGCTGAACTACAGAAGGCAAACGCCTTTTGTTGTGGGGTCACCGTCTTGCGAGTGACTGAGGCTCGGGGCTGTTTGTGCGCTGGGAGAGGCATCGAGCGGTAATCATTTGAAACTCTATGCCCCGCCCTATGCCCCACCCTCTCTATGCCCCGCCCTCTCTATGCCCCACCCTCTCTATGCCCCGCCCTTTCAAGTGGTAAGAGTTTCATTCATGGGCGGTTCGTGGTTGCAGAGATATAACGATTTCAAAACGGGTCCATCTTTTTCAAACACCCTGGAAATAGGTCAATTCAGAGGAAAGGGAGCCTGCTATTGTAGAGTCGCCCATCCGGGGATATTGCGTGGTAAGCTATGTTAATTATTTAATGGCAATTTAATGGGTCGATTGAAATATGGTTAAGCATGTATTGTAATATCACTCGTGGCTTTAAAACCAGAAATATTTGTTACATTGAACTTAATCGTGACTTAAACTCAAAATCAAATGTGTAGGATGTCAGTATAAACCTATCTTTCCATTTGACAATGTAGTCAGTGTAAAGTGGTGTTACAGTTACCACAAATAACAGTGAGACAGTGACCACACAACGAAACAAGCTGGAGTGAAAAGTGAAGAAAATAGTAGAGCCTGTGTACATTTTATTAATGTCCTTAATAGAGGTGTTTGGGTTAGATCGCGTAAATATATAAACGTGTCGTTAAAACCCGCCACCACCCGACAGAGCCAACGAGTAAGGGTTGTCAATACAAAGATGTTTGTGTCGGTGGGTTGTATGGCAGCATGTGGCTATTGTACAGCATGCGGTGGTCTTGGTTGCCTTGGCTAAGCTGTTGAGTAGTGTCAGCTGATCTTTGTTCTTTCGGCTTTTGGCAGTGTCAAAGGGGGTTGTGTAGTGTGGACTTGAGGGTCCTGGGGAGAGCATTTGAGTGCTTTGTTTTGTTTCGTATTGTTTATAAATGCCGACCGTTGGTAGATAAGACAGTTTTATCACTAATTATAACACCATATTTTCAGAAGTCAGTCACAACTGCCCCACCTAGTAGGCAAGTAACAAGCCGCCACTGGTGACCACCATGCATACAACAGCTGTTTTGGATGCGGCAGGGATGTGTTACACAACGCAGCAACAATGTTGTACTGTCCATCTTCTCTCCCAACTTCTATGCTCCCCGCATCACCGAACTGCACATTGACCAGCGGTGGTATGTCAAAGGTCCTCATCCCGCAGTGGACTGACAAAAGGGCTGTACATGTATATTACACTGCACACCAGGCGAAGTGCATTGGCTCGAAGTCAGGGTAATCATCAGTGAAATCCGCTCCGGGGTTTCTATCCAAGAAATCCATGCATCCTCTGGGGAGAACTGGGCCCAGTGACAAGCCCAACAACCACAGATGCACGAAATATTCCGTACACTTCCCGACGGCTCGCTCACACCACTGCTGTTGCAAAGGCCTCCACTAAAGGGAGCTCTAGAGAACCTCCAAGGTATTTGGGTCGACACTTCCACACCAGCCAGACGTCTCTGAAGGGGGGCGAGAGCACCCACGCTTTACCTCATCACACACGACCCTACCGATCGACCCAACCGTGGCATGTCAATTTCTACTGCTGGGTGGGCAGAGGCGGCCCGATTGAAGTAACTTGCCCATTGCTTTAACCCCTTTGACACTGCCAAAAGCCTAAAGAACAATTAAAGATCAGCTGACACGACTCAACAAATTAGCCAAGGCAACCAAGACCGCAAACTGTACTGGGAGCTTGAAACGAACCGGTGACCCCTGAACATTTCAAATCCAGAGCCCTCACCATTTACGACACTTCTCTACTGCACCCAAATCAATGTCACCTGTAACGACAAAACCCAAGGTGGAGTTCAATGCCTTGCCTGAAGTGGAGCCGGCGTGCATCACTGGTGCGCACAAACACAAAGTACTCGCCACACTCCTCGTACACGATACTACTCCGGTTGCACTTGTTGTAAACTTGCTCAGCATTAGCACACGTGCACCCTTGTTGGTCTCAAGACAAAACTTAAAAACGTACGTACACACACACAAACCTGTCATCACTACATTCACCACAAAAAAAAACCCAACATGAAACATACTCTCTTGCAGACTTAACTCACTCACTACGTATATTTTAGAACTGCTTTTTGTGTTTAGTTTGTTGTCCTTCCCCAGCACCTGCGATCAGTATGGCTGGCTACGTATGGTGCGAAAGAAGTTCAACATACATACACACAGCCATACACTGGAGCCCCTGGGCCAGGACTCAAACAAGTTGCACACTTGTACGCACTCGGCACTTAACATACACACACGGGAAGAGTACGGATTCGGTAACAAGTAACGATTCAGGGTCGAGATTCGATTCAGGAATCGATCCTTTTGTTTTTCACGATGTGATAATGTAGCAGCTTCAATTAGCTGCAGGGGGCCCCGTGAAACCCATTCTGTACAACGCAAAAAAATAATTGAAAAACATTTATTAAAACACGCGTGATTTGCCACATGTAATGCGACTGCAAGAATCAATGTTAATGGATGCATCGATGCACCCCTTGACGCACTAACACTTGCGAAAACTCAACAAATGCAGTCACCCAATATACACAACTTACACGTCACACAAAGACCACCCCCCCCGCCCCCTCCCCCGTGTAGCCTTGAACAGACTGCTGGGGGAATGTGCCGTTAGCAAGCACCTAATACCGGTACGGTGATATTGGCCAACACCACCCCATGGTCTCCCAAGCACTGATGTTTGCTACAATGCAATTAGGACGAAGTCGATCTAGAGAAGGCTCTGGACCGCATCCGATATCACTTGCCGGTGATGTTTGCCATGGTCAGGAATTGAACTCGGGTAGACGGCTTCGTGTGCAGTGCGTTAACCACTGTGCCAACGCTTCCACTACACAGACGTTTAGTTTATTCAGCTTGTTGTCCTTCCCCTGCACCTCCGATTAGCGCGGTGAGCTACGTACGGTGCAAAAGAAGTTCAACATACATACCCACTGTACCTCACGCACATGCACACACGCATTCGCACACACGCACTCGCACGTTTTCCTCTTCACTGCGAGCCATGGCCAGGAATAAAACTCAGGTTGCCACGTCAACCCTGTGTCAACCGCTGCCCTCTCTCCACCTCACAGGCCTGTTCTTTTCCTTTCACCGTCTTCTGCTCACTGCCACCAACCTCCTCCAATGCCCACACCCACATGCCCCATGCACCCGTACGTATCTCCGCGTCTCCGCTCCTTAGTGGATGTATTTGTCCATGAACTTTTTGTGGAACTCCGAGCGCAGTGTGTCATTCACAAACTGCTTCTCGTTCTTGGTTTCGTCCACCCCCTTGGCGCAGTTCTTGAAGACGACGTCGTCGTCCCACCTGCACGCAAACAACGCCCCCAGCAGTGCAGCGTTTAACATTATCCATAATAGAGGTAAATATGTTTCGTTAACACGCCACCACCATCAGACCACAATTAAATTTTGTCACGTAAAACAAAACGTGCCAATTACTTCAGCACACCGGTTGTGTTGGAGAGTTCACGCACATTTACAATTGGAGTTCCGTGACGTTTTGCTGGTTATTACAATGATCAGCTTCACCGGGCTATTAGCCAGAATTGTGAGGAAGTACTCCGGTTTCAGTCTTCAATTAGGAGAGTAAAGGTAATTTCATCACTTTAACCCAAAAAAAACCTTCACAGATTATTAATTAATATTGGTTGCAAAAGCCTACGTGTTAAAGCCTTCAACTGACCGTCATGGCAAGCGCCGTTAGTTTTTTTGCACAGTATGTAGCCAACCGTGCAAATAGGAGGTACGGGGGGGGGGGGGGGGCGGAAAACATACTAAACACGAAAAGCAGTTCTAAAGAAATGAATTTTCAATCTAGATTTCAAAGTGGTTAGCTCCAGTGGCTTCCTAATATCAGAAGGGCATTCCAGGCGGTTTCAGCATCACCTTTAAAAGCGAGCAGTGACCATATTTCTTTGATGGCCAGCCAAAGGCCACTGTGAAGATGACCATGGTGCTGTGGTCAGTACCATGCACGTCCGGTCACCTTTTTCTCTCCAGCGCTGATGCTTTTACAAACTGCTCCATTTGCTCATTTAAGGCCGAGTCGGTGCAGAGGATGCCCAGAACTGGTTCTGTTATCACTCGCCGATGGTATTAGCCATAGTCAGAAATCAAACTCATGTCACAGGCTTCATAAGAGTAGTGTGCTAACCACTAAAAATACAGCTCCCCACATACACAGAGACATACAAAGATAGAAACACAGGCAGGTTCTGGGAGAAACATCCTTTGACAGTAACGAGCCACCATGCTTCCCTTCCCCCAGACACACAACAACACGGCCATAATGAACCTGCAGGACCCGTCTCCTCTCCAGGTGTACAACGCACCTGCGCTTCACCTTGAACCCCTCGGCACCCGTCAGGTTCATGAGGGGGTTACCACTCAGGATATTCTCCGTGCGAATTTTCTCCTCCTCGGATTTCTGTTCCCGCTCCTGTGGGAGACACGGCGAAGACCCATTGAGGATACAGTGGAGACACAGGGAGGATGGAGATGTACGGTGGTTGGTATTTTTGTTATAGACATGCAGCGGGTTGGTGAGAACGAGTGGGTAAACTGCTTGGGATACAAGCAGACACGGTGGAGACAGAAGGAGATGAGTGCGCAGGCCAAGGATGCAGGTGAACGGGAGACAGGGAAACAGGACCAGTAGGTGGCATACAAATGGACACAGAGGCAAGGAGAACACATTCCTCCTGTGGAGGGAGCTGGTAGGAACGTTGGGTTGCTCGGTTAATGGCCAGGGTCAACGGCGGCGTGGTGTATTCCGCAAATATGTCCGACTGTGAGGGCGGGCACAAGCCGGCGTGAGTAGGTTAAACGTTGAGTTTTATAAGGGCACCACGGGGTGACCAGCCCCTCCCCACCCTCCCCACCCAGCCCCTCCCCCCCCAGCCCCTCCCTCCCCACCCAGCCCCTCCCTGCACGACGGACACAATAATCACCTGTGGGCTGGTGTAACCAGGAGGTTCCTACCAGTAATAGGGACAATGTTGGGAGACGCAAGTGGACAAAGAAGGGGACAGGGGAATAGGCAAACTGGCTGGGAAACAATTGGGTATGAGCGAGATGGGAGGGGACAAGGATGGAATAGAGGAAACAAAAGAGATAAGAGCACGTGAAGTGGTATCAGGAGCCAGGAGGGTGTCAAAGCAAAGGGTACACGGATTCAGGCTGAGACAAGCAGCCGCAAGAAACAGCGAGTGAGAACATCGGCAGGGACCCAAGAGAGACCAGAAGTGAGAATTAGAATATTGATTTATACTGAGAGAATCCGATGAGAGAAAAAACCTAAGAATATGAAGCCCTTTTTCACAGATGTCCAGTAGAGAAAGCAATACAGGGGAGACCAGCAGTGAGTTGGGGACGAAGGCAGACAGATGTGAGACAAGAACAGAGGAACGCACGCGCTTGGATTGCTCCTCCGCCCGCTCCTTCTTGATTTTGCTGAGCTCGGCGAGCAGAGCCGCTGTGTCATCCTCATCATCGTCGCTGTCCTTATCCGAGGCATCTTCGTCCTGAAATGCGCAACACATACATGAACACGCTAAGGCACAGAGGTATTCACAAAAACAAAAAAACACTTGCGAACAACCCGCTCGTTCGTGTCTGACCAAGCAAACACAAGCATAATTTGGACCAGCATTTGAATTATAGTAGTGGTGATGATGATTATTATGATGGGAGTGATGGCTGAAGTGGCGGTGATGTTGATGACTGTAATGGCAGTGATGATGATGATATAATGACGGAAGTGGTGCTTTAAGTTGTGAAGTTGATAGCTGCGATGCTGATGGTAGTGATGGTGGAAGTGGTTTTGATGTTGATCATAACGTTGACAATAATGACTAATGATGATGTCTATGGTGACGGTGCTGGTAACGATGTTGCCATCCGCCGCTTCACCTCGTCACTCTCGATAGGGTCGTCAGCGTCGATATTGGCGGCAGGGATTTGGTCGATGCGCGGGCGCTTGGACGATGACGAAGAGGAAGAGGTGATGTGCTCTGCACATACACACACACACACAAGTTCAATAAGGTGAGCTGTGTTCCTTGTGTTGTCTTGTGGTAATTATGTCCATTGTCTTCGTTGTCTGTCCACTGTGTTTGTATGTTCCCTGTGTTGTGTTCATTGTGGTGTTTTTAGTGCGTTTTGTGTGTTGCTTTGTGTGTACATTGTATTCACTGTGTTGTGTTCATTGCATTATATATATCATGCAGTCTTCATTTTATGAATTGTGTTCGTTGTGTCTATTGCTTGCATTGTTAGTTGTCAATTGGTGTGTTGTTTTGAGCCCATTCTGTACAATTTTTTCCTTATGAACATTGTTGCGTAAACTGTGTCTATCTCGAGCATTGGGCTCTTTCATTCTGCTCAATGCATGTGTGGACTATGCAGTACAGGAGGGGTGGGGAACTTTGTCCTTAATGAGTACCAAATAAGACTTTCAAACAAAGTTAGTGGGCCTCAGATAAACACAGAACTCACCGTTATTCAATGATAATGCAAATAAAAAATGTGCAGTGGACCAAGCATCAAGATGCCAATGCAGTCATATCATCATGACTGAGCACACTAACGCTAGAAACGCAGTGTTGCTAGGTCAAAAATATTTCCCCCCCCTTGTACCCGATTTGTGCGGCTGAGATGCTTACAGTGATGGGTAAATATCGTTTGCAGGCCGTTTCAAAGCGGTGGGTCTCATGTGGCCACAGGCCACAACGAGGTAAAGTTCTGTACTGTATCTGGAGCACGGGCCACAGAGGTCTCAAACGGGTTTTGATTCCTTACCCGTACCCGTACTCGGCCGCACCAGGGTCGCAAATGGGTACCCGTACCCGTACCTGGCCGAGTACGGGTAGCCGGGTATCGGGTAGGGTACGGGTATCGGGTACCCGGTTGCGACCTCTGACGGGCCGTAAGTTCCCCACCCCTACAGTGGAGTCTCCACCACTCCGATCACCCAGCTGCGCCCCCCCCCCCCCCACCGCTGGCCCGTACCACGAGGCGCACGCGACCGATCTCGTCCGGTTACTCTCTCGCGCTCCTCCAGCTCCCGGCGGAAGTCGCGGCCACGGACCTCATCCACATTGTCCTGGGTCGACTGCCTGGGGGTGTCAGCATTATCAGCAGCGTCATCATCAGCAGCAGCAATCATGATTCTCCATTTTTTGCATCATTTGTGAGCAGTAGTAGGTATGTTGAATTACTTTCACACCGTACGGAGACAACCGTGCTAATCGGAGGTGCGGGGAAAGGTCAAAAAGCAGGAGCAAGTTCATGATTGTAGTAACAAGATCCGAAATGGCATTAGAAACATCAACATAATAATGAATGTCTAAGACATTCATTATTATGTTGTCAGATTGCAACGCTCAGTTACGTGAGTGGGGTTGCTAGGAGTGATGTCAGAACTTCAACTGCGCCGAGCCAATCAGCTGCAAGGATGTTTGTAGCCAACTCTCATTGTACAGCAATCAGGTGGATGATCAAGCACTCACTGATTTATTCTGATCACTCGCTCACTCACCAGAGGTTAGTAGCCTTCTTATCACTCTTCTATCACTCCTACCATGGTTACCGTTCCCGTGAATTTCTCTTATTGATTCCTTCACCCGTATTGAAGACACGGTTCACTAAACTGAATGATTATTCTGATCAATACTGTGTTCAAGCACCATGCTGCAGGTCTCAACAACACACTCACTCAGCAACTCACCCACTTACTCACGACAATGGAAGTCACAACGCTTACATATAGGTTTCTTCACTTGTCCTACCGGACTTTAAAATTCCCTCTCATGATCTTATTTCCCAAGTTCTTAGATCTCTTCACCAGACGTGTTAACTCCTATCTATTACAACTTCAGTCTTGCTGTTTGTTGCTGGTGTCCTAACACAACACCGATACATAACCATGCAAACACAACAACAACGTACACCAACTGCTCAAAACACAACCGCCACAAAGAAAATGCTCAAGCACAACTATACAAAACTGCTCAAAAACAACAAAGATTCACTCACCCTGCTCACCCCTCCTGCCCTCTCTATCTTAATAAAACACCAGGTATTCATTTGAGGCTGAGTCGACCTCGGGGAGGCTCAGGACCGGTTCAGATAATCGTCACTGGTGCTGACCATGATCGGGAATCGAACTTGGGTCACCGGGTTCGTGGCGCAGCGCACTAACCGTTAACACTACCACTCCCAAAAACAACAACCACACACAACCACAAGCGTACTACAATAAACACAACTGCTCAAAAACAAGACACATATGGAGCACCAGAAACGTATTTCCTAACTTAAAGAGTAATGGCATGTGTCCAATTCCATATGGAAACAGAGTTACGCCATATACAAGCTTTAGCATATTAAATAATTGGGACTTTGGCTGCAGGATCTCAGCAATCTTGACCAATAAGCCACGCAACCACCTCCTATTATGTGAATTAACACAGTTGCTGTGTAGGACATAATATGTCTTCGTGCCACAACCTCCTGTATACCAGGCGAGGTAGTTAACGTCTCGCCACCGCGGCACCCTAAACATGATTCTAGATTTGAAGCTTTCGTGACTGCAAGGATTCATACTCTTAGGCTTTTTCGGTAAAGTCACGTAGGTAATTTTAGCTGTGACGGACCCACCTGATGACGGAGACTTGTGTTGCCTCCGAAACGTCGTGATTTATTATTTTATTTCCACTATTACTTTTATTAACTTTTAATTCTATTTTTTACCTACGTGACTTTACCGAAAAAAACTAAGAGTATTAACCCTAAACTTGGTTTAATCACGGGTGGTTGATGCCCAGGTTTGAACCCAGGATCTTAGCAGCGGCAGCTTAGCGCTCCGGCCTCCCGAGCCCCTCGGCCACCTACTCGTCTCCTACCTGTACTTGATCTTGGTGTGTCCCGGGAGGTCGCGACTCGAGTACTGCTTGGACAGGGCACTCAGGTCCCCGCTGCCCTCACCTTTGCCCCTCCCGCCCCTCGCCGGCTCGAACGTGGGCCGAGCAGCAGTTGTCATGGCAACCTGGTGAGCATGGCAACATTGTTATCATCACCTACCATAAAAATCATCATAGACATGAACATTACATACTCTTAGGTTTTTTTGGCAAAGTCACGTAGGTAAAAAAATTATGTGACGGTTCCACCTGAAGACGGAAGCTTGTGTTGCCTCCGAAACGTCGTGATTTTTTATTTTACTTTTATTAATTTTAAAAATTTTTCCTACGTGACTTTGCCGAAAAAACCTAAGAATATGAATCCTTGCAGTCACGAAAGCTTCAAATCTAGAATGAACATTACATTCCATAGCTGTATTATCACCAACACTTTCATATTACCAGCATGACTTTGAGAGGCTTTCTGTGTATGAAAAATACTTCGGTTGTTAAACGACAACCAGTACACCTTTCGATTTAAAGCTTTCGTTACCGAAAGAACCAAGAAGATGAACCAGTACACCATTAACCTGGCCTTCTCCACGTCTGCTCAGATTGACATTCGTTCATGGTGTGGTATGCTAACAATGATCACTCGGGAGACAGACAGCCGGGTGTGGTACTGGCCACACCACCTCCACGTGCCGCACCAGTCTTAATAGGTGCTCGCTTGCAATACTTACCAACATAGTCTATTTGGCTATAAAATATATCTTTGTGTGCGAGCTATATTTATGTATGGGTCTCTGAATCTGCTCGTACCTGTGCGCACATGTGCTTATGTACATGTCTGTATCCGTGTGTAGCAGTGCTTGCGTATTCATTTGTCCGCGTCAATAGATGTTTGCGTGTACTCTTACTTAAGCGTTTGTCTGTGCCAATACATGCGTCTGTGTCAGTACATTTGCCTGTGTATACCTTTGTCGAGATAAACATGTGCGTACTCGTACGCGTTTAAGTCTACGAGTGGTCAAGCGCTACTCGTACACAAAATAAGAACGCTACCTTGGGACAAACGAGGCGTCAATGGAGCCGCACTGCTCGTCATTATATCACATCACATTGATATTTTCCGAATGTTACTGTTCTACTTGTGTTGGTCGCAATAACCACAACAGTAACGGGGCTTTGCGTCCGGGCCTACGAGTGGCGGGGTGTGGGGAGCCTCGGCATCGCCTGGTTTCGCACGCACGACGGGCGCCTTAAACGCCGCCGAGTTCTAGTCGAGAACGCGAAGGCCTCGCCGAACACTGGCGATAAAGCAATTATCACGCGAAACCCCCGAGCAAAAAAACCGTAACCCTGCACCGTTTGCGACGTAACGTTGCGTACGATTGAGCACAGCTAGAGTAGCGTCAATTGTAAGTGCTATTTAAGCTACAAATGTGAAAAACCTTTAAAATGATCTACAGGGCGAAGCCTGGATTGACTAGGCCTCAATTTCAAAGACTGCCGATGTAATCGCTGCGTCTTCAAAACAAAAACCACCGTTCGGGGTCAAACACAACGAAGGCACTCGAGTCGCAACATCGACAGAGCCTCCGGCGAGTACCGTGAGAAGTTACGCGAGGAAACGTTTCCTGACCTTTTTTTATGCCCAAAGGCGCTTTCGCGAAACCGCGGGGGCCTGACGGAGAGCCCGGATCACGTGACCGGCCCCGTGACGTCACTTCCGCCCTCGGCGTGCACCCGCCACGTGCGTTCGCAAACTCGCTGTGGTTTTTTTCGGTAACGTCACGTAGGTAAAAAATATAAAATAAATTAAAATGAAAACAAATAAATGTATTTATGAAAACAAAATGAAAACAAATACATATATTTATGAAAATAAAATGAAAACTAATACATTTATTTGTTTTCATAAATAAATTAATTTGCTTTCATTTTCATTTATTTTATATTTTTTTACCTACGTGACTTTGCCGAAAAACCCAAAGAGTATAGATCCTTGCAGTCACGAAAACTTCAAATCCAGAATCGCTGTGTGTCGTTCAACCCGCCACCACCCGGACACAACCAATTGGTAAGGGGTTTTAATTGGCATGGTCTGTTCATGTAACAAACTTTGGGATGTTATGTTTACGTGATAAACTTTGTCACATAAACAGAACATCCCAAAGTTTGGCACGCAAACTGAACATGCCAATTTAAACCCCTTACCAATTGGTCGTGTCCGGGTGTTGGTCGTTAAACCCGCCACGTGACAAACTTTGGGATGTTCTGTTTACGAGACAAACTTTGACAGACTTTGTCTGCCAGACTTTGTCTGCCAAAGTTTGCCACAGAACATGACAATTCGTTACTAGTTCAGCACTCACCGGTTCTGTGTTGGAGAGCAAATCCACAGCGTTTACAATCTGAGTACGACGTTTCGCCAGTAATTGCAACCGGCATCATCAGGCGGACAGCCAGATGTGTGTAGAATCCTCATGTTTCGTTCCAAAAATATAGGGAAATATGTGATGGTGTTACTTGTCAGTCCTTCTTGTGCGAAGTGGGCGGGGGGGGGTTAATGAATGCATATAAATTACAACGCGATATAACCCCCAAAAGCCTGTATTAGGGATGATATTGGTGGCGAAAGCGTACGTGTTAAACTCGCTGTGGGTCTAATGCGGAAGGGGGTGCCAGGTGGGGGAGCGGTGGCGTAGCTGTTAGCGCAATGCGCAACGAACCCGGTGACCCGAGTTCGATTCCCGCATCGCGACCAACACACCAAAACGACACCCCAAAACGACACACCAAAACGACACACCAAAACGACAAACCTTACCGGCTGTGTCGGGTGGTTGGAGGGTTACGACACATTTTATACTTGCGCGATCTAACCCAAAAATCTGTATTATGGCCAAAATGTCGATTATGTGAACCGGTTATGGGCCTTGCCCTAGGTCGACTCAGCCTCAAATGAGTACCTGGTGTGGTGTGTAAACATCGTCAAACATCGTCAGTGGGGAGACAAAGGCGGGCCGGGCGTGTGTGCCGTTCCAGCCTTCATAGGTGCTCGCTAACAGCACTTGCCCCAACAGTCTGTTCAGGCGATACGGGGGATATCCGTCTTTTGTGCTCGGTCGAAGCCTTCATCGAGCAGTGGCTAGACCATGGCTGATGATGATGATGATAACGGCAGTCCGCTGCAGTCAGCAAAGTTCGGTCGAAATTTGGACAATTTCCAGTTCTGAAACGTGCTTAACAACACATCGGTTTGACGTGTAGCGGTCCCGTACATGTGCCGCTAAACCTCCCCACTCTCATGCCTCTCCCAGCCTGCTGCTTGTCGGGTGGGTAGGGGAGGCGGCGGGCGGAGAGTGATTTGACAGCGGAAGATTGTTGTTGTCCTGCGTGCTACTTACCCAACAAACCCGTTGTTCGATTTGGAAGAGGGAACTCATTGAACGATTGCAGTGAGTGGCAGCTACTGGCCACACACAGGGTCCGATTGTGTTGAGCCGAGAAACCAGCGGTCCCCAACCTTTTTGGCACCAGGGACCGGTTTCTTTGAAGACAAATTTTTCACGGACCGGGGGGGGGGGGGGTCATCATTGGGTCTTTCCCCCTTTTCAAAGTAGCTCTCCAGCGACGTTTGTTATTGACTCATTTTGACCAGGGGTTAGCAGCTTGTGGGCTTGTCAGATATTGCGGAGATCTGAACACGGTTCCACCGGGCTGCACTGGCTTCTTTCGGCAGCGCTGCCACATTGCTGCACAGAAAGTCAGTGGGAAGTTTAACACGTAGGCTTTCGCGACCAATATTATTCATAATAAAGTTTTTGGGTTTAGATCGCGTTATTTATAAACGTGTCGCAACCCTCCACCACCCGACACGGCCAATCAGTAAAAAAGTGTCACGTTGACAAAAGACAAATAGTTCACTGCTTTAGCCCACCGGTGTGTTGAAGCGTGAAACCACAATTGTGAATGTTGTGGTTTCACGCTTCAACACACCGGTGGGCTAAAGCAGTGAACTATTTGTCTTTTGTCAACGTGACACTTTTTTGCTGATTGGCCGTGTCGGGTGGTGGAGGGTTGCGACACGTTTATAAATAACGCGATCTAAACCCAAAAACTTTATTATGAATCAATGGTAAGTGTTGGTCGGTTGAGGTTGAAGCCCCTTCTATCGATGCCCCTTGCCCTCACCTTCATGGCTATGCAAGGAGAAGCACGGAACCTTGCCCAGAGGGGATTCCACACCGAAGCGCTGCACGAGTTGGAGGCTACACGCGGCTCCCCGAGTTTCCCTCGTGGGTCAGAGGCGACCGGCTATTCCCTGCATCAGAACCAGAACCGGAATTCGCGTAGTTTGGTGACGTTCGGGGTTGATGCAGAGCAGGTGGATTGCTATTTTTCTTCGTTAATTGTTGTGTTGTGTTGTTTATTTGTGTATTGTGGAAAATATTCAAGGGTTTGTTACAAGAGGTGGTGGTTTTTCGGTTAACCGATCTGAGGAGTGGCCGTGCTCTTAAGAGCTCGTGTGGCTAGGCGGCTTTACGAGTGTTTTTTTTTTTGGGAGGTCTTGGTGGCAGAGGTCGCAAATGGGTTGATTCCTTACCCGTACCCGACCGCACCAGGGTCGCAAACGGGTACCCGTACCCGGCCGTACCCGTACCCTACCCGTACCCGGCCGGGTAGGGTACGGCCGGGTACGGGTATCGGGTACCCGATTGCGACCTCTGGGATGAAGCCATGTTGCAGGCGCGGGTGGGTTGATTCTAGGAACTTGAATTGTGAAAAGAGACAAGACGTTGGGAAATGAGTGTCAGTTACTCACCAGTGACTCACGGCCTACCCGTACCCGTACCCGGCTGGGTACGGGTAGCCGGGTATCGGGTAGGGTACGGGTATCGGGTACCCGGTTGCGACCTCTGCTTGGTGGACCCCAATCAAACCCTCACCTTGACCTTTCACGCGACTCCCACGGCGGACGGGGAAGTGCTGCCATCTACTGTATGGACAAGACCGAATTCTGTCAATCACAATCTGGTAACCGAGCAGAGACTTTAATAATAATAGTACAATTTGTAACGCGCGCAAATTTGCAGACGTAGTGGCCGCAACTCAGAGGCGCGGAGCCAAGCTCAGAGTCGCTCAAAAGCATGATTGTAGAGGTGAGTTTTTAAGTGTCTCTTGAAGGAGGCGATTGAGGTGATGCTGCGAATGTGCAGAGGGATATCGTTCCAGACTGTTGGGGCTGCCACCGAGAAGCGGCGCGTAGACATGACCATCCTGGATCTTGGTATTGAGAGGAGGTCGTGAGTCGCGCTGCGCAGGCATCTGCCGTGTGCTGAGCTGCAAGTTGTCAGTAATGAAGAAAGATACGGCGGGCAGGCGGATATGAAGGCATTGTGGCAAAGGCAGGCGGTCTTGTATGTGACCCTACTGGCAATGGGGAGCCAGTTGAGAGCGCGGAGACGAGCTAGTGAGTCGAGGCGGGGATGAGTGTGGGCAATGACGACGCGTGCTAGGTTATTTTGTAGTCTTTGAAGCTTCCTTAGGTTGCCAGCGGAGGTCCGGACAAGGACGGAGTTACAATAGTCAAGGCGAGACCCAACTATGCAACATGCCAAAGTGTTGGCAATTTCAGTAGAGATGAGAGGACGTATGTGTCTAAGAGCCTTCAGGTGAAAGCTGGCTGTTGATGCGACCCAGAAGGTCGAAACCTTGTCCCAAGCTTGAAGTAACAAATGATACTGGCTCATGTTTGTCAGGAAAGCCGTTGGATGTAAACATTTGTATTCATATCATGGGACTGTTTTTTGCCAGTGTCAAAGTATGAAAAATAAAAAAGGTTTTACCCTTTCTGGCAATAAAACAGGTGTTAAAATGTTCAAACACTTAAGAGATTCCTTTTGCAAGGAATCAAGTCTGCATTAATCACACGTACTTGTGGTGAACATGCAAATATGGAGCTGCTCGCCCCGAGCTAACACATTCCTGCGGAGGGAGCTGGTAGTCACGTTGGGTTGCTCGGTCAATGGCCAGGGTCAACGGCGGCGTGGTGTATTTCCCGCAAATATGGCCGACTGTGAGGGCGGGCACAAGCCGGCGTGAGTAGGTTAAACGTTGAGTTTTATAAGGGCACCACGGGGTGACCAGCCCCTCCCCACCCAGCCCACCCAGCCCCACCCTCCCCACCCAGCCCCACCCTCCCCACCCAGCCCCACCCAGCCCCACTTGCACAACGGACGGACACAATAATTCCGTGGGCTGGTGTAACCAGGAGGTTCCTACCAGTATTATTTGTCTCATGAAAATGAAACCGACAGCATATACAATAATAATGAAAGTTTTAAAATACCAAGTGTCAAATAAAAAGAGGCGATGGACACGACTCAACAGTGAACTCGCTCTTTTAATAGTTAATCAAATACAGTTCATTCCTAAATCTCCCATTTAATTACAGATCGGTATTTTTTTTTATTTTCAAGTTGTAATAATTACACTTCTCTCCATCGAGTTAGAATCTAAATATGCAACTCGCCATATAAAAATTTCCCGTAACACTTTTTGCTACTGCGGTGTGTGCATGTTAAGTTAAACATTTGAAATTGCTTAAACAAAAAATTCTTAAGTTATAAATCACGAATCCATATGGGTCCGTTACAAATATAATAGCAATAATAACAAACAAAAACCTTCAATATAAGTCACATTAACATTCCCAGGTGGCCTCATGAAAAAGTGGCTTTCACAACAAATACTTTCTTTGCGATATCCAAAACGTAGTCTAGTGGTGCACTCGTTAAGCTGGATCCACACACGAGCGGTCAGTGGTGCAACACAGAGGTCGCAAACCGGGTACCCGATACCTGTACCCTACCCGATACCCGGCTACCCGTACCCGGCCGGGTACGGGTAGCCGTTTGCGACCCTGGTGCGGCCGGGTACGGGTACGGGTAAGGAATCAAAACCCGTTAGCGACCTCTGGTGCAACAACATCTCACTTGGAATCGTGCAACTCGAATTGCCTCCACTGCTTTGTCCGCTACATCGGAGTGCGCAGGGAGTTGTACAATACGTACGAGTCTGGGCGTGGGTAAAGTGTCAAGCTACGCCCTTGACAGCAAAAGACCCCCCCCCCTCCTCACCTATTTTATGATCAGATTCACACACACCAAGATCGGAACCAACATTATTCACAAGCGTGCACGTGATGGAAGAGATCACTACAAATTGTTGCGCGAATCACTTGACAGTACAGTCTTCCCGACTGCATGCAACCAGTTGTGCAACTGCTCACAACTGGTTGCAAACACTTCCACACAAGCGATTCAGTTTTAAGCAACCGAATTGGGTAACTTATGGCTCGGCGTGTGCTCACTGATCAACTTTATTGTACTCAGCCCGCAACCCAAAGAACCCAAGATAGAATCCTGGTTGCAGTTTGTCAAACCCTACTCATTACAACCATTATCGCCATCCAGTTGCTGTTTATAATATTAAATTGTTGGACATTCAGTTGTTTTTAAATGACAAAATCACCCATAATACGCCAATAGTCAGATTTCAAAAGCCAAGCAGGTATGAGCCTAGTGATTGGATGGGCAACCATCAATCATAAAAGGTGCCTTAAGGCCGAAGCAGAGCTACCGTGTGGGTTTCAGGGGCCAATGCAGCAAATTGCAACATTTGACTGTGCTTCTTTGCTCCTGGCATTCACTGCGCACCGATCAGCGTGTAGTATGGTACCAAAACTCTCACGACTCGCACGGTGTGGAAAGGCTCTCATCCAGCAATGAACTGACAAAAAGAGGGCTGCACATCTACAGATTTATTTGGAAGAAAAAAATATTCCCCACCATGAGAACTTTCCTCCACTTGTTCAGTCTCCCTCAAAAGGATTAGCGTCACTGGCCAACATTTGTTTGTCCAGGGAGACAATTTTAGCAAGAGACTCGTGTCTTGACGATGATCTTTGGTCATTTGCCTTAAGATAATTCAACTACTTGCTGTAAATGACGCACTCGGGCAGAAAGTGTCCGCAGGCTTAAAACAAATCGTCAACCATGGTCAACCCACTGCTTGTGATGAAGGCCTGCCCAAGCAGTCAGTCTCACACGATACTGCAATGTGTGAACCCACCTAGCACGAAGCAACCGCTAAACCAGTGCCGTACGATCTGCTATATAAACAAACGCTTCAGAAACATGGTAATTAATTACAGCAACAAAAATTTACCAAAAACCGAAAAGGTGTGAAAATCAGCAGTGGGATTCCACGCTTGGAATTATACCGAGACTAGAGGAACATGTGTGAGAGAACATACGCAGTTTAAAGGCATTATTCAGACTTAAGTTGGCTTTGGGAAAAAACATGCTGCTAGTTATGACCGATGGTCAAGAATGGAAACAAATGAGTAATAATGTTTAGTCGCCTTTAGGCAGTGCCTAACAACGTCAACAGTGATGTGGGGGGGGGGGTCTTATCCGCATAAAGGCCTCGAGTCACAAGGCAACAGCAGCAGTAGGCAATGATGGCTAAACGGTTTTGACGATTCTTAACAGGGCTGAAACCAACAGTCCGTCTCATTGTCCTTTTGTTGCTGGACTCTTGAGTTGATGTTTAAAAAACGAGGCAGCGTTAATTATCTTATTTCAATTATATAGCACCTTCTTAAAAAAAAGGCACTGAATAAAATAATTAACTTTGTACAGCAGACGTGTGACGAGATGAGGATGGTAGTACGCGCGTATGATGCTGCGTGAAACAAACGACGACGAAAGTGACCACGAGTGGTTAATGATGAGCGAGTGTGATGAATGGGTAGGGAAGTTGGGACATGGGATGGTGTTCATGATGGGGAAGGGAGGGGGAAGATGAGTTTTGGTTAAGTGAGGGAAAATAAGTGAGCTTTCAGGGAAGAACGAAACATGGGCAGTGAGGCCGACTGTTTGACGTGTAGGGGCAGTTTGTTCCAGTGTAAGGGGGTCAGAAGTGAGAAAGGTGGGAATTCTAGATTTGAAGTTTTCGTGACTGCAAGGATCCATACTCTTTGGTTTTTTCGGTAAAGTCACGTGGGTAAAAAATATAAAATAAATTACCTACGTGACTTTACCGAAAAATCCAAAGATTAAGGTGGGAATCGTTATTGGGCACAGGGAGGAGAGGGAACAAACAGAGACAGCTGTGATTGTGAACGCAGAGGTCGAGGAGGAGCAGAGACTGAAATGAGGGAAACGAGATCTGGTGGGGGCCGGACCATGGAGAGATTTGTCAACTGGGGTGAGGAATTTGAAAAAGCAACGGAAATAGACCCCGGGGCCGGCCCAGGTCACGGTGGCGGGACCATGTCGCTCAGCTGGCGTGGGAAAGCCTGGGAATTCCCCAGGAAGAGCTAGAGCCTGTGTATAGTAGTGTATAGTGTAGTGTATAGTAGTGTATAGTGTAGTCGTGTATAGTAGTGTATAGTGTAGTGTATAGTAGTGTATAGTAGTGTAGTGTATAGTATAGTAGTGTATAGTAGTGTAGTGTATAGTATAGTGTAGTGTATAGTGTATAGTAGTGTATAGTGTAGTCGTGTATAGTTTAGTGTATAGTAGAGTCGTGTATAGTGTAGTATTGTGTAGTGTATAGTGTAGTGTATAGTTGAGTAGTGTAGAGTAGTGTATAGTGTAGTCGTGTAGTGTATAGTAGTGTATAGTGTAGTCGTGTATAGTAGTGTATAGTGTAGTAGTGTATAGTGTAGTAGTGTATAGTGTAGTCGTGTATAGTGTAGTGTATAGTAGAGTAGTGTACAGTGTAGTGCTAGAGTCTGTCGCCAGGGAAAGGGAGGTCTGAATCGCCCTACTCAACATGCTGCCGCCGCGACCCTCACCAGGACAAGCGGATTAAGAAATGAACGATAACAGCTGGACGAGGAGAGGTGATGTGTGCGAGTGGTAGGTGAGATTGAAAATGATCCGGCATTGTGGATACGTTGGGAGCAGTTTTAATGCGTAAGAGGGAAGACCAAGCATGAGGGAGGTTGTAGTAATGAAGTCGAGTGAAGATGGAGTGTATTAGAAGTTTTGCGGCCGTATTTGAGATGAGGGGGCGAGACTTTGCGAATGTTGTTCCAGGAGGAGAGGATGATGTGAGTGTCATCAGCAAAGAAATGATGAGGAAGGTTAAATGATGAAATGAGGGATTCGAGAGGAGAGTTGGAGAGAGATAAAAGAGGGGAACAAGGACACCACCTTGGGGGGACGACACCGATAATGACGGCGGACGGGGGAAGAAGTGACGTGGTTTGATGAGAATGTTGAGGTGCGCGAGAGAGAGAAGCAAGTAGGATGGTAAAATGTATCGAAGGCTGCAGTAAGGTCGAGTAGGACACATGTGGCTTGGTGATGTCACGTGATATGCGAGGCTAACAGGGGGACAAATTCAATGCTCATAATTGTACCTTTTATACAGTCAATAAAAATCCCCGTTTGCCAATTATTATCATCACTCTTCTGTGCCATTTCGTTGCCAATGGAGACATCGGCAATGAACTTTTGTCGAGATGAGAATGTGACCCTATCATTTGTATTATCTAGCTTAGGCCAACAGTACAAGGGGGCAGGCTAGTTATAGCAGTTCAGCCCTTTGTCAATCCACTGCACGATTAGGGCCTTCCGATGCCGTGGGGGGAGGGGGGTGGGGTTATAGAGTTAGTTTTCACCATACTGGTCAGTGCGGTTTGATAAAGACAGGGGGCATACATAAGGGATCACAACATTTTTGGAGGCAACTTTTCCAAAGTCACTTCAAATTCATCAGCCACCTTGGGAATGTAAGACCCACCCAAGAACAGGTCAAAGTAAAATAAAATTAAGCCTAAATAAAATAACATTAATCACCCCCTTCTGGGCTTTTCCCTTCAGCTATCACCACCGGTAAGACAAAGTTAATCACTGCACTGGTGGTTAAAGTGTTGCTTCAACGTTTCATGTCTCATCCCTCGGTTCGACATCGAAAAAAACGCACACACACACACACAAAGTAAAGAGTTTTTCACAAATTATACGTATATTAGAATAAAATCATGCTAAATCCCATGATCTGAACCATTTAAAGAAGTGGAGGAGGTAGGCAGTAATGTCATTCCCGACATCATTATTTGTATATGCAAGTGTGTGTGTATTTATGGGCGATAGCTAGTGTGGGTCCGCCTGTTTGTGTGTGATGATAAAGTGTTTGACAGTGTGTGGGTGTGAGCAAGTGTCCGGCAAAACAACCCCCTACTTCCTCGTTGGTGCCGGACAATAACGCTGTGGTAAGGAGTGCCATGGGGGAAAGGCAAATTTCGTTTGTCCATTCCCCTCATGGCGTTTGGAGCAACCACAGCGGCCAAAGGGGGGCTCTGGAAGAGTGCGAGGGGCTGGTAACCCCTCCAACTTCAGTCCAAGTACCACGCACAGACTGTAACTATAGGGGCATCTCACTCCTGTGTGCTTGGAAAGGTCCTAGCAAGGATTATTCAACAACGCCTTGCCAGGCACGCTGAGGAGATGCTTGTGGAGCCCCAATGTGGTTTCAGGAAAGGGCGGTCCTGCACATATGCCATATTTTCTGTCCGTCTGCTACAGCAGAGGTTTTTGGAATTCCAACAAGACCTACATGTCTGATTTATTAACCTGGTCAAGGCCTATGATACCATCAGTATGCCTGGGCTGTGGGTTGTTCTTCGTACTTTCGGAGTCCCTGACTCTTTGCTCACAATCATTAAGGATCTTAATGATGGTGAGCAGGCCCAGGTAAAACTACGTGGCCGGGAGTCGGAGCCATTCGCTGTTCATCTTGGGGTGGCGACAGGGATGTCTCTGGCTCCCACATTATTTAATATATATTTTGACCACATAGTTCACGAAGCCTTCGATGGCTATACCGGGGGAATTTCCATCTGGTACAGATACAATGGGAGGCTGATCGATGCCCGGGTGTGGTCAAGGGATGGCTCCGTATTGGGTCAACCATGTTACGTATGCCGATGATCTGGTAATTGTTGCTCACTCAGAGGAGGAGTTGGAGGCGCTGCTGCTGAACCTGGAGCGTGCTACTAAGAGGCAGGGCCTTACCATCCAGCCCCACCAACACTAAGCACCTGCCTGGGTATTTTGTACCATCAGACACTCCACCCCCACAACTCCCAATTGGTGATGGGGTAGTTGTGGAGGGAGTGGAGAGTTTCCCATACCTAAAGAACAGCAAGTTGGCAGAGTAGGGGGCACAGGTGGTGCATCGGCCAGTCACCTCAGTCAGTCGACCCGTGGCATCTGGGTCTGCCCTGTGACCTCTTGGCAAGAGGTCACTGGGTCTGCCCCGTGACCACTTGGCAGCGGGCATTCGATACTTCACGTGGCCTCAATGTGCATAGCCTGGCACGAGCGCCGTGGTGACATCACCGCCACTTAATGGCGAATGGCGGTTGTTGTTCATTGTGTGAGCAAGTGTGTCTTATTATAGTGTTGTGTGCCTGACAGCTTGTACCTATTATTACTGTACATATTCGCCCGTGCGTTTGTACATATGATTGCAGTCTATGTTACCCTGTGTCTGCTTTTCCTTGCCTGTGTGTGTGTGTGTGTGCGGTTGCGTTATCCCATGTACGTGTGCATCGACCGCTCCCGATTTTTCGGCACACGTGTGTACATGTGCGTGTACGTGCGCGTCTGCATGTGTTCGCCTGTGCGAGCACGTTAGCCTGTGTGTGCATGTCCATGTGCCGGCTGCTGATGGTGTCTCAGCAGGTGCTGCCTGAGGGTGGCACGCACAGGGAAGCGCCGGCCACATATTCCACACTCAAACGGTTTGAGCCCCGTGTGAGTCGTCAGGTGGTAGGCCAGCACCTGGGTGGGGGGCACACATACGTGCGCGCACACACACAGTTATGTACATAAGTACAATGTATGGGCACGTACACACAAAGACAAATATTTACCAGTATAGGATGCACAGACTGTTTGGGGCAAGTGCTGTCAAGCCAGCACCAGCAATATCCTGGCTTCAAATCCCAAGTTCAGCCACTCAGAGTTAAACCAAGTGGAGACGTTCATTGTCTCTGCCTAGTCAAAAATTCCTGTCAAAAACATTGCGTGACATCATATTTAGCTGTGCACTTCATTTGGCTAAATTCCACATCAGAGAATTCGATTGATCGATTATCACACACACACACAGTCACCTGTACTCGCGTTAACCCCCATGCACTCGCGCGCGCAAGAAGCATGGCGAGGAGACGGGGAAAGTTGGCTGGTGGGAGATGGGGGGTGGGAGGTGGGGAGGTAGGGAGATGGGAATTTCACATTCCAGAAAAGAGCGACGGACAAGTGGTGCAAGGTGGAGCTGGGAAGAGACGGGAGAAGGAAGACAGGACGGAGACAGGTGGAGAAGCCTGCAGCAGGGGGATGTGAGGGAGGAGTGAAAGGGCCTCCAGAGCAGAGGGGGCGACAGTCACCTGCTTGCGGCCGAAACTCCTCCCGCACACGTGGCAGGTGTGGCGCTTGAGGCCGGCGTGCACCTCCAGGTGCAGCCGCATGCCCTGCTTGGAACGGAACACCTGCACCGCGCGGCGAGACACGGGAGACGCGGTGAGAAAACTCTGCATTTGCAAAAAGTTGCAATTTTGTCCCCGATTTAAAATGTTCTGCCCCCCACACACTCTACTCCCTTACTTAAGTTCTTCTTCCCCTACCTTCCCCTCCCCACATAAAAGTACAAGTACCCTTCTCGCGGTCCCCACTCGGTGGGGCAGAGAGCCCAATCTCCTCCCTTTTATTGCAAGTGTTGGAGCGCAGAGTTTCGGACTTGTGTCCGCAGAGTTTTCTGTACCCCCCCCATACTGTAACATAATTAGATCGCGTAAATATGTGTCGATAAACCCGCCACTACCAGTCACAGCCAATTAGCAAGGTTAGTCACAGCCAGATATGGCTGTCGCCTGATGAAGCTAGATGTAATTACTGGCAAAACGTCGTACTCGGATTGAAAATGTTTTGGCTTTGCTCTCCAACACACCGGTGTGCTGTACTAGTAACGAATTGGCATGTTCTGTTTGTATTACAAACCTTACTAATTGGCTGTGTCAGGTGGTGGCGGGTTTAACGACATTCATATTTACGCGATCAAACCCAAAAAAAACTGCATTATGGATGATATTCGTCGCGAAAGCCTACGTCTTAAACTGAAAAATATAAGTTGATGTCCTCATGCGCAATTCATGATGCAAAGCGCAAGGCCGCCCAAATAGTGGGCGTGATTAGCAGGAGAGTAGGGGAGCCTTTGGCCAGTAGATGGGGCCAACATCAAAAAGCACAAGATGAGTGTGTGGGCTGAGCTTGTGGTGAGTGGGATGATGACACGAGAGACGGGTAGCTGCTAGATAAGCATGTGTCTTGATTGAGCCTTCCCGAAATTGGCAGCTTCAGGAAACACGGCGCGGTTAGACATGGGTGGAGGTGACGCGACATACTGACACAACGAGCTGAACACGATTAAAGCTGGCATAAAAATGGAAACTTCAGCCATAGCCCTAAACCTGCCGTCGCCATAACCCTCGGCTAATACCGGACCTTAACGAAGCAGCCCCGACCATAACCCGAGCACTAATCCCCACCTAGGCCATGATCGCAACCCTAAGATCTTTTCCAAACTGTAACTCCAACCATAACACTGGCAGCCACGCCGATATAACCATAACCCGAGCATTAACCCAACGTTGATAATCACACCTACCCCTAATACTATCAAAACTCTAGCACTAACCCGAGCTGGCTAAACCTATCATAAACTCGAATCCCTCCTAGTACTACCCTCGGACTCACTTTACACCTAGAAATAACAACCGTCACTATACACGAGCCCTAGCGTTCTGGGGGTGGTGTTCGACACAAGAAAACTAAACAAATGTTTACGGCCCCAAGCAGCTTCAGAGCCCCAGAACGATGTAAACAATCAGGGCGCATCAAATATCAGCTCGGTTTCAAATCCTGATGAACAGAAAACAGCTAACTAACATTAAAAAAGCATATTAGTCTCTCGGTGCCATCTGGTCTGCATCTCTTCTGCCAACTAACATCATCTTTGTGTCTGGTCTAACATCGCCCTCATATCATGGCATCTGTGTATCATCGACATCTCTTCTATTATCTCACTACATCTCAATCAAATGCCTTTAGCTCCTTTCACCCAAATGGGCCAGTACCACCACTGCTAGCATACACTAAACTCTCCTATCCATAGAATTAAGGACAGGCGAGTGAGGAAAAACCATTGTACACATCGTAACTTTAGCTCTAACCCATAACGTTACTATCCCTCGCTGTATTCCGTGTACTAACCATTACACATACCTTTGGTTCTTTCGGTAAAGTCACGTAGTTAGAAAAAATAATAGATCACGACGTTTCGATCACAATCGTCACCTGATCACGCAATCAATCCTCGCCTGATGACGATTGCTTGCGTTGCCATCGAAACGTCGCGATCTGTTATATTTTCTACCCACGTGACTTTACCAGAAGAACCAAAGAGGATGGATTCCTGCAGTCACGAAAGCTTCAAATCAAGATAAAACATAATCCAACCCTATTCATAGCTCTAGCCCTCACCTCAACAAAATTCGAAACCCCTTCCCCCGCACCTCCAATTTGCACAGTTGGCAATGTACGGTGCGACAGAAGTTCAACAACAATACACTCAATCCGCCCGAACACCACAATATTTCTAACACCACTCATGTTCAACACCGAGCTACAACACCCCCCTGCCACCCCTCGATCCCGCCCAATAACACACGTCTCTCACCTTTCCGCACAGGTAACAAGTGAAGTCTCCTCCAAACCCGGGGGCCATGCGTCCGCCGCCCCCGTCCTCCACGCCGCCATCCATCGCCATGGCGGCCCCAGCGCCTCCTATCGCCATCGTCCCATCCACCTCCTCGGCACCGTACCCCCCCATCGAGTCGTCGCACGCTCCGCCGGCCCCGTGCTGCCCATTATGGACCGCGTCTGCCCCATCGTCGCCCGGTTTGCGCTTGTCAAATCCTTCGGCACCGTCGCCAAACTGACCCTCATCACGGCACAGCCGGCTGTCTGCGATTTCGGCGCCGCCGCCGTCGTTGCCGCTGTCGTCGTCGTCGTCGTCGCCACCGTTTGCGTCGAGCTCATCGCCGTCGCCGACGGTGGCGGACGAGAGTTCGGGCATGCGGCCGCTTTGGTCGATGAGGAAGGGTGGCTCCTCAAACTCACACTTGATCTCCGCCACCACCACCGGGAGGCCGAAGCTGTCGTCGCTCGCTTGTGCGCCAGTCGAATCATCGGCATCACCAGTTCCACTGCCATTGCCGCCACTGCCGCCGCCGCCGCCGCCATCATCACCGCCACAGTCAGCGTCCAGTGAAACGTCCGCCTTTGTTTCCTTGGAGCCGGAGGTGGTGGTGGTGGTGCCGGTCATGTCGCTGCTGCCGCCGCCGCCGCCGCCGCCGCCGTGGTCTTCATCATCATTTTCGTCGTTATTTCTGTGCTGGTGGAGGCGGTTCTGCTGCCAGGCCTCCTCCGTCGATTCATCGGTCAAGCGTTTCCTACGGAGGCCCGACGCCAGTAAAGGCGGCGAGGTTGGTGGTGGTGCCAGATGTGCTTGTAGGAGCGGTTGCGGTTGGTGCAGCAATGTTGGAGTGCTGTGGTGCTGCTGGTGGGCATGGTTGTGATGTTGGTGCTGGTGGTGATGATGGTGGTGGCTGGCTCCGTCGGGAAGATCGGGAATGCCGGAGAAGTACTCGGCCTCCGGCCCAGCGGGATTGTGGGAAGGCTGCGGGGAAAGAGGGTGGCCACAAACAGAGACACAACACGTAAAATACAGAATTACAGTTCATGTTGTCTTAAGATGCGGTCTCTTGTAGACACTATATATTTAATGGTTGTTGCTGCTGCTTACATCAGTTGTACCCAAGGGGCAAATGAAAAGGACTTGCAAAAGGGTGTTTTAAAGGGTGTATAGGAAGTAGGTTGCCGAAGAGAAAGGCAGCCGAGACGAACTCAAGATCCATCTAAAAGGACCAAGTAACAGACAAAGCATATGTTTGATTGCCGAAATAAATGATAAATTACAGCCATTTGCCAATCCACTGCTGGATGTGGGTCTCGACACGCCATGCCGGCCATGGGGTTTGTCTGTGCAGGTGGGTGAAACGGGAGATGGCACCCATTGTGAACCACCCAGGCCTCATTATGTCTGTGTCAGGACACGCATTCCCTTTGAATAAACTCACCGTGTCACCGGCTCCGCCCACTATGCCGTTGGCCCTGCCCCCTGCTGTGCCATTAGCTCCGCCCACAGCTCTGTTTGCTCCGCCCCCTGTGAACAACAGGCAAGGCAGCCATGACGACAATGTCATCAAACCGACAACACCCCCCCCTCACACCCCCCCCCGTCAAGTGGTGCACAGTACTCTTTGCCACTGGAGGTCCTGAGCCAATGAAGGAAATTCCACATTCCTATGGTAGGACTCAGATGGGTCCTAAGTAATTAAACACCGAAACCACTGTTAAATTCCCAGCACCGAATTCCAATAAACTGCACATTCCTGTGACAAGAAGCAGTCACACCTTCATTCAGAAAAATTACAGCAACCACTGCGTCATCAGGCGGCACTCATTTTACTGACCAGAGGTGATGATGATGAACGTAATAGGTGATGACAAAGCATCCACTGATGGCGACAATGATTGTGCCAATGATAATACTAATGGTGATGAAGTATGATGATGATAATAATAATGGATGCTGTAGCTGTGGCTGCTGATGCTGATGGTCTTACTGCGGCTGCTGTTGACGATGGTACTGCTCCAAAAAAAACGGATGTTTATCCTACTGCTGCTCATACAAATAAGGATAATTATGAAGACAATTATGCTGCTTCTGCTTGCGATGTTGCTGCTAACGATTGTGCTGATGCTGATGATAATTTTGACAACACAGCTGCTACTAATGTAATCTGGGAGGAGCCTCAGAGTCGAGCCGCTGCTCCTCCGGATCGAGAGGTAAGGAGGCCCCCCCCCCCCCAAGACTCCCCCTAGAACTCTACCAGGCACGTACCACTCAGCGAAGACCCCGGGGCCGGCCCAGGACACTCTGGAGGAACTATGTCGCTCAGCTGGCCTGGGAATTCCCCAGGAAGAACTAGAGTCTGTCGCCAGGGAAAGGGAGGTCTGGACCGCCCTACTCAAACATACTTTCGCTGCAACCTTCACCATGACAAGCGGACTGAGAAACGAACGAACTGCTCCTCATGGCTCTATTGACGATGGCAATGCTACAGATAATGATGCCGCTACTGATGAGGATGTTCCTGCTGCTGCTTCTAATGATGATGCTACTGCTAAGGTTGCCGCTACCGATGATTGCCACTGTTGCTCCCTGCTGCTGCCGATGATGATGATGTTGCCAGTGATGATGTTACTACTACAGACAATGCTGCTGCTTCTGGTGATAATGCTGCTATTGATGACACTGCTACTACTGATGATGCTGCTGCTTATGTTGACGATGCTGCTGCTACCAATGATGTAAATGGCGGAAATGATGATGTTAGCAACACTAGCAGAATGGCGATGGTGCCCCCACCTCTCGGCTCGCTGTGCAGGATGTGCGTGCAGCGCGTCACCACGTGCTCCATGTGGAGGTAGCTCGCGGCCGTCAGGTACGACAGCACTTGGCTCTCGGGGAACACCAGCTGGCCTTGGGGTGGGAGAAAGCAGAGTGGGGGCAGCAATATCATCAACACCGTCATCATCATCATCACGATCCGTCATTCCTACTGCGAACGTCATCATGAGAAGCATTGTTGTTATTATCACCGTCATTATCGCCGTCATCATTATCATCATTTATACAGTGGGATCAATCATTAAATCACTACCATCATCAACATCGTCAATCCTGTTTAGAGAATGTATTTTACATGTGACTATCATACAGTTGGAGCACCAGATATGCAAGAAAATGTAATAAATATGCTTGTCAATGTTACGTCAATCATGTGAATATCATCGTTATCGTGATGAAAATATCAAGATCAGAGGAATCACTGTCGATGTTGGCCATGACCAGGAATGAAACTTAAGAATCTCTGCATCAACGCTACAATATATATAAACATGTGTGTCACACACACTAGGATACCATAATGCAGTAGATAATATGTATTAAATGTAATAAGAGAACAGCAGTGGATATAAAGTGTACATTAAATAAAGTACAATGTTTCACTGCATATAGAATGTGTTAAGCAGCGACCACTGTGCCACCACTCCTGCAATACATACAGCTGATCGCAACCAAATGACGTAGAGGGCGCTTGAGATTTCAATACATGCCTCATACATCACATGCGACTTTTGGGCCAAACATCAGCCAAGTTGCAACGTGTAACGATTCAATTTTCAATTTTAATAACGAAGATTGCCAAAATGTAGGCAAAGCGGACCTGGATTTTGGGAACGTAGATCATCTTTCTAAAATTTTAGCAAACGTTATCTGCCTCGTGGGGGGTGCAGCAGCAACACAATGGTTGTCCCCGCACTGTGAACCCACATAAGCAGACATGGAGTTTGTGAATGTGGGAGAGACCGTGACGCAGGAAGCCCCCAATCTTCTCACCCGTGTAGCAGGAGAGGAGGATGTCATGGAAAACTCTCGGTGGAATGGCCGGGCACGGGGTCAGGGTGAGGGTGAGTGGGTTTGGTGAAGGCTCGCTGCCCTATAAACACAGACAAGCGTACGCACACACGCACGCATTGATATGGAAGTAAACCACGAACTCGTGTGCAGAGCAGATATGCCTGGAGACGCACACACACACACATTGACACCCACACTCGCATATGCAATTGCACACGAGCGCAAATGCAAGTAAACACACAGTTGTGTGCACAGAAGACAAGCTTGTAGATGCACAAACAAGTTCACATGCGTCTGTGCACACCCAAGTAAACATGCACGTGTGCACAGAGATGCTTAGAAGATTTATTTTACTATTTTTATTTTACCAGGTAAGGCCCACTGAGCTAGACAGCTATTTTTCAGAAGCGACGTGGCCACAAATGATAGCTTAACGAAGTTGCTTAGCACGTGGAAATTTATAGCAGCCAAATACTCTAAATGCATGTTTCTAAACGTGGAGGGAAAAACCGGAGGAACCAGAGAAAAATCCACGCGACTATGGGGAGAGAGACACGCAAACTCCAAATATACAACAGGCGTCAGGGTCGGGATCGAACCGACGCCCTCCTGTATACCAGGCGAGGAAGTTAACATTTCGCCAACGCGGCGCCCATGCATAAAGGCAGATACATGCTTGAACATGCATACGTAGACCTTCGCAAAAGCACAGATGTGCATATCGTTACACAAACTATCATTAGAATGATAATGGTGGCGATGACAAGGGTAATGACGGTGGTGATGAGAAAAGATGCCAGCGGTGGTGTTGCTCACTGTAATCTGGGGGCTGACGTGTTGAATATCATGAAGATGGTCATGATGATGGTGGCAATGGTGATGGATATGATGAATGACGATGATGATGAAGAGGATGATGAGGGCGGTGGTGCGGCTCACCGTGGTCTGCAGGTGGACATGGTGAATGTCACGATGATGGTGGAGATAATGGTGGTAATGAGGAAGGCGATGATGATGATGTGGTTGGCTCACCGTCGTCTGCAGGCCGGCGTGCGACAAAAAATAGGGGCTCGCCGCGGCCAACACGACGCGGTGGGCACGGAACATCATTGCTGTCGGGCCAGAGGTCGTCCCGCGCACCACTCCCCGGTCACGGTCGAGGCCTGAAGGTCAACAGGTCAGCCAGAGGTCATGCGCGATACACGCACGTGCGTAACGTGCACGCATGATAACTGTGTACGTGTGCGCAAGTCAGAACACATAGGGTCATTTAATTTATTTGTGGGGATTGTGGGACTATACACGTACAGCTCTTTTGTCACTACGCAGAGCGCCGACTGCTACAATACCACTCGCACACCATGCAGGCATGTACTCGCACACATGCTACTACCTCTCTATGCGCAGCACAAACACGTACTTATACATAGGTTAACCCCCCCGGATATCCTTAACTTACCGTTGGGGCAAGTGCTGTTAGCGAGTAGCACCTATGAAGGCCAGCAAGGCACACAAGGGGATGGGTGGCCAGCACCACACCAGGCTGCCTTTGTCCTCTACTAGTGTTGTTTAGCCATCGCACAAGGTATTCATTTGGGGCTGAGTCAATCTAGGGGAGGCCCATGACCGGTTCAGATAATCGTCACTGGTGTTGGTCGTGAATGGACACCAAACTCAGTCGCCAAGTTTTTTTATACAGCGCACTAACCACTGCGCCCCACATATGTTAACACAAAGACAAAGATTCCCCCATGTAGCCTTAACGGACTTGTTGGGGCAAGTGCTGTTAGCGAGCACTTATGAAGGCTGGCACGGCACACAAAGGAGTGAGGTGGCCAGCACCACCCCCGACCGCCTTTGTCTCCTCAGTGGCGATGTTTACATACCGCACTAGGGACTCATTTGAGGCCGAGTCGACCTAGCGGAGGCCCAGGACCGGTTCAAATTAATCGTCACTGGTGTTGGACGTGAGCGGGAATTGAACTCGGGTCGCCAGGTTTGTAGCGCAGCGCACTAACCACTGCGCTACCGCCCCCAACATATGTTTACACACGCACGTGTGTGTGCTTGAGCCTACCTCTCTCGGCGCTGCGCACGCACACTGTGACGTCGCAAAACCTCCCTTCCCTGCGGAAGTCGCGCAGCTTGTCCAGCAGCAAACTCGGTAGAGTCGGGAAACTGCACGAGGAGGCAAGGAAAAACAGCATAAGCAATGATACCGTACATACATACATAGGTGCTTTGGTGTCGGCTCCAGGTTCGGAGGTCAATGGTCAACAATGTATGGCAGCACATCCTCTCGGCACAATATCCCGTGATGTTCGCCGTGCCGAGCTGGGTCCACTCTGCATGCTCAAGCTGCTTCTGTTTAGTTTTGTTGAAGGGGTTCTAGATTTGAAGCTTTCGTGACTGCAAGGATTCATACTCTTAAGTTTTTTCGGTAAAGCCACGTAGAAAAAAAATAGAAATAAAATAATAAATCACGACGTTTCGGAGGCACCACAAGTCTCCGTCATCAGGTGGGACCGTCACAGCTAAATCCTCACTTGATACAGTAAATTTATCTGTGACGGTCCCACCTGATGACGGAGACTTGTGTTGCCTCCGAAACGTCGTGATTTATCATTTTATTTCTATTTTTTTTGCCTACGTGACTTTACCGAAAAAACCTAAGAGTTGTTGAAGGGAGGCAAAATATGCGCAGCAAGTGTGAGCTGGAGGACCTGGGCCGGATTGCACTTGCCGATGACTCGTACCAGCAGTGATAAGATTTGGTCTCCGAGGAGGAGGCTCGTGAAGGATGCTACTGGGCAGTTGGGAGGCAGTCGCCCACCAGAAGTAACGAAGGCCGGAGGAGCGACGTTCGCCACAATGAGCAAGAGCGCTGGCCGGCTAAAACAGGCCAAGCGGGCAGCGGGGAGCGCAGGTGGTGCATCTGCTCCGTTAACCCACAATACTGGAGCCTCCGCTGTGAACCTACAGGTAGCAGCAAAGCCTCAAGCCTCCCGGAGAGTGGTACCTGACCTGGCATGCGCACCGCAGGGAGGGACCCACCTGAGAGTGATGCTGGGTTCGGGCGCCCCCTGAGCGCATGGCGGCTTGGGCCTCGGCAGCCTCATGAGGCCGGGGGGGTCTCGGTGCGGTCTCAATGCCGTGTCCATGGTGGTGGCACCTGTGTCCTGTAGCACCACACGCACGCCACAACACACACACACATACAGATAAAAACCATGTGTGTACAATATACACAGCACAGCGCATCCCGTGTATACACTACACACATACATGTCTACAATCTACGTCGCATGTATACACATCATTACGCGCATACGCCAGACACACAATGGGAATGGACATCGCCTCGGCAATACCATATACACCACAAGTAAGCACATAACATGTATACAGTGTAAACAGTACACGCCACAAAAAAACACACACACGATGCATCACGTGTGTAGACCATAAACAGAATAAATCAACCGCACAAAATCACACCTCTCCACGTGCGGACACAATGCACTGCATGTACGGTACATTATATGCCAAATATATATACACAGGGTGCGATGAGCCAATAGCCACAGATCATTTATAGACCACGTTTAAAATAAAGACGAATATACATGGCGAGCGAATCGCTGAAGAATGTACAATCATCTAGTATGAATAATAGTAACAACAATAAAGAAACGTACAATGTGCACATTTTCTCAAAAAGTCTCATTTTCAGTTGTGCTACGGAGGTGCTTCCACAACTGGAACATCTGTTAAAGTTTATCAGACAGATTTATATACTATACACACACACACAAACCACAGCACCTGTATACATAACATTCACCACACGTGCACACCGCATGTATACAATGATGAACACGATACACGCCAACACGTATACACTCCGCTATACGTGCACACACAATACATCACACGCAAGGAGATATACACCATGTGAGCGCACCATTACCACAACCATGTAAACACTCAAGCGGTGTGGAAAAACACTGCTGGATGAAGGCCTCCCTATGTGGTGAGGATTACTGTGGGTTTTTTACACCATACTTTGCCACGCAGGTCATTGCGGGTTGGTGAAGGCGGGGAGCACAGACGTACAGTACAAAATGTATTTTCCTGCAAGTGCCCTCTACTGACCACCACATAGCCCAGCAGCCGCCTATAAAAAATACAACAACGTGCCGTGTATGGCGGTCACCTATCTAAGCACTATTCAGGCTCAACCCTGCTTAAAAACCCTGGAGATGTGATGAGATCGGGCGCATTTCCGAGTGATTTGATTGCCGACGCCACCGCTGGTCGAAGGGCCTCTCCTAAAGGGACGCTCTATAGGGTATTTGGCCTACTTTTCCACGCCAACTAGACGTGCGGAAAGATGAGTGCGTACCCACACTTTACCCCACGACATGCAACCTGCCTGATCGACTCACTGTGGTGTGTGCCCATTTATACTGCTGGGTGGACAGAGGCTTGGGGAATTTGAGTAACTTCGCCCCCAATTTGTTTCAACTGCCGCGCAGGAAAAAGGAATCGAACCGGCGACTTCTGGTTTTGCAAGTCCAGAGCGCTAACCATGAGACCATGGCAGCCCCCTACAAACATACTACACCATGAACGTCACACCACGCTATGAGCAAACCCATACCGGACATGCCACACACTAAAGACACACCGCACATTTATAGCACACACACACACCACTATATCGTGGCTAAAGTGCCCTGCACTGCGACCCTGTTTGGTGACCGACTATCGTGCTGCCCACCACCCATGGCCAACATCAGGGCGAATGAGATCTGAACTCGTTCTGGGCATCCCTCCCCTCTACCCTGGACCAACAAGCCACACTGACCAGCATGGTGAAGTATGGTCAAACAACCAACACGACCAACATAGCATGGGCAGATCTTCACCTAGCAGCGGACTGTAAGAAGGCTGTCAATTTATAATTCATACAAAAAAAATATATGAAAGCCAGGCCGCCACGCACACCTCATTATACCAAACACGCGCCGCATATTAACACACAAAATACAGACTCATGTATCAAGTGCTGTTCGCAGAGCATCCATTAAGAACAATGCTACTTAGTAAAACGCACTCACGCAATACAAACAAAATAGCAAATTCACAGTCAAGAGTCTCAACATGGTCACAAAGATAAAGATACCCGTATAGCCTTGTGTTTACGTATGTAGAACTTCTTTCGCACCGTACGTAGCCACCCCTGTTTGCTAATTGGAGGTTACAGGACTTCAACGGACTGCTGGGGTAAGCTCTGTTTGCGAGCGCCTATAAAAGCCAGCACCGTGCAAGAATGGATGTGTGCTCAACACCACACCCAGACCGCCTTTTAACCAGCGCCGACATTTAAGGCCGAGTTGACCTAGGGGAGGAGACAGTTTCAGACATCACTCTCCACTACTCCCCATTACAAGGAAAAAAATACTTCACAAAACTGTTGTGGCAAGTGACATTGGCGAGCACCTATTAGGATAACTTTGATTATTTGGCCACTACAAATTTCCACATGATAAGCCACTTTATTCTGATATCATTTATGGCAAGGTCGCGTCTGGAAAAAAAAACCTAATAGCTCAGTCGGCTTTACCTGGTATAATAAAAATCGTTTCGTTATATTTCTCAATCATTTGCTTACCTTTCGTATATATATTCTATATGAAGGCGGGCATGTTGAACAAGGGGGGGGGGGGGGGCGGTGTAGTCAACATCACACTCCCCCATGCACACACACATGCATGCAAACACACACACGACCACGCACAGTAGTGTACAGTGCACACAGTAAACACACACGTGCAAACACTGCAGTTGTTAATCACACTGCAACCCTTCCCATTCAAATTCCCAACAGCGCACACAGAGCATGGTGGCCTTTCCCTGCGTGTTGACACACTCAAGAACAAAAGAGCCTTAGAGATTGCAAGGGATCAGGGGCTGGCGTTGTTAGCGAGCACCTGTTAAGGCCAGCCAGCACAATGCCTGCTCGCCTTTGGCTTTCCTCTTGATGTTCATGACTACGTGAACATGCACAACACCCTTGGTCAATTCACTGCTGGATGAGGGCCTCCCAAAGCCAAGCAGGCCCGTGGATGTTGTTTGCATAGACAGTGTGAGTGTTTTTCACTAATTTTCAGAGGCAGGGGCCACTTTCGCCGATGAGACATCATCAGTGTGAAGGCCGCCACACATTTGAAACCATTGGGGGTTTGTGACAACACGATGATGATGATGTGTTTTCACTTTTGTGTATTGTTGGGGGCCGCACGTCAGAGGTCGCAAAAAGGCCACCAGGGGCCGCACTAAAGGCCACCACAGGGAACGCCAGTGGACCCACAGGCCTTGCAATGAAGAACACGAGTGTAGTAACAGCTGATTTTTGCTGCACTGCCCTCTGGACAATATAGACTCCGCAGCCACATGCAAAACACCTGTTTTGCACGTGGTTTTCACCCATTCAAGCACCAACCAGGCTCTCAGCCTGCTTAGCCTTCGAGATGGGATACGATCATCGTGTTCATCATTCCTGGTGATTTGACCACACCTGATAATTACGAGTTGCCACATGGGTGCCCCACGACACGATTTGGTTCCCATGTGTGTCGACATGCACGCACAACGCACCACTCAATTATCAGCAGGCACAGAGCACATTAAATAGCCGACACACTCACCAAATCAAAACCAATTACACACTCACACCCATGACATTGCACTAAGCCACGTAAAAAAATGTTTTATTCTATTTGTCCAGAAAGGAAGAAAAGTCATACGCGCGTATGGATTGTGTACCACTTTCTAACTCCCGATTGTCTTTGGAAGTATTTTCTGAGTGAAAACAATCCTGGTGCTCATGGCAAGCTTGCCACGATGGTGAAAATGGCTGGTTTTCTCCAGTGTATTTCCCTAATAGCAACTTAATACTACAGTTTTGGTCACATTGGATCATCTTCATGAGTTGTTGTTCCCTTCCCCGTCTGTTACAAATGGACAGACGGATAGAGGCCAGGCATTCGTGCTTTGAACCGTAGTTGGAGCGCGAAAAAAAACATCACCGAGTATCAAGACTCTCTCAGGAGGGTCATGCATTGGGATGTTTGGCCAATTCCTCTTCAAAGTCCTCTGCATGTGGGAGAAAACCTCAGTACCCGGACAAAATCCGTGTACGCATATGAAAGGTTAACACTTAGCGTCAACATCTCACGGTGACTAGGAGATGTTAACTACCTTGCCTGGTATACAGGAGGTCGTGGGTTCGATCCCAACCCTGACGCCTGCTGTATATTTTGAGTTTTAATGTTTTCCCCGTGGTGACATGGATTTTTCTCCGGGTCCTCCGGTTTTTTCCCTCCACATTCATAAACGTGCGTTGACAGTATTTGACTGCTAGAAATCTCCACACGATAAGCCACTTCAATGAGCTATCATTTGCGACCAGGTCACTTCTAAAAAAGACCGCTAAAGCCCAGTGGGTCTTATACCTGGTAAAATAAAAATAGTTTCGTTTTAGTTAATCCAGATGGGTTTGCGGAGTCCATTTGCTGTACTGCAACCTGCTGGTCCCCTTGCAGCCCAGCCTGTTTGGGAGTTTGTAAATCTCTCTGTGGTCCACCAACCCTCGTTTCCATAGCTCTGGATTAAAACAGTGCCTTGGTATGCTCATCGTCCCAATAAAAAAAGCACACATCAGGGCCCATCTCCACTGTCAACCCAGAGCCCGTGATGCTAATTCTGCATTCCTACGATGGGGGCCAAGATCTGTTGTTCGGCATGATGTCCAACGCTTCGCGCTCCTTGTGCAGGGAGGTCCAAAATATTGAAGAATATCACCGATGTGTACCAATACATCACAGCAAGCAACGCACTTTACATCATGAAAACACACTGGGGACCTGATAATTGACACCTTTTTTACAAGGAGTCATGTTTGCATAGACCAAAAAACATAACTTTGATAATTGTATGCACTGTCCTTGAAGTTTTTTTTACTGGCAAATGAGGTTCCAACACTGGGGACCTATCGAGCGCAACCGCGAAAAACCCACGCAGTGGTAGCCCCAGGACCGATATGGTGTGGTGAGCCTTCATCCACAGCAGTGGATTCACAAAGAGGCTGCACGTGTGTTTTTTTAAATATTACTGTCCCATGAAAAAGTGAATGGTTTAGTAGCAAGTATTCCCAGTGTCAACTCTGAAAACAGCAGAACAGAGCGAGAGCAGGAGGTAGCATGCGATACCGAGTTAGAACCATCTGGGGCATGTTAAACTGAGCAGTGTTTATTGTTCTGTGTTTATAAAGCTGCAACCTTGAGTCTTTAAAGTTGTCTGTTAAGGTCAATTTCAATACTTTGGTTAGAAACCATATACCCAACACAAAAACACTCACTAAGCCAACCAAACAAACCCACACAAATCGCATTTAGCCAGACCATATTTACTCTGTACATGTACAGTCATTTTTGTCAAACCACTGCTGGATAAGGGTCTCCCTATGCATGAAAGGGGGTTATTAGCCATATTTCACCACAATGGTCCGTGCAGGTTATGAAGGTGGGGGAGCACAGACGTAAAGAACAATCATGCAATGAGCCACACTCCCCTCTGTTGACAACAGCAACCTCCATCACACCTGTTGTATGCATGGCAGTCACCCAACTGAGCCAGGCTAAAACCCGCTTAGCTTTAACGATCTGACAAGAAGGGGCACATTCCAAATGCTTGGGTCATAAGCCTAATCGACGAAATATCCAACACAAAACGCACCACACAACACGGCCGCCATACAAAAACACATACCAACCATACCACACCCAACGCTCACTTAAGCATACACAAGCCACACAGAACACACACAACGCCCCCCCGCCCCCAACCCAGCACACACACTACACAAACATACCCACCCAGCTCCGAGTAAAAAACACACACCCAACACCCACACACATCAACTCACACCCAACAAACACCACATTCATATCCAACAGACTCCACACACACACATAAAGACAAAGCTCCACCCCCCTGTAAACGTTAACGGACTATTGGGGCAAGTGCTGTTGGTGAGCACCTATTAAGGCCAGTTTTCTGTGACTACACACGGATACCTCCCCAGTGCTGATGATGTTTACACACCGCAGTACTTTACTCGTTTAAGGCCGAGCCGACCTAGGGGCGCAACCAGTTGGTTCAGATATAAATCAACGCCACTCTCACCAACACACACACACATAGAAACATTCACAAAAGCAAAGGGTGACTCTGTTGGGGCAAGTATTGTTTCGCGAGCACCACGCCCGGCCACCTTTGCCTTCCCAGTGCTGATGTTACATCGCACGAAGTACTCTTTTGTTTTTAAAGACCAAGTCAACCAGGGGAGGGCCTTGAACTAGTTCAGATATTCGCCACCGATGTTGGCCGTGAATGGCAAATCGAATGTGTGTCGCCGGTTCCTCAAACGTATGCAGTTCACACACGCATTCATACAGATGCCTTTGCACAGAGAAGACAAACGCACATACATACACATGGTCGACTTAGCCATACACGGCTGAGTGAATCTACCTGGAGCCCAGAACCCATATCATGTATCACTCGCCACTGATGTTGGCCTGTGTAAGGAATTGATCGCCAGGCGCATGGTAGACTTCACCAACCACATACACCACTGAGTACACACGCAACACAATATCATTATGGTAACCCCTGCAATTCAATGCATTTGCCACGATTCAGGGCTGCGATTCAATCATGTTTTGTTACATTATTGTGGATGGTGGAACTTTCAGTTGCTGCAGCGGAGCATAAACACTTCATAAACAACATATACATTTGTTTAATTCGCTTGTTACACACACAGAATTTGACGCACAATAAGTCTAAGAATCGTCGTGAATCCATGCATTGAAACATTGTTCCACCCGATACTTAGCACGCAACAAATACACGCACAGCAATCACACCGCTTGTATCCAATGCACAATACATTCTGCATTTACATACACACCCATCTATTGACTCCCAACTAATACACAACAATACACCCATGTACATGTGCGGCCCTTTGTCAATCCCATGGTGGACGAGGAATCTCCCCACGACTATGTGGGTAGAGGAGATTATTTGACCATGCTTCACCACGTGGGTCGTTAGCCTTTTGCTGCCCAGAACGCGGGACAATGCTACTAGCAGTAGCCTATAACGATGATGTCGTCTTGTGCGTAGTGGTGGTGACTGCACAACGAAGCACTTATCCAGACTCTCAAGTTTTCGTAGCTCTAGATATTTGCAGATAATTCCAGTTGATTTGGTCACAGGCAACCAAAAATAAACAAACTCTAACCCAACACATAACACACATACCATAAACACACTAATTCACAATAAATAACACGTACAATACTTTCACACAACAAGGTCTGTGCACTCAAACCAAACCAAACGAAAAACTCAAACTCATAGTCACAGATAATACATACTTATAACACAAATCTTACACAAACGCATACCACACATGTATAGCCAATACATGACACACACACATATACTCAAGACGTAGCAAATATAAAACTCACCCACACAACTGCAATCCGACGAAACAACACATTCCACTCACTCTACAAAACGCAATCCAAACGACACACACACACCACTCACCCACCCACCCAGACACAACCCCAATACAAACACCATATGCTAAGCACTCAGCACCTATCCCTCGGCAAACCCCCCTTCTAAACCAAGTTCTCTATAATGTAGAGGGCAGCCACGTGGCTTCTAAACCATCGCCGCCATCATCTCCCGTCGTTGCCATGACCACGCCGAGCTCACACCAAAGCTTTCAAATCGACGTCTAGAGTTCCATGGAAGGCGTTTACGTCACAATAAGAATTGACCGTAGAACTTAGAACGCCAAAGTTAACGCTCGGGACATTCTCAGAGACAATAATTTAAAAAAATCCCCAACTTCCACACACATCAACTCATCGAGTGTGTTGGAGGTTGCTGATTCTCCTCTGCTGGACCCAATGTCTATTACTGCCTTCCACCACCAGCCCCATTCGGACGGTAAACTCCGCCCCTGTTCAAATAGAAGCTCAAAACCAAAATTTTGTATCTCAGCCTTAGAGGCGATTTATACAAAATATATATGCCGACAATTTTACAGCGTTTTGAGATGCGGACATAATTATACGATATATAAATTACTGTATTAATCTTAATATGAAGCTTTCGTGACTGCAGGAATCCATACTCTTTGGTTCTTTCGATAAAGTCACGTAGGAAGAAATATTGTTTTATTTTATTTCTACCTACGTGACTTTACCGAAAGAACCAAAAAGAGTATGCTATTGTATTGCAAACCACGACTGTTAACAAACTGAATGCGGCCAGGCATCGCAATGAAAACATGTCTCAGAGACCGAGCGAGACTTTGCCAGGCAAATACATGACACGTCGTTGTTATATTGAGTTTCACAACACGCATCGGACCATCGTCATCTGGCATTACGGCCTGTGTGTAATATATACACACATGTTTTTTCGGTAAAGTCACGTAGGTAAAAAATACAATTAAAAGTTAATAATGGAAATAAAATAATAAATAACGACGTTTCGGAGGCAACACAAGTCTCCGTCATCAGGTGGGACCGTCACAGATAAAATTACTGCATCAAGTGTGTGTAATTCTTATTAAATACATTATCAAAACACCTTTTAAGGGGTGTATCAGGCCAGATCGCTCAGCTGTCGAGGTGAGCGACTCGCCATCATGTTGCTAACTCAAATCCTTATTGGGGGTCGATGCAGCCTATCATTTCTTCGGGGTCGATAAAATCAGTACTCCTTTGTGAGAAAGCCTATGGATAGACTCGTCTCCCGTCATACGTATTAATATACTTCCACCAATGTCTCATGGCTGTAAACATTTGCCCTTGTTGTTTACTTTGTAAGGGTCGCAGTAATGACACGTGAATAAGGATGCACAAAATTGTGTTTTCCAACAATCAGTGTGTGTCTCCATAACTCAAATGAGCATTGGGATCGCGTCGGCTGCCCTGAGCAAAGGGCGATAAATTCCAGTCCAATAATTCCATTTGTATAGCGGATTTTCATCAAGGAACTCAAGGCGCTGTACAAGACACATCAGCAGCAGCAGCCACTCGGCATATAAATAAACTTCAAATAATAATAATTCCAAACATTAGTAATGGGGAAACTGCAACCAAGTCAATATTTATCATCGTTTTCACACCAATGTTGGCAGTTCAGTGAAAACTTTTTCAAAGTACTACAGTATGCGCTTTTTGCTCTCAAAATAATGAATAAAATATTATTTAATTCTAGATTTGATTCTAGATTTGAAGTTTTCGTGACTGCAAGGATTCATACGCTTTGGTATTTGAATACTGAATTCAAAGCAAGCTATCTCCATGCGAGAGACCACAACTCCATCGGACTTCCCACATAGTAAGCGTTTCATCTACCAACTGAAAACGATAGGCCGGGCTCTCACATTAAAGCAAATCGTTCAAACATAAAACATGTTCTCATTCCATTCGTGTTACAATTCAGTTTTCGACTCCCACGGTCACACAAACAACGCCGGGTAATATTTACATAGCACATTTACATATCAGCCGGTAGGGTAATGCGCTGTGTTGCTGGTAACGCCGCGATTACCGGCCAATATAAAGTTGCGAGTTACATCGGAACCGGTCCCGATTTTCCCCGAGGTTGACTGTTGCCTTATTACGAGAACTGTACCTAGTGGAGTTTATAAACATCGACAATGGAGATACAAAGACGGCCGGAACGTGGGTGACGCAGCCCACACTGCCCTGCCCAATATCGATGTAACACGAACACAGCGAAGCATGTTGACCTCCCAATTTAACTCCAAACAAGCACAGCACAAACCGACAGTGTTCAATTTAAGCCAAATAACACTAAATTTAAGTCGTCGTGGCCTACATCGCAATCTAAGCCACGCGTGTCGCCTAACACCCCGCGCGGGTCTCGCTGGCCTCGGAGTCGGCGGCCTTTCCAGGCCAGAACCCAGGGACCGCGGCGGTGACTCCGGGGACTAGGCCCCGACCCACGTTCGCGTAGAAGTCGCGAACCGCGGCGACGTTTCGCGGCTTCCCCCCTCACGGCCGAGATAGCGGCGCGGTCGCTCTTACCCTGGCGGGGGACGAGGAGAGGCAAAGACGGACGGGCGGGTGCGGCGCACCGCGAGATCGCGACGCCGCGAACAATAGAGGCGAAAACAAACACGCGTGTGTTTACACAACACGCGACGGCGGCCGAGACGCGCCGCGTAGAGGTTGGGCAACGATTACCAAACGCGTTTTTTTTCACCGACGCCAACACGCTTACCGTATTCTCCAGAGAGGAGGCGCGTTTCTAAAATCCGGTCGGGGTGGATGCGCGTTGTGTATTGGGTGGGGAGCGGTGGTGCAGCGGTTAGCGCTACGCTGCGCTATGAACCTGGCGACCCGGGTTCGATTCCCGCTCACGGCCAACACCCAGTGACGATTATCTGAACATGTTCCTGGGCCTCCCCTAGGTCGACTCAGCCTGAAATGGGTAGCTGGTGTGTAAACATCGCCACTGGGGAGACAAAGGCGGTCGGGCGTGGTGCTGGCCACCCACCCCCTCGTGTGCCGTGCCGGCCTTCATAGGTGCCACTCGCTAACAGCACTTGCCCCTAGTCTGTTAAGGCTACACGGGGGATCTTTTTACGTCGAACTTCTTTCGCACCGTACGTAGCCGACGGTGCTAATAACTTAATAACTTTATTGATCCCCACAATACGCACAAAATAATGCGTTCCTCTTCTTGATTCTTTCGGTAAAGTCACGTAGAAGAAAAATAATAAAATTAATTTGTTTTGTCTTTTTATTATTTCCCTTCTACGTGACTTTACCGAAAGAACCAACAAGATGAATCCCTGCAGTCACGAAAGCTTTAAATCGAAATTTAATGCGTTCCTCTTTCTCTCCCGCCCGCAATTCAAAGTATGCAGTTCGGCACGCACCTTTGAGCCCTTTCAGGTTCTGTTTCATTTTTGTTGTCGTCCGTGTTCATGCTTTAGTTCCGTAAGCCAACCTACAGGATGCGATAAATATGCACTTAATTAAGCACTCAATCTCCCCTGCACTCGTTCACTCAATTTGTACGCATTGGGTTTGGAATGTACGGGGAGCGGTGGTGCAGCGGTTAGCGCGCTGCCCTACGAGTTCAATTCCCGGTCACGGCCAACAATCCATTGACGAATACCTTTGAACCGCTCCTGTGTCTCCCTCTAGGTCGACTCAGCCTCAAATGAGTATCTGGTGCGGTGTGCTCACATCGCCGCTCGGGAGATAAAGGCGGCCGGGCGTGGTGTTTTGCCACCCCACCCCTACGTGCTCACGAACACCAACTTATTGTCGGTTCTTTCGGTAAAGTCACGTAGAAAGGGAATAAAACATAATTATCCTATTGTTTCTATTATTATTTTATTATTATTTTATAAAAATAATAAAAAATAAAACATAATTATCTTGTTTTATTTTTATTATTATTTGATATATTTAAAAAAACATTATCTTGTTTTATTTTTATTTTATAAAAAAAATTATAAAAAACATAATTATCCCATAGGCCGTAACAATCGTACGTGAGTTTCAAAAAAAAACATTTACCACGCTGACTATTTAATTATCTTGTTCTATTTTTTATTATTTTATTATTTCCCTTCTACGTGACTTTACTGAAAGAACCAAGAATATGAATCCATGCAGTCACGAAAGCTTTAAATCGAAATTGAACAGCAACTTGCCCCAACAGTCTGTTAAGGCCATACGGGGGGGGGGGGGGATCCTTGTCCATATCTAATGTATTGGCGATGCATGATCAATACACCCGCAATATTAAACAGGGCGGCCAACGTGCTATCTCCTTGTGCACGATCCAGGCCCATAACCTGCTGAGCTTCTGGGATCTGACGCATGCCGGCGGATCCCAAAGGCCGTAACAATCGTAGGTGAGTTTAAAATAAGTATAACCCGTAAAAACAAAGTTTTTCACTATAAATCCTTTACATGCGTGGCGGCTAGAGTCCTCTCGTCCTCTGGCTCGAGATGGCTGCCACCTATGGGTCAGATGATTGCATTGCACCATTAAGCAATTGGTAATTAAATATATTTTTGTCCTAAAAAGTGTAAAATTTTGGGAAACATTTTTTCACGAACATTAATTGTCACGCACAACGAGTCTGTGTGGAAAATGTCAGCTCGATTGGATCACGGGAAGTGGGTTAAAAAACGACCGAAAGATTTGCACGGTCCTAAGCAAGCAAGCAAACTTAATATAAAGGATTTAAAAAAAACATTTACCACGCTGACCATTTAGGATCAGAATATGTGTGACTGCCTAGGCCCTTGGCAGTCACGATGCCTTCCCCTATCGGGAAGGTGAATGAGCATGAATTCTTGAGACTACACTGAGCTGAAGGGTGTCATGCACATTTTTGGTGTTCCTAAAAAGTATTTTTTCATGTGCCCAGAATAAACCAAATGAATATTCCAGCAAGAGCTGTGATCTTCCGTCACCCATCGCTGAGTATAAACCATCACGCATCGCCTGGTGTGTCTGCATGCTCATGTCCCACAGCTCAGATACATCTCAGCTCTCTTGAGCTTAATCACGGCGGCTCTTTGTAGCAGCTCTGCTTGCATTTGTGAGACACCCAATCATGCTCGAAAGCCGTTTCAAGATGAGCACATTTAAAGTTGGCAACAGACTAATGCATCACCGTGGACATGAAATCAGTGTACACGGCATTCTTACAAAACGATGGTCTGCAATCTGCATGTCCTGGAAGACTTTCTCAATCGAGGGGGGGGGGGGCTCAACGCACATGACGCTCAGTGGCGTAGTGACATTATCAGCTCAGGGCTGGTGCGGGAATCGGTTCGATGGGTCCCCAACATTTGATTTGTCTCGCACGGTCGCACCTAGGCGATATATCGCGGCTCCTCCTGCCAACTCTACTGGACATCTGTGAAAACTACCGGACAACTGTGAAAAAGATCTCCATCGCTCATTGGATTCCTCCAGTATAAATACTCACATTCTGATAATCGCATCATTACGCTCACGGTCTCGAACATTTAACGCTGCAGGGGCGATCAGTCTTAGCAAAATGCAGCTACTACAGCTCCGTAGTTACCGCTTTGCAATATAATTTACACGTATCTAATTAATTACATATACCAGAAACGGAGTTCTATTTCAAATGTCATTTTACTCCAAACGTTACTGCTCTAATTAATTAAAATTAAACGTGGATCGTAACTGAATGCCTTTGCATAAACAAATTTCAACCGCGATTTAAATACGTTTGTTCTTTTACACTCTTTGTTGAAAATGTATCATGGTGGTTGTCAAGGGGGGGGGGGCCAAACTCGAAGCTTTGGCCACCAGGGAGGCCAAGGCACCGCCTGCCTCCACGCTAGTTGCGCGACTGGACACGCTCATTCGCTTGGCTGGTCCTGTTCTAAAGCTGAATGCTCTTGATTTGAAACGGACAGTCTTATCAACAGGTCCACGGAATCATGGGAACAAAAATGGATCCGACTGGGACACAACTAATCTACACACAGTGTACGTACATCTGAATCGGCTTTAGCCTCTCATAAACCGTGTCAGGTGAGTGGTGAGTTTAAATATTTGGCGAACGATGTCTGGTGCGTGTCTTGAGTGGTGAGCATAAATACCGAGGCGCATAACAACGCGAGCAAAGCTTATATTTTAATTATTACAAAGCAGCGCTGCGTCACTCAAGGCACCTTTGCTCAACCACTACGTCGTAGAACCAAACAGAGGAACCACGTGGGGATTGTGCCAGCCCTGGGTCAGCTCAGCCAGAAGTGGTCACAGTCAGCGGATGAGCATTAGGTCTTGATCCGGAGCCTCCATCATCCATGGGTGCAAGAAGACCTGAGCGAGCTGAGGTCGAGCCAAAGGCTTGAATGACAGCAGCTTCAAAATGAGGTCCTCGCACCGGGTGTCTACCTGTGGACACATGGGGCAATGACGCAGACATTTTCTGTTGTCTTCTCAGTGACTTTTCTCAAATTCTCGCTTGCATCTTTCAACTGCAGTCTGTTCTACCACAAGGAGGTAGTATAGGGTGAAGCACAGTCCGCGATAACATGTAAGATACTCAAGCGGTCGAAACGTCGTGATTTGTTTTATTTTATTTCTACCTACGTGACTTTACCGAAAGAACCAAAGAGTATGGATTCCTGCAGTCACGAAAGCTTCAAATCAACATGCAAGATGCGTATAGGCAGGCTGAACAAAGACTGAGGCGCGTGGGTAGGATCTAGAGGCATCCAGCCGAAGCAGCCGTACAACTGCGTATTCCTCTAAAATATAATTACAATAACCCCCTCCTCCGTCTCAAAACGCTGCACCTGATGAGTTAAATGATGACGTCACCCTGCTGCTGCTCTATTTAAGACCGGGAGCAAGAGCAGAGCCTCACCATTCTGGCGAATTGCCCGCTGATGCTGGATGCAATTAGCAGCGAAACGTCGTACTACTCAAAAATTGTAAATGTTGTGGTTTCACGCTTCAACACACCGGTGGGCTAAAGTAGTGAACTATTTGTCTTTTGTCAACGTGACACTTTTTTGCTGATTGGCCGTGTCGGGTGGTGGAGGGTTACGACACATTTATAAATAACGCGATCTAACCCAAAAACGTTGATTATGGACTGCGTATTCCTACTCACGTGACATAGTTCTGTTCACTAAATCGCTTTATATCCATTCGCATCTACATTATAAAACGTGTTCCCTCATGCATTCATCGAGTTATATCCAATTCGCGTTATGAAAACATGTGCTATAGTAGAACAGACTGTACTCACCAAGTCCCAGCTATTCCTGTTTTGGATGGAGTAATGATGACGATGACTTTGCTTTATTTACAACTCGCACTCTTAATGTCAGGGAGCCTCATAAACGCTTTACATCAAATCTAATCTAAAACATTTGATAGAGCACCCCCAGTGGCAGCTGTCTCTATGGGCACAAGTGGGACTTGTGCAGCGAGCAACTGGGACAGGAGGTCATAGAAGGAATCAGAATCATCAGCCCTTTTTTGATCCGTTTAGTGATGTTCAACCCATTTTGGGTTTAGGCTACCACAACCATTCCTATGTTGATGGGGACGAGTTCACAATAACCTGGGACCCATTGCTTCTCATACCTCACCGCCATACTCATCACGTTCCCTTCATATTTTTATTCATGAGAAAAGCCACTCCCTGTCTCTTTAGTTTCCTGTCTCGAGTGGAGGATGGTCCATCCCCCATGGTGACGGAGCCAGAACCAGCCTACCAGACCTCCTGCATTCCACGGGGGTCCAGACGGTACCCGCCCAGATTCGGACAGAGGAATGGTAGCCTCTTCTCCCCAATGAACGTTTGGACATTTCCCGTGGGTAGCCGCAGCGATTGGCTGTTGTTTGTAGAGGATCCCTGAAGGGGGATTTCAGTCCCTGGCTCTGCCATATGGGGTTCCACCAGGGGATATCATAGACGTACCGTCCTCTCCGAAGCTTCAGACACACTCTTACTTTAATGTGTTTTTTCCTGTGGTTATTTCGAAATTAAGTTTAATGTGGACGGATTACCAGCCCTTTGTACTCATTCAATGGCCCCATTTGCAACTGTGGTGAATGCGAGCATGTTATGAGGGTAATGGCCTGACTAATGTCAGCCTTTCCCCCAATGGCATTACCCACAACGCTCCAGTGTTACTGTCTGACACCACAAGTGGGGGTCGATTTTCCCAAACACAAGAGTGAATACTCACACACGAACACTCGCCTGTACACAAACGCACACCTTTACTTACAATCACACCTGTCCAGCATGGTGAAGTGTGGTCAAACAATGACCATGACCAGCACAGCATGATGAATCCCTCATCCTGCAGTGAACTGACCAAGGCTGTAACTTCACAGGCGCATTAGCCATGCATTCTCATTACCGTGGCATTCGAAGAGCCCGCACCGTCTCTCCGTGGCGAGGACGAGGACCCCGATCCCGACGGCACGTTGCCAGCCATGAAGTCGTCGTGGCCACTGTCATCGGCAGTGCCACCGCCACCGCCGTCGTCCGTGCCGGAGGGACCCGGCAGTGGCTGCGCGTGAGACGATGGGCCCGGAGTGGCTACTCCAGAGAACGTCACGCCCTTCTTCTGCTGGCGCACCAGCTGCATCAGGTTAGAATCATCGAAGGGCATGTAGCCCGTGACCATGATGAAGAGCACCACGCCCAGGCTCCAGAGGTCGAGCAGGCGCGGGTCGTACGGCGTTCCCAGCAGCACCTCGGGCGACGTGTACGCCGCAGAGCCGCAGTAAGTTTTGCTCAGCTCCTCCAGACAGCCCGGGTGCCTGCGGAAGGTTGGGTGGGCGGGTGGGTGGGTGGTGTTCGTGGGATTTGGAATAAAGCTACCAAATGCGTTTGTTTGGTCAGCACAGTTCTGGATGCATAACATGCTGCCCCCGATGTTCCAAAGCCTTTGTGAAAATTGGGATTTTGACGTCCTAATTTCAAGTTTTTTGACCATTGTTGGACACGTAATATTGTACGTAATAAATTAGGTTTCGTAAAAACATAAATGTCAGGTTTATTCTAAATTAAATTTTTTATAATTACGTTCGTTGCGAAATCCTCCATTATGTCACGTGGGAGTTGGTTTGAGTCAATGGCTGTATGATGCATGGAGTAATTTCCTCTATCACAATTTACATGTTTCTTTTTTATTATTTTCCTGTCACGGTCCATTCTACCAGCGTGATACCTATTTAGTTCAGTTCAATCTCTCTCTTTGCTATAGATTTCACATATGCTATTCAGTCTGGCTTTCTTGTCGCCCTCAGACAATTCTTGCGACAAATACAAATTTCGACATCACAATGACAATAGTTTTTTCGTGAGAATTCTCATTGACATATCTTGCCGCTAATTGCTAAACTTGATCCATTTCCATTTAAAGAGATCGCCTTTGCTTAAACTGGGTTTTCCATTGTCGTGAGTTTATGGTCTCGGCAAAGAAATATACATCACGTTACATTTGGTTCCGCGCTTAAATGAGTGATGTTCCACCTGTGAGAATTAAAAGTATCGTGACTGTCAAGCGTTGAACCACCCCTCCTTGTAGCAGGACAGATGGGAAAGTGCTGCCCCCTACTGTGTAAGCTCGAGGTCACTTGACGGCATCTGAGAAGTTCTGTGGCATCTCCTGTCGTGCGCTTGTTCTCAAGTGTGGACAGTTGCACTACTCTGTGAGAGATCCAAAACAAGCCTTCATCTCATGAGTGTTTGTGGTGGTAGGTGACGTCACTTGAACTACACTGACACGTGCGACTACGGTGAAACACAGACCATGGTGCATCTACTGAAAAGTAAAACAAATGTTTTACGCAACTATAAGGTTTCGATTTAAAGCTTTCGTGACTGCAGGGATTCATCTTCTTGGTTCTTTCAGTAAAGTCACGTAGAAGGGAAGTAATAAAATTATAAAAACAAAACATAATAAAATAATTCTCACGACGTTTCAGCCACTACGCAAGCAGCCGTCCTCAGGTGAAGAGCAGCCGTCCTCAGGTGAAGAGGACGGCTGCTTGCGTTGTGGCTGAAACGTCGTGAGAATAATTTTATTATGTTTTATTTTTATTATTTTATTATTTCCCTTCTACGTGACTTTACCGAAAGAACCAAGAAGAACTATAAGGTTTTTTTAGGGGGTGCATTTACGGTAAGTATAATCAGGGTATTTTACGTAACTTCATTTCTAAATGAAATATCATAAGTAAAATATGAATTTACGTCCAAAACAAAAGTTTTTTTCCGGATCAACCTACATTTGCATCACAGCCCCACGGACCACCTGGAGGACCGTCACGGACCCAGTAACCTGGGACCGCACTGTTGAGAACCACTGCGCACTAGAGAATCGGTGGTGCGTTGGGACTGACGCTAGGTCCATCTGGAACTGCCGGGCAAAGCCGAAGTCGGTGAGACGCACGTGCAGCCCGTCGACCAGGAGCACGTTCTCGCACTTGACGTCGCGGTGAGCCACGTGCATCTGGTGCAGGTAGTGCACGGCACTGCAGAGCTGCACGCACGCAAAGACAAAGGTGCCCGCAGATAGTGCGTGTACAGATTTGTGGGGAAAGTGCAAGGACTGTATGCACAACAACAACGACGAAACATAAAACAACAGCTGCCATTTGGCCACGAAGTTACACTTGTGACCGCAGTGCTTGTGCTAGGCCCGATGCACTTTGAACAATGTTGAACAGTGTAGGGGACAGAGAACATCCCGGTTGTTCCCCACTGTTAACAAGAAATGTGACTTAAAGCTTTCGTGACTGCAGAGATTCATATTCTTGGTTCTTTCGGTATTTCCCTTCTACGTGACTTTACCGAAAGAACCAAGAATAAGAAATGTGACCTTTAATGATTGCGCACAATCATTAATGATCTTAATGATAGTCAAAAGGCAAGGGCTCTGGGTTATCATTCGTGATTTTGGGGTTCCTGTGGTATTTTATGAATTGACCAAGAATGGTCTGTCCACCTCTCCTGGTGACTGAAGCGAGAACCAGTACACCGGACCTCATGTATTCCATAAAAGTCCAGGCGGTATCGGTGTGGCTCCCAAAAGAGAAAATTGCAGCCTCTCCTCCCCAACGAGCATTGGGACGTTACATGTGGTTAGACAGAGTCATATCCTGCTGTGGCTGGCTGCCTTTGTCTCCCCAGTGCAAGTGATAATGGCAAAGACGTGACGGCGATGACGTTGCTGATTATGTATATGATAGTAATTATGACTAGACCACATTACCACCACAACAATAACCACAACCACCACAACGAAGCACCACCAAAGACAAACATCCCCTGTATAGTCTTAACAGACTGTTGGGGCAAGTGCCCTTAGCGACCACCTATGAGGGCCGGCACGGCACACGATGAGGCGGATTGGCCAGCACCACGCCCGGCCACCTTTGTCTCCCTAGTGGCAATGTATACACACTGCACCAGGCACTCATTTGAGGCTGAGTCAACCTTGGGAAGGTCTACGACCGGTTCAGATAATCGTCACCAGTGTTGGCCGTGGAGTGGGAATTGAACTCGGGTCGCCGGGTTTGTAGTGCAGCACACTAACCATCACCACGAACACCATCACCACCGCTAGCGTACCTCTGTGAAGATCCCGCGAGCCGTGCGCTGATCCAGGCTGCCCCGTTCCTGCATGAGCCGGAGGAGGTCGGACTGCGCGAGCTCCATGACAAAGAAGATGTATCCGCGGCAGCCTTCGATGAGCTGCAGGACCTCCACAATGTTCTGGTGGTGCAGGGATCTGTGGCCCGAACAGGCAGAACACGTGGTCATAATGGCCAGGTTCGAAGACTCTCTGAGCTGGCAAGCATTGATCATAGGGCTGCATGGGTGAGATACATTGGGCTTGGTGCATTTGTTTTTCTATCATAATCATTCGAGGCTCATAATGGCCAGCTCTGCAATACTAAACTCGGCAGCGTTGATAAGATCATAAAGTGTATTCATCTCAAAGAGGTTCATAATGGCTGTCGACATCTTTGGTATGGTCTGCTTCGGTTAACCTCCACAATGTTCTGGTGGTGCAGGGATCTGTGGCCCGAACAGGCAGAACACGTGGTCATAATGGTCAGGTTCGAAGACTCTGTGCTGGCAAGCATTGATCATAGGGCTGCATGGGTGAGATACATTGGGCTTGGTGCATGTCTTTCTATCATCATCATTCGAGGCTCATAATGGCCAGCTCTGCAATACTAAACTCGGCAGCGTTGATAAGATCATAAAGTGTATTCATCTCAAAGAGTTTCATAATGGCTGTGTCGACACCTTTGGTATGGTGTGCTTCGGTTAAAACCCACGAGGTTGGGTGCCTCTCGTTTTTACATGGCAATTTGCTCATAATGGCCGGGTCTGAGAATCTGAGTGAGCAATCGGGCTGAGTTACTCTGGTAGTTCACAATGGCCATGTTAGAAACACTGAATCAGCATCGCTGAATTTCAAATGGTGGTATTTGATGAGATCTCCAAACAATACACAGACTGGTCTTTGACAGGGTGTCCGGACATTACAACTGATGCAGCCAGTCTCTGCACGGGGTCTTTAGATAATAGATCGTTCTCTGATGGGGTGTCTAGACAATACACAAGCTGGTCCCTAATGGGGTCTCTAGACAATGGACTTACAGAGCCAACTGATGGAATCTCTACAGTAGAATGACAGGTCAACCTGCGATGGGGTCTCAAGACAAGGCAGATTTACGTGGTGGGAGTGTTCAGACGATGGGTCAGAGATCTGTCTCTTTATGGGTCTTCAAACAACAACAACAGACTAGGCCTAAGGCCCTCGCCTGATCGAGCCTACCTGAGCAGGTCCACCTCTCTGGGCAAGAACTTCTCCTCGAAGTCGGGAGGCAACTTCCTGCGGTCGATGACCTTGATGGCCACGTCTCGTTGATGCTGCTCGGACGTTGCAAACTTCACCTGAGATGATGGCGAGGGTGTCAGTTGTGTAACTCAATCCTTAAACAAGGTCTCAAGATTCTGGATTTTAAGCTTTCGTGACTGCAAAGATTCATACTCTTTTAGGTAAAATAATAATAAAATACAATAATGAATGAATGAAAAGAAATAAATTAAATCACGACGTTTCGGAAGCAACACAAGCCTCCGTCATCAGGTGTAACTGCTCCAGTAATTTAATTTATATTTTTAAAAACACGTGTCTTGAATCGCTCTCTTCACACGCTACAGTAATTTTACTGGAGCACCTGATGACGGAGGCTTGTGTTGCTTCCGAAACGTCGTGATTTAATTTAGTTATTTTCATTTATTATTTTATTATTATTATTTTACCTACGTGACTTTACCGAAAGAACCTAAGAGCAAGGCCTCAAGATAAATAACGTCGCGTGTACGATGGTAACGCCGAATGTTTTCGACAGAGGGCCTTTGCTAACTTCCTCGGGGTTATCGTGTCGTGATTTAACGCATTATGGGCACCCCTCAGCAAAGTTGACACGGGTTTGTGGGCCTTACCTGGTTAGATACAAAAGATACGTTTATTTTTAATATATACCAAGTTATTTGTTTAGCTTTCCCATACTTTGCACGGATAGCGTGTTTTTTTTGTTGTAACGTTTTGATGACCCTACTGGACATGTGAAACAATATCTTAAAGCTCATCGGATTCCTCCAGTATAACGATTCAGAGAGTTTCATCAATGAGTCATGCCCAGCTATAGAATGCTGTACCAAGGTTGAGTCGTATTTTACGAATTGTCAAACCACTTGGTGCTCTTAAAGCCATGCAAAGCACGGCCTCGCGTTTTCGACGTGGTCACAACCCAGCCAATCTTATGAAAAAGTTAATGTGACGACGATTACCTTTGAGTACGTCCCTTCGCCAAGAGTGTAGCCGAGTCTGTATCCATATCGACTTAAAATGTGTTTAGCATCCATTCGTAAACTTTAACACTTCACCATCTAACGATATAGTTATCATTAGATATTTTAAAACGATCCTGATTACATCGCCCGTAATAGTAGTCTCACAGCGCTGCAGAATTAATAATAAAAACTCAAAGGTAATGTTGTTATATTAACGAATGCGCATTATTCAAACCGACTTGATGGGCACGCGCATATCTCAACGTGCGTTGTGGCCGGCCACGTGCGGACCACGTGGTCATTCTGATGTCCGGCGTCACGTGCCACTAAGCCGAAGGGAGGTCAAGGGGGCCCACGTTAAAACTTCGTTTGCAACATCACGAAGGTTTAACATTTTCTGGTTAACTTTTAGTTTATTTAAATATGCATTTATTTAAATATCCAAATGCTCACAAATGTAAAACTATTGCAGATGCTTGCAAGCCTTGTACGACAATACATTCTGCCAATAATACTGGTAGGAATCGCCAGGTTACACCAGCCCACAGGAGATTGTGTCCGTTGTGCAGGGAGGGGCTGGGTGGGGAGGGAGGGGCTGGGTGGGTGGGGAGGGTGGGGCTGGGTGGGGGGTGGGAGGGGTGAGGCTGGGTGGGGAGGGGCTGGTCACCCCGTGGTGCCCTTATAAAATGACCATTAAACATACACATTTGTTCGTACAATTACATTCACTTCGGCAACTTAACATTTACATTATGCAAAAAATAAAAATAGCATAAGACTGCGCATAAACACATTTCTTTCAAACTACAACACGTCAGTGTATGTAGCCTTTAATACATGTTTTTCATTGTCAGGTCAGAGACATTACATTTGGGCAATAGTTTGACCGAGTCTGTTCCGGGCTGAAATGATCTGTTCAGAACCAGATCAGGCTACAATTGTGGTGCAGGAAGTGGCTAATCCATTATGCCATCACACACACACACACTTAAATCGTCCTTAGGTTCCCAACAGATTGTGTTGAGAGCCAAACCAATATATCCACGACTGCTCTTGCGTGTGTTCATGAGCCACGATGTGTGTTTTTGTCTATTTTCTAGCAATATCTCTATTATGCTATCAGTCTAGCAATAGGACGAAGGATCTATCTGGATCTTGCAAACAGCAGTGCACAACCATCTGGTCCGAGAAAAGCCCACGGAGAGAAGAAACCACAGAGCTACCTCTGATATCTCTTCCAAGTACACACAGTAGCAAGCAGGGCAGCACTGTCCCACCTGTCCTGCTGCAGCGAATAATGTTCAGCATATGACAGTCAAACTAATATATTTTTCATCATAATAGCTAAAAATTACCAATATTAAGTGCAGAACCAAATTTTACGTTAGTGTTCTAGATTTGAAACTTTCGTGACTGCAAGGATTCATACTCTTAGTTTTCTCGGTAAAGTCACGTAGGTAAAAAATGAAATTAAAATAAAATAAAAATTTTAATTTCATTTTTTACCTACGTGACTTTACCGAAAAAACTAAGAGTATTTACGTGTTTTTTTCGTGCAGTCTTCGGTGACATCGTGAGCGGGGACCATCAGCAACGGATGACTGAACCCGGATTTGTATTGAGGATCTCAGCTGTGCCAGTCCAGCGCTGGCATCCAAGCCATCCGGCCTCCTCCAAATAACGTGTTTTTGTTTATTCAGAATAACTGTATTGGTGTGACGTCATCAAAGCAAAGTATCAAAGGCTTCTCTGAAGCCACGTCTGATGACACGATGATGTCAGTTGACTGGGCCCAGCCTCTTCTGGCCAGGCCCTGCCCACGTTTGGTTTAACCCCCCCCCCCCTTCCCATTACACCCTGTCCCTCCACTTAAATAATAAACCATGCCCACTTCTAATAGCATCGTGCACTTTCAATCAAACGTGTCCTTTTTAAATTAAGCCCAGCCCCGTTTGTAAAAGCCATTCCTTAAAGTTAACTACCTCCTTTTTCTTAAATACATCTTAGCCCTGACCGCCCTTTAAAAAAAATGACTTCCCCTTTTAGAGCAAGCGCCATCTCGTTTATTTAGACCCCTCCCCTCGCATCTCTTCTTTTTAAGCCCCGCCCAGACTTTGTGACATGGTCCACCTCACCACTCTTACAATGCCCCACCAAACTCTCCCACACAAAGCCTTTCCCCTCAATTGTGTGGCAAGTGCCACCCCATGTTTTCACAAAGTTCCAGGGCTCCCTCCAACAAAACTCCACCCCCCCCCCCCACAAAACCCCACCCCCTTTGTAATAAGCCCCACCCCTCATGGCTAGGCCACGCACCCGGGGCTAGGAGCCACCCCCGCGGGAGCGGATGTTGTGCCAGATTCTGAGCAGAGGTTCCCGGTTCAGCCAGATGACTTCGTTTCCCCGCCACGCGTACAGACTGCACACGCACACACGCGTACACACATACACATGTAAATGCACGCACGTGTGTGGAGACAGGTTACGCACACACGCGTACGTACATACACACGTGTGCAATCACTTCAGGTGGAAACGTGTGTATATATTAAAGCAACGAGGGAGAATATTGAAATAACCATTGAATCAATTGAATATCGGTTTCATTAATGAAATATAAAAACTCGCATACCATTGGCATATCACTGACAGATGAACACACGCGGCTCAAAAAGCTTGCTTTAAGCACAGGAATTAATTAAATTGATGCCTAATGATGCCAGGTGTTGTTAATGCCCACTGACAATGACGTCATCTTTCTTGGTTCTTTCGGTAAAGTCACGTAGAAGGGAAATAATAAAATAACAAAAATAAAACATAATAAAATTCTCAAGACGTTTCGGCCACAATGCAAGCAGCCGTCCTCAGGTGAAGAACAGAGCTGTCGGAAAGACAGCGTCCTAATGAACACTTTATTATGTTATATTTTTATTATTTCCCTTCTACGTGACTTCACCGAAAGAACCAAGAATATGAATCCCTGCAGTCACGAAAGCTTTAAATCGAAATCTAATGACGTCAGCGTCTTGAGATGAGAGCGATGGAGGCAAACTATCTTCACGGTCGAATCGCCACGCGGTCAACGACGGTGAACAACTGGGCGAGGGGTTTTGTCTGCGGGATCTCACATGCCGAACAGGGCTCCACCCAGATGCGCCGCGTGGTCAAACAACTTCCAGCCTAGGATGAGTCCGGTCGTGTCGAGAGCCATGATCCCCATGAGAGCCTGAAGAAAAGAGCAGGGGGCAGAAATGGGATCCGTTATAAATTGCAATGACTTTGTTTACCGTAATGACCTGCGATTGCTATGTAATTATAACTTGTAACGTTAGCCAAGAATGCTACATGCTGTTGCTATTGTAATTATAATTAAAGCTGAGTCTACAAGCAGACTCCGGTCATCCTCGCAGCGGCTTTTGGCAAACTGTCGAACAAAGACGGTCACTGCATCGCGTGCTTTCAGATGTGCTTCTGCGGCCATCTTGAATGCTCTTCCGATATTAGGAAGCCACTGAAGCTATGCACTTTTAAATCGAGATTGAAAATGCATTTCTTTAAAACTGATTTTTGTGTTTAGTTTAGTTTGTTGTCCCCCCGCACCTCCGATTACCACGGTTGGCTAGGCACGGTGCGTATGAAGTTCAACATACATACAGGACGTTAGGAACACAGATTTAGCAGGCAAAGAAAGGCAAGGACATGGGGAAACTGGTATGTGAGGACCCATTGACATGGGGACGTGTAGACAAAGGCACAAGGAGACAGTGCTACATGGGCACACAGGGACATAAGGACATGGAAATATGAGGGCAAAGAGACCCTAGTACAAGGGGACACTGGGGAGATTTGAGACATGGGTACATGGCAACATAGGACACGGGACATTGGTAAGATCAGGGACAAGGACACGTGGACAGAAGAGGTGGCGTGCAGATGTAAACAACATGGGGACATACGGATGTGAAGGGAGGGGAGGAGGGAGGAGAGGGAGGGAGGGAGGGAGGGAGGGAGGGAGGGAGGGAGGGAGGGAGGGAGGGAGGGAGGGAGGGAGGGAGGGAGGGAGGGAGGGAGGGAGGGAGGGAGGGGAGGAGCTACAGTAAAATGGGGGTGTGGGCCCAGGTAGATGGGGAACAGGACTTGGTGGTATTGGAAAGGGCCGTGGTGGTAGGTGTGGAGACACGGATGAAGGGTGCTGGACCATTGTAGAAGGGGCCGGGCCTTGGTTTAGGGCAGGGGTCGGCAACCTACGGCTCCAGAGCCGCATGCGGCTCTTTACGGGCTGCTTCTTGACGATATGTACGTATGTACAGTATGTACTCAGATGCATTGCGGCTCTTGAAATACTGAATTTTGTACCGAATTGGAAAGAAATGGCTCTTCTTGTTATTTTGGTTGCCGACCCCTGGTTTAGGGAGACGGGGCCTTGGCAGAGGCGGGGAGGGTGACAGAGCTACTCACGCTGCTGGCAGTGAAAGGGATCATGGGCAGGAAGATGATCGCGAGTTTGCTGTCGGGGAACTGGGTGCAGACGGCAGCGAGCACGGCCATGATGGCACCAGACTGCACGGCAACGACATTGACATCAGCGACGATATCAACATAATCATCATCATCAACGTAACATCATTATACTCATCATGACAACCATAAACACCATCATCACGATCACCATTGCTATGCACCTCCGGTTAGCGCATTTGGCTACGTACGGTGCTAATGAAGTTCAACATACATACCTACTCTGATTGATACCAATCATCACAATCATCAATCATTAGCACTGTAAAATCGTTACCATAACCATAATTGCAGCTTCACCGTTTCTTCATTACCATCGTCATTACACAGCTCTCATCACGTATATCATCATCGTTATAGTCAAGGTGGATGAACTTACCGCGCCGAGGGAGGGGGTGAATTTTCCCGTCACCGTCTTAAAGACGTAGCTCGCAAACGACGAGGTAACACCTAACACGCAGCACAGAGCACAGGCGTGTAAGCACACGTGTATTCAACGTGAGTCGCACATGCAAATGAGTGTAGTTACATGCTCGTGCGTACATGAATGAATAATTGAGCGTGTTAGTGAGGGAGCCAGTGAGCGAGTAAGCCAGTAGACTAATAACCAAGCGGGTGAGTGGGTGGATGAGAGAGTGGGTACTCAAGTGAGTAATCCAGTGAATGAACTCAGAATAAGAGAGTGAGTGGGTGGGTGTTAGCGAATAAATAAGCAAATGGGCGAGAGAAGGAGCAAGCGAGCAAGTGGGTGTGTGATGATTTAAACTAACCTGAATTATTTTTATTTTACTAGGTAAGGCCCACTAAGCAATACAGCTCTTTTTCAGAAGCGACCTGGCCACAAATTATAGCTCAAAGAAGCAGCTTATGTGGAAATTTATAACAACCAAATACTCTAAAATGTATCTGGATTATAAATGTGCAAGGCAAAACCGGAGGACCCGGACAAAAATCCATGCGAACACGGGGAGAGAGAAACCGCAAACTCCAAATATACAGGCGTCAGGGTCGGGAGGGAACCCACAACCTCCTGCATACCAGGCGAGGGAGTTAACATCTCGCCACCGTGGCGTAGGTATGTGAGTGAACGCGCAGGCAGGCAGGTGAGCAAGTGGGTGGATGAGTCACTAAGCAAGCGCGTGTGTGTGGGCGAACGAGTGGGTGTGTTTCGATTTAAAGTTTTCGTGACTTCAGGGATTCATCTTCTTGGTTCTTTCGGTAAAGTCACGTAGAATGTAAATAATAAAATAATAAAAATAAATCCTTGTAAATTAATTATTTTATTATGTTTCATCTTCTTGGTTCTTTCGGTAAAGTCACGTAGAATAGGAAATAATATTATTACATAATAAAATAATCAATTTATCATGTTTTTTTATTTTATTATTTCCATTCTACGTGACTTTACCGAAAGAACCAAGAAGATGAGTGGGTGTGTGATCGAGTGAGTGGGCGTGCATGCGGGCGAACGAACGCACCTGCGGATGTGTAGAATGCGAGAAACTGCTCGCGACCGAACATGGAGACGGCGCTGTGGGAGAAGCTCCACAGCACGTACATGTTGGCCGCCAGGTGCATGGGTGAGTAGTGGCTGAAACACGACAGGATCATGGGCAGGCACGGGGCCTCTGCGTACACAGACAACCGATACAGATACACAGTGCGACACACAAACACACCTAAATTTCGATTTAAAGCTTTCGTGACTGCAGGGATTCATCTTCTTGGTTCTTTCGGTAAAGTCACGTAGAAGGGAAGTAATAAAATAATAAAAATAAAACATAATCAAATAATTCTCACGACGTTTCGGCCACTACGCAAGCAGCCGTCCTCAGGTGAAGAGCAGCCGTCCTCAGGTGAAGAGGACGGCTGCTTGCGTTGTGGCCGAAATGTCGTGAGAATTATTTTATTATGTTTTGTTTTTATTATTTTACTACTTCCCTTCTACGTGACTTTACCGAAAGAACCAAGAAGACAAACACACCTGTTTACACATGCATGTGATTAATATCACGTATGTATACACAACCCTGAAACAGGCGTTTAGAGTATTTGGATGCTATAAAGTTCCACGTGATAAGCCAGTTCGTTGAGCTATCATTTGTGGCCAGGGCACTTTTAAAAAAGATGCAAATAAGCTCAGTGGGCTTTACCTGGTCAAATAAAACAAATTGTGATTTACTTACCTTGTCTATACTTTGCAATCCTTTCGTGTTTTTGTATTGTTTGTTGTTGTAACTGTCTGACCCACCCCCTACTGGACATCGGTGAAAAAGAGCGTTATGGCTCATTGGATTCCTCCTGCAGTATAAATAAAGGTTCTGCATATGTTAGAGAAGAATGCACTCTAAATTTTGATTTAAAGCTTTCGTGACTGCAGGGATTCATATTCTTGGTTCTTTGACTTTACCGAAAGAACCAAGAATAAGAATGCACTCGTAAATAAAAATGTATCCAATACACAAATAAAGATCTCCCCCTCGTAATAGCTTCGCACAGACTATTGAGGCAAGCGCTGTTTGCGAGCAGCTGTCATCTCGAACCTATAATCTATAAGCACCTATAATATATATACACACCTATTAGGGATGTGTTCCCAATTTTTTGATTAATCATAAAAATCCAAACATCGGGCCTGGATATGATATATCAGAAAATCAGAGGATAAGAGTTTAATTGTATTGATCTCAAAACATTACCTAAACGGAAGTGATGTCATTTTTAATGACATGAAATCAGTACCTTTGCATCCAAAAGCGCCATCAGATAAATAATATTTCCTGATGACGACCGCTTGTGTTGCGATCGAAACATCGTGGTTATTGTTTTATTTTACATTTTTATTTTATATTACCGGAAGAACCAATAATAAGTCTACATTATAGACTGCCAGTACGCTCACTCAGGTTAAGAACCAGGCTACAGTCTACATTATAGACTGCCAATACGCTCACTCAGTTTAATAACCATTGCTACAGTCTACATTATAGATTGCCAATACGCTCACCAGCTTAAAAACCAGGCTACATTAGTGTTTTTTATTAAGATTTTTAATCACTTTTTATTCTTTTCTATCTACGTGACTTTACTAAAACAACCAAATAATAAAATATTTGCTTCATTATATAGTAAAAAAATGTTTCACATTAATATTTTTGTATTACTGTTGGACCTTAATATAAAAAATAAAAGATTAGTTTAACAAAATATTTTAAATGCTCAAATATTGTGCATAAACAATTAATGTTATTTATTAATGTGTATTCAATTTAAATCTGAAAACATGACAAAAACGTCAATTGACCTGAAACATCCGAATATCCAACATTCAAAAAATGTTAATCCGAAACTCATCCCTAACACCCATATCCACACATTTTACACACGTAATAAACACACGACCTACGCTTTCACATGCCAGCCAGCACGTGAAACACACGTACGCAACCGACACATAAGCATGTAAACACGCACACGCGCACACGTGGTGGCACGTACGCACACACGCGCGTGCACACACCTACTTGCGGCAGGGTTGGCCATGAAGAGACGCATCATACTCGACTGCAACGCCGGCACCCGCCACATTCCAAACACCAGCACATTGATCGCGATGATGCCTGCACGCATGCACACGCACATTGGCCATTGGTTGTACGTACACATTCCACAGGACAAACACACGCGCACAAACCTGCCGAGGGGTTTGTACAAGCTGCAATCGGCGGTCATGGCGTAAGATTACAAAGATTTTTTTTTAGAATGCTTGCAGTGCAGTGCAACGTTTACAGAGCTACTTCTAAGAGCCCTACCCAACAGACTTAGAAACAAGCGTTGAAAGTATTTGGCTGCTATAAATTTCAACAATATGCACATCTGTGCTTTTGCGAACATCTACGTATGCATGTTCAAGTGTGTGTCTGCCTTTATGCATGGGTGCCGCGTTGGCGAGACGTTAACCTCCTAGCCTGGGATACAGCAGTGCGTGGGTTCGATCCCGACCCTGACGCCTGTATTTTGGAGTTTGCATGTTTTCTCTCGACGTGGTCGCGTGGATTTTTCTCCGGTTCTTCCGGCTTTTCCCTCCACGTTTTTAGCGTATAATCGGCTGCTATAAATTTTCACGTGATAAGCCACTACGTTGAGTTACCATTTGTGGCCAAGTCGCTTCTGAAAAAGAGCTGTACAGCTCAGCGAGTCTTACCTGATAAAAAAAAATAAGTTTAGTTAAAGTCTAGTTTAGACCTCTGGCCTACACAGTAGGGAGCACTTTTTATTGCCAGCAAAGCACATGACGGATATGGATGGTTCCAGCACCACCACACACACTCACACACCATTGCACCAACATCTCTTTTTAGGCTGAGTCAACCTGGGTGTGGCCCACAGCACGGTTTGGAAAGTGAACCATTGCCTCTGCTACTGCACGTGACCAGGAATTGAGCCCGGGTGACGGGCATTGCGGTGCAGTGCGGTGCAGTGCGGTGAGCTGAGCAGAAAAGGACGCACCAGCGACAGTCCTGCCGCCCTCAGACAGCGAGTTCCACCACAGGTTGATCTGAGGGTGCAGAGGAGATGACAAAACATGGGACGTAATGAGACCTCGCCAAGCCTCTCTCTCCCTCTTCATATTTTGTGTTTTTTGTTCTCCTTTTGCTCATCTCTCTTGCCTGTTTAACGCTTTTCAACAAAGTTGAACGCATGAACAGATTCTCTCTCCGAGTCTGCCAATTTTAACCCGTAAAGATGATCTAAATGAATTAAAGTATCTTCTTGGTTCTTTCGGTAAAGTCACGTAGAAGGGAAGTAATAAAATAATAAAAATAAAACATAATAAAATTATTCTCCCTTCTATGTGACTTTACCGAAAGAACCAAGAAGAACCAAGAAGATGAATCCCTGCAGTCACGAAAGCTTTAAATCTGAATTAAAGTATAAAAGTTATTTTACTCTTTGTAAAACTGGCCAAATTGTAAACAAAATCCAGCGCTAAAAACACTTGCCTTGCCGGCCAATGCGATGACATCACACGTGATGCGCTCGCCTGCCCTAATGATGTCACCGCGTGTGCTATCTCACGATGGTGTCTCCCTGTGTCTCTTACTGCCTCTGTCTTCCCATCTCTCTTCACCCTGTGCATATCTTTCTGTCCTTTCCCCCCTGTGTCGCTCTCTGCATATATCTCCCTCCCCGTGTAATTATCTCCGCGTTTATCTTTCCTGCTAATTATCTCCCTCCCCACGTACGTATCTGTCCCCACCTGTTTGCGGAAGTCCCCACTCTTTGCGGGCCGTGTGCGTTCCATCCAGGCATTGCGCGCGTCACTCAGGTAGTTGTTCACGCGGTGTTTTACCACCTCGTATTGCACGATAGAGGCAGTCGCAAATGCACAGCCCGAGAACTGCACACAGGTACGGATACATGGGGATGCGTGACACACACACGAACATATACGCATGGAATGCAGGGGTTGACGCAGGGATGCGTGACACACGCACACATGAACAAATACTCATAGAATGCAGGGGTTGACGCAGGGATGTGTGCATTCATGTGCAGACAAAAAGACAAAAATCCCGCGTAAAACCTGTAACAGACTGTTGGGGCAAGTGCTGTTAGCGGGCATCTATGAAGGGCGGCACAGCGCACGAGGGGATGGGTAGCCAGCACCACGCCCGGCCGCCTTTGTCTCCCTAGTTGCGATGTTAACACATCGCACCAGGTACTCATTTGAGGCTGAGTCTACCTAGGGGAGGCCCAGGACCGGTTCAGATAATCGTCACTGGTGTTGGCCTTGAGTGAGATTCGAACCCGGGTCGCCAGGTTCGTAGCACAGCGCAACACTACCGCTCCCCACACATGCACATACGTGTACAGCGAACAGAAAATATTACATCCATCCGAGACCACCACCGGCCTAAAACCACGTTACAGATCCGCAAAGCTTCTCCCCAGCGTGCCTAGTGAGGCTCTGTTGACATGTGCGTGCCATGGGGATGAATGCATTACCCCAATGGTGAAGAACAGGGGACGCACGAGGGAAACGGCAGAACCTCGCCCTCCGCCCGGGATGGACTCAGCTGGACGGAGCAAACCATTGCGTGCAGGAGGGGGCACAAGACTTCCTTCCTTGGACACGCGGCGGAAGCCACGGCACGTCGTCTGCCATGGCACCAGGCACCTGGGGAGAGAAGGGACAACGTGAAGGGGTGTGTGGTTGTGTGTGGCAACTTTGCCAGTGAGGTGCATTGGTGGTGCATTTCAGTCGGTTGAACCCATAAAACCTGCATCCGTCCTGTGACCTGCCAGCGAGCCTTCAACATTTTGTTCATGGCCTCAATGGACACCTAGCTAGGAACGAACGCGATGTTGATGTTACTGTCACTGGGAAATGACGGCTGTTTTAATGTGTGCAGTATATGCATGTGGGTATATATGTGTGGGTGTTTGGGGAGCGGTGGCGTAGTGGTTAGCGGGTTTCGCTATGAACTCGGCGACCTGAGTTCGATTCCCATTCGCTGCCAACAGTGATAATTATTTGAACCGATCCTGGGCCTCCCCTAGGTCGACTCAGCCTCAAATAAGTACCCGGTTCGGTGTGTAAACGTCGCCATTCGCTGGCCCCCCCACTCCTTCATTTACCGTGCTGGTCTTCATAGATGCTCGCTAACAGCACTATACGGGGATCTTTGTATTTTGGATGTTTGTGCGTGTTTGCATGTGTATAGTTAGACCATTGTGTAGGTGTTTGTGTGTGTACACACTTACGTAGTTGTTTCAGAGTTGTATATGTCACATTGGGAGCTTATATTTACAATATAGTTTAGGTTGGTGTTACATGTTTGTGAAGGTGTGCACACAAATTGATATACAGAATAAAATGGTACATATCAGGAATATTAAAAGTGGTGAATGACCAGTGTTAGTAAATAATATTGGCGAGGGTTGGTGAGTGATAAATAACTTTGGTAAGTAATGAGTCTTTGAGCATTGGTGAGCAGATAACGAAAGGTATTTTTTACTTCAGGATAGCCAAGCACAGCAGTGCAGTGCATCTTGTATGAAGTGTCACAACCGGCCACCGATTATATAATTATTCAACACAAAACAATTATATCTGACCAAAACATTACATTTACAAAACCAGCCCACTTCAATAGAATCCATCCATCACTCTTGCCCAATTTGAAAAGGAAATCACTAAGCCACCGTTTTGGCAATGATCGTGATTTCAATGAACCCGACTGATGGTTGTGGTTTAAGTCCGACCAGTCTGCAATATTCTGACATCCAAATCTTCCTTGGATGCCCCTTTCTTTAGTCCTTCCTGTGCGGTCTTGTAGATTTTGTTTTGATATTTTGGCCGGAAAACGGCAGTTTTCTTTAATGGCAGCAAGGAGTTATGCTTTCTGTATTGATTGGGTGACCACGATGCTCCCCCCAAATTGTTGTGTGCGCTGTCCATTCAAAGTAACTTTCGAAAACCATTACATTTCAAACGCTTGCACTGTATCCATTTTAAAGTATTGTCCAAACAGGCGATGCCCAGACCTTGAGTTTAGACGGTGAGATTATTGGGATTAACTTGGTACAATCGTGACAAAATATGCTATCAGAATGTTTCGTATCATTGCAACATAATTTTAGCACGTGCATCTGTAAACGATTCGGTGAACGACTTGGATAGTGAATGCGGGAGTCGCAGGAGAATGACGGGGTTGGATAGGGTTGCTGCTATGCACGCTAGGGGTTACCGATTGGTTGTAGGACGATTCACAACATTCGTATTTTTTTTACGAAACTCCCCATGTTTATGAAACTCGTGAAGCACGCGGACACTATTATTATGTTAGTTTCAGCGTTTCGTTGAATGTCAGCGACTGGCATCGATAGTATGTATTTCGAATGTATGTAGCGATGTCTGCGTTTGGCGTGGACGGCATAGCTCAGAAAGTGAGACGCCTCGATCTTGCGTCGAGGCGAATGACATTACCGAGTGGCAGAGCGAATCACTGAGCGAGCGAGCGACGGGTTCAAGAATTGATGCGACGATATAAACGACCGAGAGATTGAATCAGCTAATGCGCAATTGCGTGAATGAATTACTGAGCGAATATGTGACCGAGGAAGTGAATTTAAGTGAGGTAGTGAATTGAACTGAGGCGTTAAATTGAACTGAGGTGTTGAATTGAACTGAGATGTTGAATTGAATTGAGGTAGTGAATTGATTTGAGGTAGTGAATTGAACCGAGGTAGTGAATTTAATTGAGGCAGTGAATTTAACTGAGGCGTTAAATTGAACTGAGGCATTGAATTGAATTGAGGTAGTGAATTGATTTGAGGTAGTGAATTGAATCGATATAGTGAATTTAATTGAGGCAGTGAATTTAACTGAGGTAGTAAATTGAATCGAGGTAGTGAATTGATTTGAGGTAGTGAATTTAACTGAGGTAGTGAATTTAACTGAGGTAGTGAATTGAATCGATGTAGTGAATTGAACTGAGGTAGTGAATTGAACTGAGGTAGTGAATTTAACTGAGGTAGTGAATTGAATCGAGGTAGTGAATTGAACTGAGGTAGTGAATTGGCAGCAGCGAGTGCCGACAGCCGTGAGCGAAACACTGGGCGAGTGACGAAAGCAATTGACTCGGCGATTTGGCGAGCGACTCAGTGAATCGGTGGACGAGTAGGCGGGTGTGCGAGTGAGTGAATGAGTGACTGAGTGAGTGACTGAGTGAATAAGTGACTGAATGAGCGAGTGACGAATGAGTGAATGAGTGACTGACTGAGTGAATGAGTGACTGAGTGAAGGAGTGAGTGAAGGAGTGAGGGAAGGAGTGAGTGAAGGAGTGAGTGACTGAGTGAGTGAATGACTGACTAAGTGAGTGAATGAGTGACTGACTGAGTGAATGAGTGACTGAGTGAATGAGTGAGTGAATGAGTGACTGACTGAGTGCCTGAGTGAGTGACTGAGTGAGTGAGTGAGTGACTGAGTGAATGCGTGACTGAGTGAGTGAATGAGTGACTGAGTGAGTGAAGGAGTGAGTGAATTCAACGAGTGACTACTGAATGAGTGACTGAGTGAGTGAATCAGTGACTGAGTGAGTGACTGAGTGAATGACTGAGTGACTGACTGAGTGAGTGACTGAGTGAGTGAATGAGTGACTGAGTGACTGACTGAGTGACTGAGTGACTGACTGAATGAGTGAGTGACTGAGTGAATGAGTGACTGAGTGAATGAGTGACAGAATGAATGAGTGACTGAGTGAGTGAAGGAGTCACCATGAGAGTGAAGGACGCGCCGCACACGCGCCCCTCAACACGGCTGCCATGTTGACCCGGTGAACTTCCGGCTCCTGCACCGACGTCACGTCCGGCTCCGCTCACGCGACAACAAAAGAAGAAATAAATGTCCCGACGGAAAAACGCAACTCCGGAACTTTATTATTGTACCGACTTATTATCGTACCGACCATTCATGTTCTCTCTGTTGTCTATTTCTAAAAATATATATATTTGCAAGTATATTTATGGTTATACTCTTTGGTTTTTTCGGTAAAGTCACTAAAATAAAATGTAATAAATTCAGTGATTTTATTTATTTTATTTTAGTTTTCATTATATTTTATTTTATTTTTTAAAAATTACCTACGTGACTTTACCAAAAAAACCAAAGAGTATGAATCCTTGCAGTCACGAAAACTTCAAATCTAGAATATATTTATGGTTGTTTATGAGTGTAGTTCGCACTCTACATATGAATTTAAACCTTTCGTTAAAATGTGGGATTTTTGTCTCAACGTCACGGTAATAGGAGCTGCCGATGTTGTATAGCGAGTGGGTTTACTCTCCAAACACACAACCAGTTAAAATGTTAAACGCTTAACTCGTGTAACGAATTGGCCACGTTTAGTTTCCGTGTTGTTGGTTGTTTGACTTGCATCCCACTGGGATTTTTGCACACAGCGTTGGTGTACGGTGATTTTTTTCTGCAATATTTTGCTGTCTTTTCTTAGATTTTCTGTTTGCACTTAGTCACATATTCACTTTAAGATGTTTTTTGTTCATGTTTTTGTTTTTTGTTTGTTGCGGTTGCACCCGATTAAAGAGCCGAATGGCTCACAGGGCTCTACCTAATACATGAACTTGATTACCTTGAACTTGACAAACCCCTTCTCTCAGTTATGGATGGTATTGGTCGCGAAAGCCTTCCGACGACATGTTTAAATGTTGTTGTGATTGTTTTGTTATTGTAACGTGCTGACCCGCCCCTGCAAGCCATCCAGCAGTAAATATACAGATACCATAGGGGCCGTCCATAAATGACGTCACGCGATTAGGGACGATTTTTGACCCCCCCCCTCTTCGTCACAAAAAGTCAGACCCCCCCCCCTCAAATATGACGTCATAAAGCTCTGCCCCCCCCCCCAAAAAATGCTTCAAATCGCTTTCAACTATTGTCATTGTAGTGCGTATTTAATGTGGCGCTGCACTCTGATGTTGTAGGAGAAAACATTTATTAAAAAGTATTTTTAATTAAGTAGAACGTGTTGTCTATATTTATTTAAAGTTGCGCATTTTGATGTGACGTCACATTTCTCAAACCCCCCCCACCCCTCGTCACAAATGTCTGACCTGCCCCCAAGTGCGTGACGTCATTAATGGACGGCCCCATACCGTGTCAACCCATACGGTTTACCCCGTATTCTTGTGCAGGGAAATTGAGTTTTCAGGTCCATACGGCGTACATCCGTTTCATTACGGGCACAAAAATTATGTATCTGGGGTGTTTTCGCCCTTGTGATGGGACTTTGTAAGATGAACGTTGAGATGTATAAGGAGCACGAGGTGACCAGTCAGGTCTGAATTGGTCTGTAATAAAGTAGGGCGCTGATAAGGGGTTGACGGGTTTGGTAGATTATGATTCTGACTGTTACACAATGCAAGGAAACGAACACGTGGATCTTTGAAGACGCCCAAGAGACATCGAGTTTGTGGCAGAGGTCGCAAACGGGTTTTGATTCCTTACCCGTACCCGGCCGCACCAGGGTCGCAAACGGGTACCCGTACCCGGCCGTACCCGTACCCTACCCGTACCCGGCTGGGTACGGGTAGGTTACGGGTATCGGGTACCTGATTGCAACCTCTGGGATGAAGCCATGTTGCAGGCGCGGGTGGGTTGATTCTAGGAACTTGAATTGTGAGAAGAGACAAGACGCTGGGAAATGAGTGACAGTTACTCACTAGTGACTCACGGCCTACCTGTACCCGGCCGCACCAGGGTCGCAAACGGGTACCCGTACCCGGCCGGGTATCGGTTAGGGTACGGGTATCGGGTACCCGGTTGCGACCTCTGGTTTGTGGGCTCAGGCGGGAGGCGTCGCGACTTGAAGGGGCTCATGGCCCCGGTGTTCGTGACCCCTAATTGGGTGGCGGTCAAGAGGAGGATGAAACGTTTCAGTTTCATTTATTTGGTCTAGCCATGTGAGCCATTCGGCTCTTGATTCCGGTGCAACCGCAACAAACAAAAAACAAGAAACACATTCCTGCGGAGGGAGCTGGTAGGAACGTTGGGTTGCTCGGTCAACGGCGGCGTGGTGTATTCCGCAAATATGCCCGACTGTGAGGGCGGGCACAAGCCGGCGTAAGTAAGTTTAACGTTGAGTTTTATAAGGGCACCACGGGGTGACCAGCCCCTCCCCACCCAGCCCCACCCAGCCCCACCCTCCCCACCAAGCCCCTCCCCACCCAGCCCCACCCCTCCCACCACCCACCCAGCCCCTCCCCACCCTCCCCTCCCCACCCAGCCCCTCCCTCACCACACAGCCCCTCCCTGCACGACGGACGGACGGACACAATAATCCCCTGTGGGCTGGTGTAACCAGGAAATTCCTACCAGTACAAGCAAACATCTTAAATTGACTACGCGCAAACAGAAAAATCCAGGTAAAAACAGCAAAAACTTTCAGGAAAAGCACCGTACACCAAGGCTGTGTGCAAAACGTGGCCGAGATGACATTCACCCCGGCAGATGTCAGCCCGTGCGACCCGAGCACGATGGGATGGCGATGTCTCCTGGGAGGCCTTCCATCTACCAGTGGATAGATATCGGTCAGCGGCGTGTGCAATTGAGTTCAGTTGGGAAAGATGTGACAATTTTCAGTTTGAAAAGCTAATGCGGTTTCCCACAGTTGTGACTATTTTAACACGTTTTTTTAATTGCACGCTTTTATTTAACTCTGTCTGTTGTTCTCGTTGTTGTTGTATCCTCAAATATTGTAACTAAATTTTAACCCACTTCCCAATGTGTTATCGACTGCAAACTTGGTATACGTATGTCATACTGATGACAATACCATATTATATCAAAAAAATAAAATACAATTTTAACATTATTATTACCCGCTTTCGATTAACTGTTGTCGTATCCTCAAATATTGTAACTAAATTTTAACCCACTTCCCAATGTGGTATCGATTGCAAACTTGGTATACTTATGTCATACTGATTACAATACTATATTCTATCATAAAAAAATATTTCTAAACATTATTTTTGATATGTTATGCTTCGGCTTGGGTCTAATTGTCCACGCTCAAGTGACGTTGACTGTAAATCACCACGGTCCCTTACGTTATGGCATGCTTCGGGGCCACTTCCTGGAGTCGTGGAGTTCTTCCATTACTAGTAGGGTACGACCTGGGGATTCCACATTCCACCTGCATGTGGATATATAGTTTCCTCTCGGGCCGCAGACAGAGGGTCAGAGTGGGCCGTCATACATCCACAGCCCTGAGCCTCAGTACCGGCTCCCCCCAGGGCTGTGTACTGAGCCCCCTGCTCTACTCCCTCTACACACATGACTGTGCCGCCGTCCACCATAGCAACACCATTGTGAAGTTTGCTGATGACACCACAGTGGTGGGGCTCATCTCTGGGGGGGATGAGTCTGCCTACAGGGACGAGGTGGAGCGGCTGACAGCATACTGCAGGGGCAACAACCTGCTCCTTAACACCGCAAAGACCAAGGAGCTCATAATAGACTACAGGAAAAAGAAAACGGACACTCCACCACTAATCATCAGCGGGGACTGTGTGGAGAGGGTGGCAGACTTCTGCTTCCTGGGAGTCCACATTGGGGAGGGCCTGACCTGGAGCGCCAACAGCACTGAGCTTCTGAAAAAGGCCCAGCAGAGACTTTACTTCCTGAGAATTCTCAGGAATAATAACATCACACAGAAACTGCTGGTGTCCTTCTACCGAGCCTCCATCGAGAGCATTCTTACATACTGCATCTGTGTATGGTACACCAGCTGCACAGTGGCTCAGAGGAAAGCGCTCCAGAGGGTCATCAACACAGCCCAAAAGATCGCCGGCTGCCATCTCCCCACACTGGAAGAACTACACAGTTCACGTTGCATCAAAAAAGCACAGCACATTATAAAGGACTCTTCTCACCCTGGACACTCACTGTTTGAGCTGTTGCCATCAGGCAGACGATTCAGATCAGTCAAAACAAGGACAAACAGATTCAAACAGAGCTTTTATCCTACAGCGATCACCACACTCAATAATGCTAATTAATTATTAAGTAATAGTGTTTACAATTGATTGTGAAATAGAGATGTGCAATGACAAAATGTAACCTTATGTGGGTATGTGGGTATACTTGGGCTGTTTTTATATATAGTATAAATTGATTATCTTTCATTTAATTTTATTTTTATTTTCTTGTTTTATTTAATTTAAATTTATGAATGATGCCCTGACTGGTGAGCATTTTAAATTTCGTTGTACTGGTGACAATGACAATAAACGATCTATCTATTAAAGCGTGTTTAAAAAAAAGTATTTTTTTATATTTCTTATTTTTATACAGGGTCAATCAGTGTGATGACAGACTGAGTCGAAGTCTCGCGCATAGCCCACAGAATAACAAATAAAACAACGGTAGTGACTTCACTTTGATTTATTCTTATTAAATTTAATGTACAAATTAACAAACAAATATGTAACACAAAAGTCTTTAATGATAAAGCTACCAATAATAATTGTGCATTCATAAATCACCTTAATTACATGAGAATTCACTGCACGTCTAAAAGTTGTATAAAGCAAGGGGTGGTAACCTATTGCCATGGATTTTAACTGCAACTTGGAATCCAAACCTGTGGATTGCTCCCAGCCCAGACCTCTATAATCTCTCGTCACGGCAGCTCTCTCGCCTGCTTCAGCAGTTTTCCTGCTGTAATTGTCTCACCTGATGACGATCGCTTGCATTGCGATCGAAACGTCGTGATCCATTATTTTCTACCTCCGTGACTTTACCGAAATAACCAAAGAGTATGGATTCCTGCACTCACGAAAGCTTCAAATCAACATTGGGTCACGTCAACTGCTCTTTAATGCCAGGATTTTAACTCCAACTTGGAATCCAAATCTTTCCCATCCTTTAAAGGATGACCGAGACGAAAAGTAAAGTGTATGTTTGTGGGCGGCCCGTTCTGGGCTGTCCGATATAAGTTAAAAACCTCACAATTGGGAGCACACATTTATACCGTAGAAGCACATTTCTTGGGAGTAAGGCCAGGGTGTCCCTATAGCCGAAGTGCGGTGGTGTGCTTATATCAGCAGTTGCCCTTTGACCCCTCCCCCCCCCCCCCTTGCAGTTTAATTTAAACATGTGTTTTGCTGATATAAAAACTCTGCCTAGAAATGTGCTTATATCCACCTTCTACGGAATTTCTTTCAAGTGCACCGCCAAAGCAGTGGTAATATCTGAGCCATTTCTGGGTCTCCAATTTCACCCACACTGACCCACACAGTGAAGGGTGGTTAAACAACTCTCATGACCAACACGGCACGGAGAGAGGTTCTTATCCAGCAGTGCATTGACAAAGCGCTCTCAATTGTGATTTGATTATCAGAAGCTGTGGTAGTATTAGTAGTCGTGTAGTATTGTAACGGTAATGGTAGTAATACCGGGAGCAACAGTATTGATAGAGACTGAGGTCACACACACGCGTGAGTTGTTGTCATGATTAGTAGCAGTAGTCACAGCAGCATTAGCCATGGTAGTCGTAGCGGTAGTGGTGGTAGCAATTGTCAAGCGATTGGTGGTACAGGAATCCCACGTTTAATGCGGTAGATGCATTCCGAATAAAGGGCACGCACAGCGAAATCACGCAGCACAAACCACCACACGACGAGACAGCTGTCTGCCGAGCAGCACGCTCAGTAATAATACACACATTGTTGTCCCACGTAAGACCGCATAGCCGCGTGTGGGTGAATTCAAACCGCATATCGCGAATTTTTTTGGGTACAAATAGGTTCGTCGCATGTGCAGCGCGAAATCGTACAAACCGAAACTCGCGTAGAGCGAGGGAAACCTGTAGTTTGTAGCTCTTGCTCGTGGTAGTTTTGTTATTGGTAGAGTCACTGAGGGGGGGGGGGGGTCACACATATGAGTTCTTGTCGTAGCTGGGGTCGAGATCGGCGGGGGGGCTGGGACGGGGGCTGCCCCCGTTGGGGGTGATCAGGGGCTTCTGGACCCCGCTCGCCGAGACCGGGGCCATGGAGGGCGGCAGGAACACGGGGTGGAGGTTCTTGTTGTTCCTGCACACAACAACAACGACGACGACAACGATCCCCGTGTAGCCTTAACAGACTGTGGGGGCGAATGCTCTTAGCCAGTAGCACCCTATGAAGGCCGGCACGGTGGCTAGCACCACGCCCCGGCCTGCCTTTGACTCCACATTGGCGATGTTTACGCACCGCGCCAGGTACTAATTTGAGGCTGAGTCTACCTAAGGCAGGCCCAGGACCGGTTCAAATAATCGTCACTGGTGCTGGTCGTGAGTGGGAATTGAGCTCGGGTCGCCGGGTTCGTAGCGCAGCTCGCAAACCGTTGCGCTACCGCTCCCCCTACACACCCGATTCAAGAACCGAATGGCTCACAGGGCTATACCTAATAAATTAAACTTGAAACTTGGGGGGGGGGGCACACATGCGCACGCCACACTCTCACGTTTACACAAACTCACTCCCAGCGGGATGCTGGGACTCATTACATCTCGCGGAGGATCGCTCCGCTAAGTTAAAACAGTTCCACAGTTCGGTTCGCAAGTGCGAGTTCGCGTCCGCACATCGAATGGTTTTTAAAACATGAATGTCTTATGGGAGCTCGTTCGTAAGTGCAGATGTTCGTAAATCGAACGTTTGTAAGTCGATGACTGTCTTACAGTAATCACATTTTGACTGATGTAAGTTACATCATTACCATAGGTCTTTTAACTAAATAACCCTTGTATTTACTGGGTTTTTTTTACTCCTGTGGTTATTGATGGTTGTCCTCAAGGATACTACTGTGATTGCTGGATGCTGCCGTGGTAGATGTGCTTGTGATTGTGCGCCTTTTGGCGTTATTGTGCGCCTTTTGGCGTCATCTGGTCCAACACCATGTGAGACTAGGCTCTAAGGAAAGCTGTCTCGGGTGTGGACCAATCAACTTCAAGGACAGCGCATACATTATCAGAGTTGTGTTTTTTGTTTGCATTACGACTGCAGGTATTGTGGTCTATGCAAACATGACTCCTTGTAAAAAAGGTGTCAGTTTTGTTGCCAGATAAAAGGGTAAAAAAACAATTGTCTTGCGATTGTTGTTTCTGTCGTTTTTGCGATGACATTTTTGCGTTTGCTTTGGAGGCTCGTCGTGAAGTCTGTTCTGGTTGTCGTTGGAGTTGTTACGCTTTGTGATGTGGTCCGTTCATGTTGTTGCACTTGCGTGTGGTTGCTGCTGCTGTTGTTGTTATGACTGTGGTTATTAATGATCAGTCTTGTTGTGCTTGTTGTGGTGGATGTGATTGTTGGTCGCAATTGCGAATGCCGCTGTGGATGTCGCCCTTGTGGTTGTGGTACCCGCGTGGGTATTGGCTTTTCTTGACGTTTGTGCAGCAGAGAATTCCTCCTCCGACCACGCACAGGGCCGAGCCGGCCCAGCCGATGTAGAGTGCAGGGCCCAGCTCATACCTACACACAGGTGTTTGTTTACACGCACAACGTAAGTTTCAGTTTTTTTTCAGTTTCATTTATTAGGTACTAGCTTTACTACCCGGCTTCGCCCAGGACTTGGATTCACCACGGCCGGCCGCCTTTGTCCCCCCAGTGACGATGTTCACACACCACACCAGTTAATTGTTTGAGGTTGAGTCGACCTAGGGGAGGCCCAGGACCGGTTCAAATAATCGTCATCGGTGGTGGCCGTGAGCGGGAATCGAACTCGGGTCGCCGGGTTCGTAGCGCAGCAAGCTAAGCACTGCACATGCGCGGGTCACATGACAGATGTGACGTCATAGCTCACTAGCCATGCAAAAAATTTCATTATTGCGCCCCCACATGGCAATTTTTTAAAAAAAGTACCCACATGGCAAATTTCAAGTTTGTTGCATGTCGTGAAGTACGCTAAACATTTTGAACAGACACGCATAATCACAAATTTCTCCTTGATATATACTGTTTAGAGATAATCCTGTGAGCCATGCGGCTCTTGACTCGGGTGCAACCACAACAAAACAAAAACATGAAACATCTTCAAGTGACTCCACTTGCACACACGGAGACAAAGTTCATCCGCGTAGCCTTAACAAATTGTCGAGGCAAGTGCTCCTAGCAAGCACCACGTCCGGCCACCTTTGTCTTCCTAGGTGGCCATGTTTACACCGGGTATTTATTTGAAGCTGAGTTGACCTAGGGGTGGTACCGAAACTGGTTCAGATAATCATCACTGGTGTTGGCCGTGAGCAGGAATCGAACTCGGGTCGCCGGGTTCGTAGCGCAGCGTGCTAACTACGCCACAACACCACTCCCCACAGGTGTATGCAAACACGTGCACAGGTGAAGACACTCACGTGTGTGCACACAAACAGGTACACAACCGCCCACGCACAAAGATACAGCACCTATTCAGGCTGGTATGGCATAAGAGGGAGTGGTGTGGCTAACACCAGACCTGGCCACCTTTGGCTTCCCAGAGCTGATATTCAGGCACGACATCAGGTACTTGTTTTATCGCTGAGTCAACCCACGGGAAGCACAGGACCAGTTCAGATATTCGCCACTGATGTTGACGGTCGCCAGGAATTGAACTCAAATTTCTGGTTTTGTAGCGCAATGCGCCAGCCACTATGCCGCCGCTCCCCACACCATCATGACACGCACATACACACTGTGTGTGTGTGTGTGCATCTCACTTCTGCCCGAGGTACATGGGGTTGTAGAACTCGGCCGTGATCTGGCGTGCGTACCACGAGTATACGACCAGGAACAGGATACCTGCACTCTCCGACACACACACGCACCTTCATCCACGTGTCTTTATAACAAGGTGAGAGCTCATTCACGATTACTATCTCTGCTGTTGATTAATTAATTAATGTACTTTAGAGCTGGCTCAGCATTAGCCATTATGGACCTTCTTACAGAGAGTCCCAGCACTCGGGCTCAAAACAAGATTCTTGGTAGTGGCCGGCTCAGTGTGGACATTTTACTCTCTTAGAGACCAGGGTTCGAACCGAGGAATCTCATTCTCGCAGGTTCAGTGTCTCAGAAAGGGCCACTAGGAGCCGTCGTCGATGACGCGGCCAGAGGATCACAGTTCGAATCCAGAAACTGTCCCGATCATTACTGGAGGTGAAATAACCAATAATAATAATAATAATACGCGCAGTCTGCTTCATAGTGGACAATATGGATCCCCAGACGTCATTCACAAGAGGAGGCCATTGTGTGCTGGCGTCAAGGTCCAAATTAGCAAAATTCTAAAATCGCACAAACATGATTCATTTGGAACTATCGTATACAGAGTAGCGATCGTGGCCCCCTACCGGCAGACTAATGCCCCAGGTGACCCTTGCAAACGAGACTCATCCTGATCTCTTGAGTCCTCACCTGGTTAAACAAAATATAAACTTGAAACCTGCAGTACCGTTGAAGATAAAGCTGGCTCCTCCACATATGACCACGCGGGACTTGGTGGTAGCTCGGGCAGGGAGGACGCTGGTGCAGCGCAGCCCCAGGGTGGCGAGGAGACACGAGATGACGCCCAGAGCCATGCCCGAGATGAACAGCGCGCGGATAGCCTGCAGGTCGCCTAAGACAAACAAAAATAGATGGCGACAATTAACATCGACCACAGTCGCAATACAATTTCATTAAACAACTACATTGGACAAATGTCACGTGTGTAAGTATGTTGGGCATCTTTGGATGATGCCGTCTGTGTAGAACATGGCGGGAGGGGGGGGATTATCGTATACACCATAGCAGCCACGAGAGGGGGATATGGCATAAGGATAGATATGAGTCGCTCAGGAGGAACGACGCGGCTTGCTAGATAGTAATTGGTTGGAAGGTTTGAAAGGGAGAGATGGTGGGGATGGGGGTGATTTGAAAGAGGCAATGGGTCGATTGAAGCGGTTTCAAGGGGAGCAGAGGGATTGGTTAGAAGGAAGGGATGCATGGAGATTGGAGAGGAGGGAGAGAATAATTGGAAAGGGTGAGAAGGAGGAAGGGGGCGATCGGTAGAGGGAAAGCAAGGGACTTTGCGTTGGCTCGTTGTTGAGGACAATAAACTTTATCCAAGTGCCACATTTAGAGTCCATTATACACGCATCAGAAGCGAGCCTAGCGACAAGAAGAAGTGCCATTGCCATCCTTACCGAACAATGATCGTTCGAGCTTGCTAAACTTCTAACCTACCCCTACAAGGTATTTGTCGGCTCCACCTAAACCCTAATTCCTAACCTTTAACCTAACCCTACTCAGTTGAACTTAATGCCTCACGAAACCATAATCCCTCAACTGATTATGTCCCTACACAAGCACTCCCCCCTTGCCTTAGAATATGCAAAATCTTAAGCAAACACAAGATCCAGGTCCGATTCAATACAGTACACAAAATTCGTGATCTAATCCCATCTGTGAAGGATGTCATTCCTGACATGCAATATCCTGGAGTCTACAAACTGAGTTGCACCTGTGGTGGCTGTTACATTGGGGATACGAAACGACATGTCACGGACCGTGTTCGCGACCGCAAGGCAGATCTGAAACGGCAGAACCAATACCTCTGCCGTGGCTGACCATTGCTATAACGCTGTGGGCTCTCATGATATTGTTTTTTTTCCGAGACCAAGGTACTCTGCAAACCTTCGGGCTACTATCAAAGGTTTGTTCATGAAGCCATCCAGATATATAACCATGGACATAACTTCAACCGAGAAGATGTATACAAATTGAGCAATCATTGGAAGGATGTTATTAACCAGGAAAACCTCTAACTGCTTTGTATTGGTTGTCGTCTATCATATCTGTCAGGTACAACTACACCACGCAGCGCTCGCCATCCCCCTACCCCACACCACCTCTCCCCCCTTGCTCCTCCCCCTTTCTTACCTATATAACATCTTACCACGGCAAATCTCTCTCTCACTTCAGCAAAAACAGTTTCTTGCTGTGGTTTTCCCACCTGATGATGAAACGTCGTGATTTAATTTCTTAAATTTTATACCTACGTGACTTTACCGAAAGAACCAAAGAGTATGGATCCCTGCAGTCACGAAAACTTCAAATCTGGATTATGTCAGCTAGTTTAGGGCACCCAATGATGATATCACTTCTAAATTGTTCTTCTGAGCAAGAAAAGCAAGGATCACCGACTAAATCTTGAAGTGTGAATCGAAGCTGTTACAGAGGTTTGTTTTATGAATGCACATCATCTTGAAAAAGGTATTATAACATCTCCATATTTACCTACTTGCAATCATCTCACACTAAACTCTTAGCTAACTCTGATCCGTACATCTTGATAAACCTCGAACCCCTGACTTTATCCTAAAACACATTACTTAGCTCAACCTAACCCTAACACAGCCTCCTGTCGAACTCCTAACCTCTAACCTGACTCTGACCCCACGTAATTTGACCTAACCCTTAACTGCACCGTATTACTCAGCTCAACCTCTTGCCTCACCAATCCATAATCCCTCAACTGAAGGTATATCTGACCGACCCCTCACCCCTTGCATAACAATATGCAACATAACGAACTTCGTGAAAATTCAATGTGACTGTAATTCCTATAATGTAAAATTTAATATTCGACCACAGCAGGATTCGAACCTGCAATCTTCTGATCCGAAGCCAGACGCCTTATCCATTAGGCCACGCGGCCCTTCATGGTAGAGGAGCACCCTCCTGAGGATAATCTTGAGAGTCTGTTGCTCTTTTTTTGAAACCAGTGTATCCCTGCTCGTATGAGGAAACCATTTTGAGCCTTCAGTCAGTTGTGGAATTTCAACATACCCACAGCGCGGGCGCACTTATTTAATCGGGCAACCTGATAAAGGCCATCACAAAACCACTGGTGGTGTTTAGTTGACGGTTCACATGAAAATATAGCTTAGAAGCCCTTTTGCAGATGGCTTTGTCCACGTGGCCTAATGGTTAAGGCGTCTGACTTTATATAAAAATTATTGTAGGTGCAAATAGTGCCGTGGTCGGATTGAAGCTGATGTGTTTTTACTGTTTCTGTGTTTTCTTCCAATGCAATTATTACAAAGATCCAGATCGTTTCTCACACTCCTCTCTTTTGCCTATTTTAATACAATCGAATTCTTAACAAACAACCATTTCAATGTATCTACAATTATGCCAGCTGGTTTAGCGCACTAATAATGATATCATTTCTACATTGTTCTTTTGAGCAAGGAGATCAAGGTTCAGCGACTAAATCTTGAAGTGTGAATCGAAGCTGTTACAGAGGTTTGTTTTATTAATGCACATCATGTTGAAAAAGGTATTATAACATCTCCATATTTACCTACTTGCCATCATTTCACACTAAACTCTTAGCTAACTCTGATCCGTACATCTTGCTAAACCTCGAACCCCTCACTTTATCCTAAAACACATTACTTAGCGCACCCTAACTCGAACACAACCTCCTGTCGATCTCCTAACCTCTAACCTGACTCTGACCCCACATAATTTGACCTTACCCTTAACTGCACCGTATTACTCAGCTCAACCGATTGCCTCACCAAACCATAATCCCTCAACTGAATCTATCCCTGGCCGACCCTTCACCCCTTGCCTAACAATATGCAAAATATTAACTTCGTGAAAATTCAATGTGACAGTAATTCCTGTAATAAAAAAAAGAATATTCGACCACGGCAGGATTCGAACCTGCAATCTTCTAATCCGAAGTCAGACGCCTTATCCATTAGGCCACGCGGCCCTGCATGGCAGGGGAGCACCCTCCTGTGAAGAGTCTTAAGAGTGTGTTGTTCTTCTTTTGAAACCACAGTGTATCACTGCTCGTATGAGGAAACCAATTTGAGCCTTCAGTCAGTTGTGGAATTTCCAAATACCCATAGCGACGGCGCAATTATTTCATTCCGCAACCTGATGAAGGCCATCACAAAACCCCTGGTGGAGTTTAGTTGATGGTTCACGTAGAAATATAGCTTACAAGCTCGTTTGCCAATAGCGTAGAAGCCCGTTTGCCACTGGCATTGGCTGTGTGGCCTCATGGATAAGGCGTCTGACTTTGTATCAAAATGATTGTAGGTGCAAATCCTGCCGTGGTCGGATTGAAGCTGATGTGTTCTTACTGTTTCTGTGTTTTCTTCCAATGCAATTATTACAAAGATAAGAAATCGTTTCTCACACTCCTCTCTTTTGCCTATTTTAATAGAATCTAATTCTTAACAAACAACCATTTCAATGTATCTACAATTATGCCAGCTGGTTTAGCGCACTAATAATGATATCATTTCTACATTGTTCTTTTGGGCAAGGAGAGCAAGGTTTAGCGACTAAATCTTGAAGTGTGAATCGAAGCTGTTAAAGAGGTTTGTTTTATTAATGCACATCATGTTGAAAAAGGTATTATAAAATCTCCATATTTACCTACTTGCCATTATTTCACACTAAACTCTTAGCTAACTCTGATCCGTACATCTTGCTAAACCTCGAACCCCTCACTTTATCCTAAAACACATTACTTAGCTCACCCTAACCCGAACACAACCTCCTGTCGATCTCCTAACCTCTAACCTGACTCTGACCCTACATAATATGACCTTACCCTTAACTGCACCGTATTACTCAGCTCAACCTATTGCCTCACCAAACCATAATCCCTCAACTGAATCTATCCCTGGCCGACCCTTCACCCCTTGCCTAACAATATGCAAAATATGAACTTCGTGAAATTTCAATGTGACAGTAATTCCTGTAATGTAAAAATATATATTCGACCACGACAGGATTCGAACCTGCAATCTTCTGATCCGAAGTCAGACGCCTTATCCATTAGGCCACGCGGCCCTGCATGGCAGGGGAGCACCCTCCTGTGAAGAGTCTTAAGAGTGTGTTGTTCTTCTTTTGAAACCACAGTGTATCACTGCTCGTATGAGGAAACCAATTTGAGCCTTCAGTCAGTTGTGGAATTTCCAAATACCCATAGCGACGGCGCAATTATTTCATTCCGCAACCTGATGAAGGCCATCACAAAACCCCTGGTGGAGTTTAGTTGATGGTTCACGTAGAAATATAGCTTACAAGCTCGTTTGCCAATAGCGTAGAAGCCCGTTTGCCACTGGCATTGGCTGTGTGGCCTCATGGATAAGGCGTCTGACTTTGTATCAAAATGATTGTAGGTGCAAATCCTGCCGTGGTCGGATTGAAGCTGATGTGTTCTTACTGTTTCTGTGTTTTCTTCCAATGCAATTATTACAAAGATAAGAAATCGTTTCTCACACTCCTCTCTTTTGCCTATTTTAATAGAATCTAATTCTTAACAAACAACCATTTCAATGTATCTACAATTATGCCAGCTGGTTTAGCGCACTAATAATGATATCATTTCTACATTGTTCTTTTGAGCAAGGAGATCAAGGTTCAGCGACTAAATCTTGAAGTGTGAATCGAAGCTGTTACAGAGGTTTGTTTTATTAATGCACATCATGTTGAAAAAGGTATTATAAAATCTCCATATTTACCTACTTGCCATTATTTCACACTAAACTCTTAGCTAACTCTGATCCGTACATCTTGCTAAACCTCGAACCCCTCACTTTATCC